ATATTGTGAACCAAACAAAGTATTTATTCAGATATTTATGTACATAGTTTACTTTCAAACAATCTCAAGTAATGAATGTGATATTAATTACATACCTGACTTATCCCTTTATACAAATATGAAGAGCTTTATGATAAAGGAATCTCTGTAAATGTCATAAACTTCAAACTTTGCTAATTAATAAGTTTTCTATCAGACACGAAATTCATGTGCGTCAAAAGTTACAATATTTAGATCTTACATAATCTTTCGCGGTTAAACATCTACATGACACTAAATACTTTACTTAAACGTGAAATTGTCGAATGAAATAAGTGTCAAGTACTTTGATATTTAATAACTTAATACCTTAGGCATGTAATTAATATGTCTTGCAAAAGTTTGGAACATGACATCAACAAAGTTATGACTTTTAATTGGGAAATGAACGTATTTTCTCGTAGAAATTGCTCTAAATTAGTCGACTTTATTTTCTAATGGGAAAAGACATTAATTTGATGATAGCAACAATTAACGAATGAAATATCGTTCTGATTCTTTTTCCAACTTTATTTCATCAACACGAGGAAATTTTAATCGAAATTGAAAACATTTTATGGATATAAACTTTATAAATGATTCATTGCACTTGATCTGCAACAAATGTAAGAGAAACGCTTGCAGCCAAAGCCAATTATTTCATTATTTTTATTGCATTGCTAACTCGTACAAATTTTACAAATTAATCTTCAAGAAGAAGTTTTGTCAGTGTTCATTTCATTGAATGCTTCTCATTGAAATTCTGTTCTTGAATTGTTATCCATGTGATTAAAATTAAACTATCACTTACGATGTCGAAAACTCGAAATTGAATTCAACTTCATGAGATTCGAACAACAGTAATTTCACTAAAGTATTTATAAATTCAGTATTTTGTCTATCTAATGGTATACCGAGAGTCATTCTTTGAAATATATCAACAAGTCAACTCTGCCTGCTGTGGTTATAAGTATTTAAAACATGCAGGAAGACCAAAAACTAGGAAGAAATTAATCTCTGGATTTGCTTTATGTAGATGTAACAGAATTCAGATATTTAAATGATAAATAATTAATGTTTTATGTGTTTTTATGATTGTATAATGTAGAAGAATAATATTTACACATTTTCTTATTTCTGAACTGTTTAAAGGAATTTTTGTCTTCCTTAATAACATAATGAATCTTTAAAATACTCATTAAGTCGAGTAATTATCATTCACTTCGGTACGTCCTTGATTATTTACATTTTTTAATTAAAAAAAATCTAAACCATCATAACATTCGAGCGAGAAGAAATATTACCTTGAAATCGTTAAAATTTTTGAAGCATAAACGCACGTAAGCCGAAGTCTTCTTAAAGCTCTTTTATCTCCTTCTTTTTCATCCGTTTTATGAGCATACCTCAAATTCTATTACCCTTTGTTTAATGCTTGGAACTTTTACGAATACTTTAAAGCGTCATAAATCAACACGCTTAAAATATAACGTCAAAGGGGAAAAGATTATTAGGTTACTCGCTTAGAAATATTAATGGGGAATGCTTTCATGTTCATTGTACTCGTCGTACGCTATACAAGTAAACAAACGCTCCTTAACTATTAATAGTTCCTTCCTCTTCTTTAACCTCTTTCCAAAGCGAATATTATTGCTAGACATTCCATGCCGTTCATCGAATAACTGAAACGCATGAGAAGATTTTTAATTAGGATTATGAGTCTCAAGTTGTTTCATTCCACAAATTTTTCTTTTCCTTCCGATTACCTTCTTTTGCTTTTGAAATTAAGTCAACCTATCTTCTTATTGAGGGAGACAAAGTTGATCAAATTTCATTAAATATATTTTTCCTCGGTGTTATTGCATAATCCACCCGGACTCAAACGAACGTAGAACGAAGACTGTCGTAAAGTAATCGGTGCGAACATAACGAATGAAATAAATTGCCCACTCAATCAGTAGAATGACGATGGAGAGAATAAAAGGAAATGGAAAAGTCTTTTTGGTCACATATCTTCTGTATTGAAAGGGCAGAGGGCTCCACAAAAATATGATAATTGAATAATTCTCTTGGAAAGCCCATAACTTCTTATAACTATAAGGCTTTGCCATATAATCTTTTGTCAAATGTATATCGAATTTTGTGGGAGGAAAATGAAAGAAAAATCACCCAATGAATAATTTATCAAGCGTTGAAGCTTCCCACACAGACAACGACAGAAAGAACTAAAGCAAGCTTAAAGTGACCGAATAAATAATGTTCCTTCTTCCCCTACATAGTATGTTCTTAGAAGAAAAGGAAGCAAACATACAATGACATAAACTTAAGAAGTTCTGCAGATTCCTATTCGTTGCAGTATTTTATCAACTTTGAATCTCTCAAGCTGTGATGTTTTAAAGATGATTGTTTGTCTTTTATTCCAACTTCCGTAAGTAACTTACGTTTACTACTTATCATTTCTGGTGCAGCGGTAATGGTTGCTAGTCCACAGGGCTTTCAAAATGACATCAGAGGTAACATATATTTTCATTTATTTAACGACGAAACAAAAACTTTTCTCGTTTATTTCATTGAATGGGATTTCGTTGACATAGAGTGTTGGCGTTGTGGTGATGAAATATATTAAGCTTTAGCTTATGTGAACTTAAAGTTCGTTGTAAAATATTTTTTATCATCAGAATGAATTTTTTTTTCTTTTTTTATTGAATTGCGAAATTTCCTTATTTAGGTTTAAATTGATACTTTCGAAACAAAACACATTATGATTCATTACTTCCCAAATTATCATCATTACAAACTTATCTCATTTAAAGTTTGAATCGGCATACAAATGTTGGATCTATTTGATTCATAAGTTATTGGTTTTTATGCATGCAAAACAGGAAACACGTGAATAAATCCCAATAGTCACGTCATTCATACTTAGATTTATAGAAACAAATGTTCAGATCAACTTTAGCCTTAGAAATTTGAATGAAAAGAAAAGAGAAAATATGAAATTTTTGATTAAGATTAACACAAATTTCAAAGTGACCAGACACTGAATAAATCATCAGTACTCTCGAAAGTAAGTTTCAAAGAAAGCTTTTGTAAAAAGCTTCTTCATATAAACTTAAACCTTAAAGTAAAACAATATTTCTTCTTAAATAATACCTACAGACGTCAAAAGTTTCGTTCTCGTTGCTTGCACAAGAGTTTTGTTAAAAAACTTTACTTGTTCTTTAAATCATTTCCTAGTGGGAAATCGGAGTAGAAGTAAAAGAAACGAAATCCTGAAAAGTAAAAAGAAATTCTTTCTTTCGTCGTTCTTGTATAGATATGTACATAAAAAAATGTATTAAGTTCATGAAAGAAAATATTTATTTCATCTATGAAGGTTTTGTCCCTAATTCCAGGTGGGAAAATGAAGAGATTTATAGGGATTGTTGGAGTTGGTCACTCATGGTCCTCTTATGCGCCCTTTTGTTGCCGTCGAGAGGTGAGATTTTCTATATTTAATAGTTTTTGAGTGTCGTTCGGAGAAAAATCTGAACCCGAAACTTTGAGCTTTTTTCAATGCTCCCACAGCACTGTTTGTATGACCTCATCGTCCAATACTCTCTTGTGTAAGAAGCCACTTCAATAAATTTGGGCTTACGTGTTTCGGTCTCGTTTTCTTTCTCTTCTTTCTTTACCAGTAAGAAAACATTGAAACTTGAAAGTTGCGCAAAATAATCACAACAATCTTAGATATTACAAGTCTTAATTTTTATGTTTCAGTCGCAAGGGAGTTCACAGTTTGCACCTTGCTGAATCTTCATAATTTGATTACCTACTTTCTCTTCAAAATTAAGCTTTTCAAGCTATTTACAAGGTGAAAGTCAGAAAAAGCTTCTCTTGTTAATTTTGAATTCTATGAACATGAGATATGCTCAGAATTAATATTTGAAATTTATAGAAGCAGTGGGGGCATCAAGGAACCCATCGAGGTGGGAAATTAATGAAATAATTTATGTATCTTGAGGTGGCAGAGTAAAAGAAAAGAGAAAGAGAGAGAGAAAGCTTTCATTTGTTGATCTTAATTAGATGTTCGTAAAGTTGTAATTAATTTTTGACTCATTATAGAACGTGATTGGGATCAAAGCTTCAACAAATTTTTAATTTATTCAACAATTTTACTTGCCTTCAATCTTTTTTTGCCGTAATTTCAAATATATATTTAAATTTAGAAATATAATTTATTATCAAATTCACGTTCTAGAAAACAGTTTATCATGTCGAGTTGGCATTTTTTTTTCGATTTTCTTCACCACACTTAGGAAAAAAACATTAATACAATTTATTGGGAGTGTTCAAAAATAAAGTCGACACATCTGACAGATTACTGGGCTTCGTGGAATTTCTATTTAATCTACTTAAATGTTATAAAGCTTTTAATCGAGATTAGCTTTTAAAACTGTTTAGTATTTATTTTAATCGCTAAGTGACGTTATTGTGTGACTGCTTCTTTCATTTCAAATATCTCATATCTCTTCTGAACTATCATTCGATACGTTTTTCATTCAACGGCTTTAAATTTATCCTCAAGCGAAGATGAGAAACAAGAATTTTTCAATTTAACATTTAATCCTGAACTCTCTCTTTAATACCAGGGAATGTTACAGACTTTATTTCTTTTTCAATGTGAATTGCCAATAAAACTTTCATCTTATATTTATGTTTCAGTGCAGATTATTTATAGATCTTTCTCCATTGACATCAGAAAACATCGAAAAATGAAGTTTCTTCTTTTTTGTTTCGAATTTAAAGGTTGAGATTGATGGCTTGAAGAGACTTTAAAGAAATATTCTCAGAATTATTTAGGCAATGAAATAAAATACAAAAAAAGATTTAGATGTAAATAGAAATCTTGAGCTGTGGACAGCAATCTTGATTTTCCTAGAAGGGTTTCTAAGCATTGAAGCATTAACATGTTTCTTCAAGTGAAAAATATTTTTCAATATAAATTCCCTAAGAAGCTAAAGCAATTTACATGATAATGCACTAAGTTGCTAATTATAATTTCAACCATTACTTATTCAATGATGTTCAAGATTGACCTTTTAAAGTTTATAGAAATTTATAAGACAGAAACATGAATTCATTAATATTTAAAATCATAATTTCAATTAGATTACCTTTAAAACTTTTTAACATTTGATTGGCGTTTATATTACCTTTAAAAAAAAGCTTACATTGTAAAAACCTACGAAGCAAAGAAATGAAAAAACTTTTACTTCTTTTTGACATTCTGAAAAATTCATGATGGAAAAAAGTTTTCTAAAATGTTTGCCTGGTGACGTGACAGCTTTATTCAACAATTTAGAATGCCTGACGATCACTTTGAATCGATTGCAAACACTGATAAAGCTCATCCCAAACAGTATAGTCAGTGAAATTCTCAGTATCTTTATTTTTATTTTGTATAAAAATAATTAATCAAGTGCTGTTACCTGTGCGTGTCAATTAACACTTTATCTTCTGACTTCGAAGTTCGCTTAAATTGCAAATAAATTTTTAATTACATTAACGCGTTTGCTTCTTTATAGCGGATTATCTTGAGCGAGGGTGTGATGTTGTTAGGAGAATGTTATGATAACAGTTCTCTAGATAAGGGAATGATGATTCAATTCCACTTAATTTAATTTATCGGAGTATTTTTTAAAAAAAATGTTACGACTCGTAAACAAGGACATGACAAAAGAATTTTCATCATAAGCTTACGCTTTTTTTTCCTTTTATCTTTGATAAGTAATCAATTTTATTTGACATTGGCAAGTTACACAAATTTGCCTTTGGTTAAATATATTATTAAATCAAATCACTTGAGAAGAATTTCCAACATAGGTTGTTAAAGAGAAAACTTTTGATGTGCTTTCGTAGAGATAAGAAGTTTATTGAAGACAGAAAGAGAAAAAAGTTACAAACCGACATGGAATAATCTTTACAATTCTCCTCATTCGATCTCGTCTTGATTTAAAAGGCAAAATGAAACGAAACCAATTTGATGGAGAAAATTCAGACAGACAAACTCTGAGATTTCATTCAATCAGCGAAGAATTGGAAAAACTTTTCTTTCTCTTTTTATTTTCATTGCGTAAAACCTTTTAGATTTATTTGATAAACAAATGGATTTTTCTTTACAAAACAGGAAAATAACAAAAACGAAAAAAAAAGTTTGAGAGTTTTTCGAAATGTTTGTTTTCTTCTTTTTTGCTTCGTTATGTTTATTGCAGCTTGGTTTTATACTGTTTTGTTGTTACATGTGTTCGTTGTCTTAGAATCTGGGACCACTGGTGGCGGTCGATAAAATTGTCTGACGATTATTGCTAGAAAGTTTTTTAGAAAACTTTTAAAACATGCCAGAAAGTAGAGACTCAATCTAACTTCTTTCTTCAAAATATATTTTCTGATGGAATAAAAAGTTTATGCTCTGTTTCTCTTCCAATCTCACAGTCAACAATAAAACTTGGAACTTTGAAGGTAGTTGTTGATATAGCAGAAAAAGTTCGAAACATTTCTCCAATCATTTTGTCGCTTCGTCAGGAGACTTGAAAAAGCTTTTCTCGTTCATGTTCATGCAACAAAAATTAATTAAAACTAAACGATTTTATACGACAACGCTTTAGAGATTTTAATTGCTAAAATTTATTCTCTCTTGTTGAGATTTTTTGACTTATAATTTTGAAATAACAACGAAAATAATTAAATTCGTTGTTATTTTTGTGTCTATGAACTAGTTCATTTCATGTACACCTAAAATCATAAAAATTTATGATATCACGAGTAGATTTTAACGCTTTAAAGTTGAATCTCATTGAAGACTTTGAATGAGTGGAAAATGACGATACATGCAACAAATAAATGCATTTCAAGTTAGAAAAAAACAAACATTAAATGCAAATGAGCTTTCATGCTTCTGTTGTGTGTTTGTGGTTCTTGAATAAACATCCTGCTAAACATTTTCCAATGAAAATTTAAAACAAATTGTAAAATTACATCGGAAGGTGGAATTTGCAGGATTTCAATGCTGATGTGCATAAAATAAAGTTTGCCCAATTCTTGTTCACTTTTTTACGTTCCATTTGATTTTATTGATAAATTGAAAACTGTGCATTTGTAAATTCAATTTAGTCGACGTTATATTTGAACTGCAAATGTTATTGGAAAAGTTTACTGGCTTAAAACATTAAATCCAATATGCAAGATTTGATCAGATCAGACGCTTTTGAAATTTCAAGCTTTAAACCTTTGACACTGAAGCATCATTCAAATCGGTCGCCTTTTTTGTGATTCATGAAAAAAAAGTTAACAAAGTCGTGGCATTTATGTGTAGCTTTCAATTCTTGTTCTCTCGGGACGAATGATTCAACAAATTCGATAGGAATCTTAATTCAATTTGGTTTAACAACAACCCTAAACCTATCTCGAGACTCCCACATGCGGAGCATTTTCGTGAGTGGTTGAAAGATTTTCTTATTTAAAGTTCATCGATTCAGTGTTGACTTGTCGAATTCCAAATATCTTCACGAATCGCCTTTTTTTCACACCAGCTTTTCTATATTTTCTCGTAACGTTTGTTAAGGGAAATTAGAGCATGGAATTGATAAGAAAAAATGTCTCATGAGGAACATTTTCTCTTATGGAAAAATCTGTGGGTGGATGAACAAAAAAAAAGATTGAGTTTGTCTAGCACGCGTGCATGACAACATTTGTTCGTTTCCCTAAAGTAATTTTTGCGCATATTTGTCAGCAATTTCAACGATGTGAGAGTGTGATATAATTTATGGACAACTTGACGAAAATTTCCATTTGTTTGCATTCAATATGTGACGACAAAACGGCCGTCGACGCAAATTTTCCGTTGGCGCGATGACAACCAAGTTCTATCTGACTTACTCTTTTTTCTATCTGTGTTCATATTATGCTTTCAACATGTCCCCCCAAGGGTGAAAAAGCATTTTCATGACCTTCAACAGAAGTCTTCAAGCTTTAAAATGAATTTTTTATGTGGAGTTGTTGTTTTCCCACGGAAATGCGCAACAATGTTTGAAATAAATTACACAACGAGGTAGACGAAGCGTGCATCATTTGCCTTTGTTGTCATATGTTTCAGAAGATGAAGTAAAATGAAAAAACTTTTCCAATGTATATATTGTAAGTCAAATATGTATGTATTTATGTTTTTGAGTAATCGCTTATGAATATGTCTTGAACAAAAGACATTTAGAAAACATTTCAATCGAGTGACATAAACAGAATTGTCGGAATAAATGAATGGAAATGAAATTCTTTGATTTCATTCAGCTATATTTAAACTTAAGATTCATTTTTATTGATTCCTTCGCTGTTCAATGAGTTTCAAGTTGGAGGCAAAGAATTCCAATGAATCTATTCAATTTCCGTTTTATGCCTTAGCAAAAGGTCGGAATCATTCAATATCTTATTTCGATTTTCATTTATCAAGCTCGTCGAATTTGTATTTGATCAAGCTAATTCTTTTTCCTTTGCTTCATCATTCGCACTTCTAATGAGAAGATGGAAATGAGATTGTGCAAAGCTCGACAATGAGATTTCAGAACTTCTGTCAATGACAATCTTCGTATTTCGTTTGTACATAAAAGCGCTGAGTTTTTCCACTGTGCAACTTCGAAATAATGATTGATTGCTTTTCTTAGTTAATTGACTCTGGCATTCTTGAGATTTATTTAGCTTTGAACATTTCATTTCGTTTGCTAAAAGATTCTTAACTAAAGTTGTGAAATTGAAAAGAAATACTTGAATAAAAAGAAACGACGAAAATCTGTTAAGTAGCACGCGCTACAAAGCACCACCAAGAATGAAAATGTTGTAATGAAATTGATTTTATCGATAAAAACAGCGGTAAGAATGAAAAAAAAAGAAAAAGTAATTGAAATCTTTCAAGCTCTATTAAGCTGCTTGATTTACTAGAATAAAAGCTTTTAAAGCTCTTACAAATGTTGTTTATATTCAGCCCTTTAGCTTACATTTCTTAACAAAGGTCTTCTCATCTCCTTACGCTGAATTTTTACTGGAATAAATCATACAAATAATTTTCCTTTTTTAAGCTTCTCTGGTTTTCTTCATTATTTCATTAAAGTACTCCTTCTTAACAAATTCAAATCTAATGTGAAAGCTTTTTGAAGTGAAAATATTCTGAGCGAACATCAACAGCAAACAACATTAATTTATGTTACTTCTGGGAAATTTCTATTTTAATGTTTTGTGGTTAAGATTGGTGAGATGAAAATGCAAATTTTTTAGCTATGAGTTAGGAAAAGCCACAGAAAAGTTTCATCTTAAATATTTTTCTCGTCTCTCTGACAGTATTTCATATTATTTTTAATTTTCGTTCATGCTGTGATATGAACAAGTATTTTCTGCTTAAAAAGCTTGTTCTGTACTCTCTTGATCCCTACCATTTGCTAGGTAGAAGATGAAAAACATAAGAATTAATTTTGTTGATATTTTTAATGTTGCTTTATGCTAGCTGTGTATAAATCTTATGATGTATGTTTTGAGAAATGTTTTTTCCTCACATTTGAGATCACATCATATGTGGAAAGAACATTAGGAAGCTTCCGATCTTTTTTCGGTCTCCACATTTTCTATCATTCCATGAAGGGTCTTTTAATATTTTCATTCTAAAAATAACTCTAACAACATTTATTTGTTTTACATAATTATATGAAAGGAATGTTATGTTTAATTCGTTATTAAATGTAATAAAAAAGGTTGTATACATATTTAGAAATTTTATGTTGAATCAAAAGCAGTAGATTGTTATTTGTATAAAAATTAAAATTTAGAAACGACAAACATGAAGACAAGAGTTAACAAGGTTCAAAGGAGTTTATTTCTTTTCATAACATTATAATATCTAAATAATGTTTGTGTACTGAGAACGTCAAGGTAAGTCTATAAAAACTAAAATGCATTAGCAGCATGCTTTACGTCAGTAAATATTTTAATATTGTGATGCAGTTTAGAACTTTCAAATCGACTTCAACATGAAATTCCTCTGAAACTTAGTTTATAAATGCATTTTCATTCGCTTCCTCATCCTCAAACTTTTAATTTTATGTGTGAACTTTTTTTTTTATTTCTCATACATATTTGCATCATGCAACTTTTTAATGTTTGTTATTCAATTAAAAGCATAAAAGTTTATTTCTTCCTCCAGAAAAGCTTTTAGTTACATACGTATGATGTGCTGCTATCAACTTTAAAGCTCTGTGTTCTACTTTCAAATTCATGAGCAGATATTTCATTGACTTTAATTTGTTGCTCGATGTAGTTTCAAAAATTCTTCATCAACTTCTACTTTGCATCTTTAAAAGTATGCTGAATTATAGATGAAGTTCTTGAATTGGTGAATTTTTTATAAGAAACAATATGAAATGAAACTATTCGCATGAAGAGTAAAACTTAGAGAGATTTTTAAAATAACTTCAGTGGTTTCAATTTAACCCATGTAATGTATGCTGTAGAAGAAACTTAGGTCAAGAATCTTCATGCTGCATTGTACCACTGCTATTAATAAACGTGCATTCTCGATAGAGATGTTAAAGTAAGAAATCTTTTAAACTTGAAAGCTGAAATAGAAGTTTAGTTCTTAATTCCATTATGAAGCGCTGTAAAGTTTAAAGTGTGAAGGAGGAAACCGAGTAAGAAAATTTGATAAATTTTCTTTCATACAAATTTTCAACATTCTCGCACATTTTTTAATTTTTTTTTACAGAAATGTTTAAAATGTTAGATGTCTGAAATGTGAATACTTCATTGATCATGGTGATTGTTTTTTTAAGAAGATCACTGAAATATTTAAATTCTTTCTTTCAGGAAACAATCATCTACAGTTCTAATGATCCTCAACTTTAGTTAATTTTGACAAAATTTTAGTTTAATTTTATAAAGTATTCCTAAAATATAAATGCTAAGAAAAGTACTAGATAATCAAAAACAGTTTGAAATTTCTTTTCATAATATGTATGAAAGCAGTTTTAATTTATTCTTCTTGTTTTAAAGACCAAAACGTTTCTCTATATTTGCTAAAGTTTCAATCTTCTTCGTGAAATCATCTCTCATTGATTTAATAATTTTTTCAAGAACACATTGGCTGCAATCGGCATTCTTCATTCCTTGGATTTTAGTGAAAAGTTCCCATAACTCAGTAATTTTTCCTTTAATATACAAGTTTCTTATCTTCAAAGCTTCGATGTCTTCGTCACTTGGATTTTTTAATATATTTTGTACTAATTTCAGAGTCTCACTAATCTCCAGACTATCTTTTCTATATTTCTGAAGAACCTCGTGGCATCCGTCAGTACACACACATTTTTCATTCTCACATACGGTGTCACCACCACTACTGATTTTTTCAATCAGCAAAAGTTGTGACAGAATAAAAAAATAAACTTTTAAAGTCATGTCACTGTTCAAAGCCAGAAAATGTAGCAAAATTTGCATTGTTTCCTTCTTATATAGTGGCTGAAATTATTATTTCTTAAAGCAAAGTCACAGTTAAAATTTTAGAAGATACTTTTATGGATTGGGTACGAGTTATTGGCCTAAGATAATTACTTGTGAGTCGTGTTTAAAAGACAAAGTAATGGAAATTTTTACCACCATCGGAAAACTTCGATAAAAATGATTCATTTCTCTTAAAAACAATTCTTTACTTCCTTAAAATTGAAAGTATGTTCAGTAATGTTTGGATTGTTTGTTTCGGTGTAATGAAATAGGCATGTAAAAGACAAATATTTGTGTGAAAGTCCAATTTTATGAAATAAATTTTTAACGATTGTATAGAAGAAAGCATTTTTCAGAATAAGAATCTTTTTAAATGGAGCAAGTTACAAAAGAGCCACATTCCACAAGTCATTCAAGATTTTAAAGCAGCTTTACTTTAATGAGAAATCATCGAGACCGTAAAAGTCAATCCTCAAATGACAGCATTAACTTTCAGCAAATCCAAAATCTATACTTACGAATTTGCTATCAACAAACCCAGCTAATGCTGCATTAAAATTAATTCTTTCAGTCGAATTTAAGCTTAATACTGCTGCTTGTCATTCACTTAGAAACATAAAATAATCATTTATTCTGTCTCTTAATACGAATGAAATGTAAAACAACAATCATGTCATCTACTGATGTTACGAATTGGTTTTGAATTGTATGAAAATGAAAAATTTCGGATGCTGGAAAAGCGAAACTTCCATCTTAATTTTATTTCTGAAAATCACATCATTCAACCCGCGTCATTTGACCACGACAGAAATAAATTTAAACAATTTGAAAAATTTCAATTTCACGCTTTCAATCACGGATTAATGTTTAATCAATCAGAAAGGGCTCAAATAATTCCGCAGCAAGAAATTCACAATTTAAAATTAGCTGGTAGGAGTAAGTTTACTGATATTATATAATTCAATATCAGTTTTCTCATTAACCCTCAATTCTGCCGCAAGATAACTGAGAAAATTGAAAGAACAAAACGTTACAAGTACAGCTTTTATCCAAGCGCTTTCTTTACATTTTTAATTAAACGCAAATAGAAAGAGTTGGGTGGCATTCCGCCTACTCCAATTTTTCGCCATATTAGGTGGAAATGGTGAATTTGTACAGAAAATATTTGATAATTTCTTAAAAAAATTTCCTTCGATGATTTTGTAGGCTTGATTTTAGATTTTTGCGAATTTTCAATGTTGTGAAAAATTAATATTTGTTCAAAGTTTCTTGTTTCTTCTTTCTTCCTTTTCACCGAGCATATTCTTTGGTTTTCCTTGAAGTTTTGTTAGTAACAAAATAACAAGCACGTCAAACATAGAGAAAATATTAATTCATGTAAAAATATTTATCGTGTACCAAATATGAATGAAAATAAGAAAGCAGAAAATGAAATGAATCAGACAGTTGTGATAGAATGAATTGAATTGAAAAGGATAACCGACCAAATAAGAAAGAATAAATAGAAAGATTGACTTGAAATCATAAAACTGAATAATCTGAAAGAAAGTGCAAAAATGCAAATGAAAAACTCGCCAATCATCTTAATCTGCTTTATCTTCATTTCATGGATTTCTTTCCCATTATTATTTAAATTTTCTATCACTGAAAAAAATTCATTTAAAAGACTTTTTCATAAAGTTGTCTGCTTGACTTAACGGATTAAATAACTTAAAAAAAAAGAATTTTATTCAATCAATATTGTTTTTTTCCTTTTTAACATAATAATTGTATCAACTACATGCAGAACCACGAAATATTTTGTTTTCTTCTTTATCAATAAGATCACAACAGAAATAAAGCATAATTAACATCAGGCGTCATCCCACTAAAACTAGGAACGAGAATTATCGCTTATTAAACATTTTCTTTCATTGAAGATTTATGTATTGCACACAAAAATGAAATTGAATTTCAGTATAAGTAATCAGATACTTTCTATTGCTCTAAGTTCCCACAAACAATCAATTATAATTGTTGTGATATTTTTTTTCGTTTTTTACAAGTCAAATTTATCTAACAAGAGACATCGAAACAAACTAAATGTGACTGTCTATGATAAAAAGTTGTAGGTAAGTAAGTACTCAATGGGATTAAATATTATGAAGTCAGATTAAGTCGCATTATCTTTCTAATATTTCAGAAAAACTTGCTAAATATTCGTAATGGTATCGTTCGTAAATTATGTCACGCTCTATGGAGACAATCTCCTTATTCCTTAAATTAAATTATCAATTAATTTATTCTTCTCCACATTATTAAGTGGAAAAAGAAAAGTAAATATGAAGAGAGAGAGAGAGATGGAAAGATAGAGAGTTCTGTTAAAATGTTTCCTGTTTATGTGACATAATTGTTAAATTCAGGCCATTTCTAATAAGTATTTATTCTTTTCTTCTTCTTCCGCTCTAATAATATTCGAATAGAATAAAATTTCTTAAATTTGTCGTTTACTAGAAAAACGATAAAGCATAAAGATAAATTCAATTGTGCTTTAAAAGCAACAATGAGAATATATTTAATGTTTGATGTTGGCTTGGAAAGGAAAATTGTTTAAATAATTTCATTTTTTTCAGATTCTGAAACATAACTTTGGAATATTTAATTGTTCATTAAGGATTAATTTTCTTATTTCGAATGGGAAAATAAGAATCCATTCCATCCCAACATCGATTAACATAATTAATGTTTTGTCATATAACTTTGTCTGTTTTTTAAAACAGTGAGCGATCATAATGTCAACGAAGACGTCTAGTCTCGATTAATTAATTAAATTAATTGAATTAAGTCGAAATTTCATCGCATGGCAGCGTATCATCGAACTCAATACCAAGTTTAAAGTCATCACTCTCTGATTTAGGTCGTTTAATCATACAATCATCTTCATCATCTCCAATACCCTCCATGTGATATTTTCGTTTGAGCATCGTATTCTCGAACTTAAGTAATTCGTTTTCATCTGTTAGGCGCTTGATTTCATTGTTGAGTTCATCAATAGATGACGATGGCTGTTGAGACTTAATAACTGACTTGAGGTGCGAAATGTATTCACAAGCCTTGAATATTTAAATGAATAATAAATGAATGAGTCATTTTCAAGAGTCTTAGTCTTTGTTTAACAATTTACCTTCTCTAAAATTCCACCCTTTGAAAGAGCCTCCCCATTTTTATTTGATTGATTATTATTAGTACTTGTATTGTCATCACTATTGTCGCTATTGTCATCAATTATTTTTCCCAATTCCATGATCCAATTATTGATCTTTTCTCGTCGAGCACGCTCGATTTGATTGTGTTGAAAACGTCTGTAGTCATCACGCTGAAAGTTGTTATCAATATTTGACCCTTTATAACATTTCACATTATTTAAATTTAACTTACACGAGTTTTTACCTTCTTTCCACCTGTGCTCTCTGTCGTTGTCGTTATTAATTTTGGCGCTGTCACTTGCTCAACCTGCTTTTGTACTCTTGTGATTGTGCTCGATTCGGTTGTTGTTGGATTCTTTATCAGTACAACAGTGTTTGAGTTTTGGTTTAATTCTGGAACGCGAATAAACCGATAAACGGTGCCCGTTTTTTGTGGCTGACTTGTAATATATTCAGAGGACATTCTACAAAATATCAAGTGGAACTAGAGATTGATCGAATCGAAGGTGAATCTTTGCTTACTTCAAGGCTTATTCGATTCTGTCTTGAAGGACAAACTCTTCTATTTCTTTTTTGTTTGTGTTGCGATTTTAATTTTCGATTAATTTGGATTAAACCGAGGATAATTATTTAGAGATTCGAAATCACAGCTTTTAATACACATTGAAAATTCGATTTTACGCCCGATCTACAAATATTTCACGACGCATTCTATGAAATAATTTTCTCAATATTATTTCTTTCTTATCAATAGAAAACAAATTTGTGTAAATCTGAGCAATTTTACAAATCAGGGGAATGAAAATGAAAAATTGATAGCGATTTGAAATTTTGAAAACCGTTAAAATTATTTAGTTGCAGAAATTTAAAGTCTTCGCTGTTGATAAATTAAGTTTTTTGACTTTTTCTCATTTCTTTCAGTCATTAGAAGGCCAGATTTATTGATAGGCTTAGTAAAATATGTTGAAATACTGAATAAAACTGATTCATAAAATATTGTTGCTGTTCAATTTTTATTTAATTAAAATTTATTTCTGATCGTATTTAAAGCATAGACGAATAAAGAATTAAAAAAATAGCTTCCAACTACATTCTCACACATCCTGAATTAAATACTTATCATAACTTTTATTCAATTTCCAATAATATTTAACAGTAGAAAACTTGTTTGAATTTCATCCTTGCGCAAGCTCTGTAACGAAAAACGTGGATGAAAATTTATGTGGGAGGAACAAAGAAGGAAATTCTGATTCATCATCGATTTTTCCTCAAGAAAGAAAGATTATTCTATCCCGTTCAAAATAGAATATCAATTGTTTCTGTTTACTTTGTGTCTGTCTGAAAAGTTTGAAGTGTAGAAAAAAAGCTCGAAAGCTTCTTTATTATTACTAAGAGTAGATTAACTTACAAAATATCAGAATTGTATTGATTTTTGCTCCCAACTTTTTTTTGACTAAATACTAAGAAAAGAAAAAAATGAAGTTTTCACAAAATTGGAATTTATGCCAAGGATTTGCTATTCGAATTGTTGTAATAGGTAAACGAAGATAGTTTGTGATTAAAATAGGATGAGAGTTGTTGATGCTTGTTTATTCATGTAGGTCTACTCATTCAAACGATAACAGCTCTTCAACTGGAAGGTTTGGTCACAAAGAAACCTCGAGTGTCAAAATACACAATGAAACCTCAAGCCGTAACTTTACCTTCTTTCATTAAGAAAAGATGAATCCAAGATTAATTTTACAATCTTCTTCTAGCCAACATCTCCACCGTCAAGTACTTCAACTTATCGTGTCAATACAACAAACGGAAACACTTGCATCCTTATTAGAACTGATGGTCTTCTTAGTATTCAATATCGTGATAAGTTGAATGAAGATAGAGAAGCTGATGTTTATTTACCCGACAACCCCGGACTTAAAGGTGAAAAGATTTTCTCTCTTAATTTTTCATGTTCTATAAATAAATTCTCTTCAGGAATTTGTGATAACTCCGATGAATCATCAGTAACACTTTCATTTCGAGGATTCATTCTTTCAATGTATTTCTCAAAAACTCCAGGTATGTAAACAATTTTCATTCTGTTGAAGAAATTTCATCAAATCATATTTCAAAGGTGGTGAAAGATGGTACGTGAACACAATTGAGTTGTCGTATTCATCATCAAATCCTATATTTGAACATATTGATCGACCTAATCTCAATGTGAAGTTATCAACACCACCACACACATTCCTTTTCCCAACGCCCATCGGAAAGTCATTTGAATGCATGCAAGAGAAGACCATCGTAATGTTTTCTCAGGTAATTGAGCGTGAAATGATTATCTGAGTTAATTTAGCATGAAATGAATTTTATATTTAATTCTTTTTTACAACAACAATACAAAAAAAGGATGAAAGTGATAGATCGGGACATTTAGCGAAACTCTTTCTTCGTGATACTCGCTTGCAAGGATTTATGTACAAAGTTGGTGGTCAATGGGGTAAAAATTGATGATCCGAATGTAATGTTGAGATATTGACAATATAAATTACAGGTTCACCCTTTCAATGTACTGCAACTGGAACATACCGTGATGAATCAGCTCCATTTTACTTGGGAACAATTCTGGGAATTGCTTGCATTGCAACAGTTGCTGGTTATGGCGTGTGGCGTTATTTGAAAGTCAAAAAATTCCAATATGGAAACATGTAAGATCATAACTCAAAAGTTTTCCTTAAATTCATCAACTAATTATACAAAAGAAAAAAGAAAAAAGTTTTTAGCAAAAATTTGCCAAATTTTCCTATCGTAATCTGTCAGCAACTTTACGTCTTCTCTTCTTCTCAATTATGTTTTGTTGCGATTGTTGTGCTATTGCAGATTTAAGAAAAGAGATCACAAAACTTTATACATAATTAAGTATATCTATCGATGATAAAAGTTTACTTACATAAATCAATTAATGAACTCAAGCATACATATCTTGATGAAAAGATGAAAAGGGCAATTTAACAGTGCGAAAAAAATGTTTCACATGGTCATCAAATTAAGATGAGTTGCTGCTGCGTTGAGTATGTCAAGTGTTGATGATGTAATCGAATGATAAATTTATTTAGAGTGTTAGTTAATATCAAACAAGATGATATGAAAAAAGTCTTCCATTTTAATGCTAATGAAAAGATAAAAAAAAGAGTTAATACAATGATAATGAAACGTATTTAAATTAAAAAGAAAACTATGCAATTATTGATAACATAAAAATATATTTACCAAAGAGAAATATTAAGATTTGAATGATTATTTACTCTTAATACTTATGTCTGTTAAGCTCTCAAAAGTTCGATCTAGTTGTACTCTTCATAATTTTATTTCGAAGCACATGAATTTTATGAAACGCAAAGATGATATTAGAAATTAATAGCACGTGGTTTTGAAAATATGTATTAAAATAAAAAGAACTTCTTTCCAAGAGGTTGTGTTACTGTTATGATTTGATTGTGCTAGTCATTAGATGGAGAGAAACATTATAATGAACAAGACAAAATAAAAAGCATTTATCAAAGCAGAAAGATGATTTCATGAACAAAAAAACTTCTTAAAACATAAAACATTTAAAAAATAAAGCAAGGATATGTGTTAAGAACAAAACGAGATGACTTTCAATCTATAATTAAAAACTTTTTAAGTACCTAGATATTTCAGGAACGAAGCAACAAGTTGAACTCCTAAAAATTTCACTGAAAAATATTTAAAAAACTTTTTCATAATTTTTTATTCTTTTTATTTTATTTAATTTTTTTAACTTAAAAATTTTAAGTAAATTTTCATTTTTTTCCTTCTTTTTTTTTGTATTTTAAGTTTTTATGTAAAATTTTCTTTTTAATTCCTACACAAATTGTTTCTGCTTTAGTTTTCATTTTTTCTTAAATTTTCCTTCACGATAATTGTGTGTGTGTTTGTGTTTTAAATATGTTTAATGCTGATTGCGCACAAATGAAAGAAAAAAATAAAGTGGGATAGACGAGGATGAATGTTTATGAACTAATTTCTTCTTTCGATCCCAAACAAAAGGCGCTTGGCGAAAGACGACCGGAGGATAATTTTTCTTTCTCCTTTCATTTTTTCTTTCTAATTCTACATGTTATCGCGGAAAAACTAAAACAAAAATAAGAAGATTTTCACGCTATTCGCCTTGAAAAATTATGAGGTATTTGATTCATTTTCTTTTCATGTTTAATTAATGTACGTCTTAATGCAATCAGTTGTATCGTTTCATAGAAGTTGACAAGATTTTTCGTCAGAAAATCAAGTGGGAGAAACTTTAAGAAAAAAAGGAAAAACAAAGAGATTAGTGAAAAATCCGCGATGAGAACTAAGTGGTTTTGCAGTGGAAATTTTGAAGCGCAGTAGAAAAATGTACGAGTGAAAGTTGCGATTTCCAAGTCTCGACTCGTACATTTTCCCAGCAAAATGTTTTCTATTTTTTTAATTTAAGAATTGTCGGTTCATATCGGTTTTGATGGTAATCAGTCGAATAGAAAATTTCACCTTTTCTCCTGTTGACGAAGCTTCGATGGTAAAAAACAAGTCAAAGCATCGTCAAAAGAAAATTGGAAAATATTCTCTCGACCTTTGTGCACAAGAAACGGATAAATAGGAATACAAAATTGGTTGCTTTATACAATTACACAATCACTTTAGTAAATATAGATTTTTGTTTTTCTCAAAGTTCTTCTCGCCTTTCTCAATTTAAATTTTTTAATGTAATAAGTATTTTAAGTTATCGTCCATTCATACGAAGAGAAACTTGTTTTTTTCTTTATTTATTTATTTATTATTTATAAATACACGATTCCGTTAATCCTCCGCTGGTCATTTATCAACATCAATTCCTGTTAAAAACACAGAAACACATTTTTGTCCCTCACAGTCTCGGAGCAGTTTTTACTTTCTTTTCGTCTAAACTTTAATGTTTTCTTGTTTTCGCTTAAAATTTAATTGATTTCTTTAATTTATCTGGTTTGATGTGGTTTCGTCTCATTCTCATCATACATTAATTTATTTAAAAAGTTTAAAAAAACGTTCAATGGATTAGTTGAATCTTGTGGATGGGAAATGTCAGCTAAACTCGGAAAACTTATGGAAGATGTTGTTAAAGTAGAATGAAAATTTGTTCAATATTCAGTCAAAATTTATGCTGAAAAATGTTACAATGACTCAACCCATCCAAATGTGATCATCCATTGAACGTTTCTTCACTATTTATTATCATTTTTTATTTTCCGCATTGACCCCAAAGTATCGAAATTAAGTTACATTTAAAAATCACCGGTAGATGTTATGCTGAACATTTAATCAACATATTTTTCCCCTAATTCGTAACTAAGAACATTTACCATGAAATTACAACTTCTTTTTGTTTTATGCCATTTAAAAACTGGTGAAAATTTTGCTAATTGACAAAAACGAAAGAAATAAAGTCAGAGAAATCAAATTAAAATATTATTTTGCTTTTAAATTGGCCACATTCATCTCAACATAAATTTCCCCTCCATTCACAATTTTCCCCTCAAATTCACGCACGTTTTTACTATTTTCAGAAATAAATTTCCTTCCATCTTAATATTTACAATAATACAATTAATTCTCTTTCTTTCTCTCTTTTTTTCACCAATTTTTTAAAGGTTCTTACATTAAAATTAAATATTTTTGCTTTGCTTTCTTTGCAAACGATGAGATTGAAATGAATTTTATTTTTCTTCCTCTCGCTATCTTTGAATTGTTTTCTTTTTTTAATTGCATCTTACTTCATCAGCTTCAGTTTTTAATAACAAGAGAATTTAAGGAAAGCATAAAACTGAGATAGATGTTGGATGTTTATTTATCCCAAAGCGGAAAGCACGCCACGAGATTCTTTCACTCTTTTCCCTCACATTTCTTTCTCTTTTTATCATTTTAAATATCAACAGAAAAAAAATAAACATTCAATTCACATTGGATTTAATGATTTAATGTAAATTTTGTTAAATTGTCAATAGTCACTGTGGCGGAACGACGGGACTTTTCTTATCCTGCGCGTCTTGCGATGCTTGGGAATTATTCTGTTGATTCATAGCACTGCCGCCTCCCCGATCAACCCAAGAGTTGGCATTCGAGAGAGGTGATTCGGCATGTCCAAAGCCGTGATTATCGTGATCTAGCGAGTTTGTTCCATCATATTGCGTATTCTCAAGTCGTGTTATTAGACGCTCGTCTTCATCGCCAAATTCACCGCCCATAAGTGATGGCTCTCCCACAACCATAACATCCTGAAATCATCATAATTATCATTATTAACAAAGTTAATTTAAAATAAAATTAAGAATCGATTTGAAAGGAAAGAAAGTCTGGTAACATTAACAACTACCTGTGATGCCAGTGAGAAATTTGGTCCAGGCGATCTTTTCTTATTCGGTACAGGTGGTGTTGAGTTCGCTACACCGCCACCACTCGATCCTTTTCGTTTTCGACGCTTATTTGCTGGTCGTTGGGCATCTTTAATAGAATTGTCTTAATTTAATAAGTTGTTTCAATGTTGTGTTGATTTCATTTCGTTGAATTAAAAAAACATTCAAATTAAGCACACAGTCAACACACAACACACAGCATGGTGCGGAGCATGGCATTGTTTGTTTAATGTGTTTTGTTTTTGGCGGGTTGGAAGTAGATGAACAGAAAAAAGATAAAAAAATTGTTAAAAAAATGAAAATAAATAAAATTGCAATTAAATGAAATAAAAAGTAAACAAAAAAATGTTGAATTGGATTGTAATAAAATCATAAAAAGAGTTGGAAACAAAGCATAAAAGAACAAACATCGACAAAGGATGAAAAGTTTTATTATTTTGATGGAGGAAAGTGGAATGGAGTGAGAGGATAAATTAAAGTATAATTCACCATTCGGTTTATGTAATAAAAAGGTACCTCGCTTACCAGGCGGTGCCACCATGCGCTGCCATTTCTGGAACAATGTGGTCTTCAGACAGTCTCGTGGACTCAGTGAATAAGCTTTGTGTCTTGACATGAGTTCTTGCATTGGTTCGAGAATCACGCAGAGCTGTATCGAAAGAAAAATGAATGAAAATTTTAACTTTCACATTGAAAAATTCATCAAAATTTAGAACAGAAATTGAATTCAGATCACACACTCACGCGAAGGTAGTTCAATGTTGAATTGGTGATGCCTTGTCGAGTGATATTCTTCGATAATTGTTCCAACATTGCCGGATCGGATTGTGATGGATGCGTGTGCATGCCGACAATGTTACGTGGAATCATTTCACGATGTGCTCTCACCGCCATGTGCCACGTTTTTATTCGCATGAGATCGTCAAATGTGAATTCTAATACCAAACGGCCTTCAGTGCATACCTTGACAGTCGAAAGATTTTCGTTTGTACATCAATTTGTTTATTTACTTTAACAAAATCAACGCAACTTACTTTTGTGTACATCGGTTTTGAATGGTGCGTCACCATCGTACATTGCTCACAATCTAATGTTATTGATGTGTTGTGAAAGCTCTCTTTTGAATGTTTTAAATTATAATACAGCTCGGTGACGCCACCTTCGAAGATGCTTCGGAAATAGCGCGGGATTAATGTGCGACCAATTGCTAATACAAAAAATTTAATTAATAAATTAATTAATTAATTAACGAGTTAATGTTACTCACTGTAACGTTTTGGACCATCTTCTAGGCAGAAAGTTAACGTCAGTTGTGCATCATCTTCGAAGAACTCATTGGCGAATGAATCCCACCAACAATTATCACTTTCCTGAAATTTTCCAGAAATCTTTACAATTTTAATTACCGAAAATGATTCACATTCACACTCACATCTGTTCTCTGCTGCAATCGTTTATTAAGTTCATAAATTCTATAGTCAGGCTGACCAAAGTAGGAATGCCGTCGTCCCACATTGAGTCCGCTGGAAATGTGAAACCTTTAATGAGCATAAAGTTCGTTTTGTGAATGTTGAAAACGTTTCTTAAGTCAACTTATCAACTCTACCTTGGATCAAGTCTATCGACGGGTTGTGGACCACTCATCATGTGTCCAGGACCACCCATAGGGTGACCTTGGCCATGAAATGGTGAACCGGAAGGGCCCATAAATGGAGGACCGCCACCGACAAAATTATTGGGTCCACCAGGTCCAAATTGAGGTCCAAAAGCAGGACCTGAACTTCCTGGTCTTCCGAATTGCGGACCATTGCTGGATGGGGATCCGAATGGGCCGCTACCTGCTGGGCCATTATAAGGTGGACCGGACGAATTTTGAGGTGGTGGGGGAAAACCTGATGATGTTGGTGGTCCTGGGCCTGGTGTTGATGATCCTGATGGTGCGGGAGATGCCGTGTATTGTGGTGTATTAGAGCCGGGAGGCGGGCCTTGAAAGCTATTCGGTTGCATGTTTCCAGCAGGTGATCCTTGATTGGATTGCGGAAACACGGGACCCGAACTGAAATTGTTGGCGTTATTTGGTCCGCCACCAAAGTTACTACCGGAATTCTGTGCATCGGATCCTTGTCCGTTGCCTTTCCAGTTGTTTCCCGTCTCATCCATGCTCAGTGGCGGTCCGGCTGACACGCCACGGCGCGAAACACCTACAATTACAACAAACACATGTCACTGTGTCGTGATATTCATTTTTATACAATCAATCGATATAATTACCTAACATGTTTCCAGTATTCTGAATTTTTGCTTTTTTTGTGCGCTTTTCACTAATTTTTACGAATTTTTAGGACCGGAGAAAAGAAGAAATATTAAGAAAAGGATTAAAAATCCTTTTCCACCTTCAACAAGGCTTTGAATGCTTTGATGAAGTTATTTTATAATTAAAGCGATAGGCAATTGCTTCTCGCGCCGATATTATGTGTTACACTTTTTTATTCCTCTTTTTAACCAAACCAACAAGTGCACATTATTATCCTTAATGAAGATTTTTTTTTTGCTTTCTTTCTTAATTTTCTTCACAATTTCTTATCATCTTCTTTTAATTGTTCTTTATAAATAATGGTTTTTGATTGTTTATGGTTCAACTAATTTATTGACTGCTCTTTTACCGCCGAATTTGTCGCTCTTTTTTAATCGTATTGTCGTATTTCGATGGTGATCTAGCCAGATTCGATTATTTTTTTTTATTGACTCTTGCGGATCCTTAAGTTTATCGATTTTAAGAGTCAACCACGCGCCAACAATACTCGGTTTTAGAAACTTGCATTATGCCATTTTCTTTTAAGTCATTTTATTGGTTAAAATAAGCACTTTGAGTGAAAAATTGTAATTTTCTTTAGATTTTTTTTTCTTCTCTTAATTGCTTGATCAATTTAATTTTTTTCGGCCACTATATCCACGTTTAAACTTAAGTTGAATACAATCGGAGGCGATTGATAAGTTAGTTATGAGTTTAAGCATTGAATGGTGGTGAATTGAATAAGAAAATGACACTTAAAGCTACAAAAATTTCAGATAATTTAAAAGTGTTCTTCCTCAACGAGAGCGTCTCACAATTCAACAATGGCTCCCTTGTAACCCCATCAGTGACGTCATGTCGAAATAAAATTATTGTAAAATTTTTCTTCTCAACATTTATGTCTTCTCTTTTATGTCATAAAAATTGTGAATAAAAACATTAATTAATTTTTTTATGTTACTTTGATGACATTACTTAGGAATTTGCGTGGTAATCAAAAAGGGTCATCAACTAATTTTATTCATGTTTGCGAATCGCAAGGGGCTGCAACGATTTCAAAATAATATGCTGCCTCGACCCTGCCCTTACAATCGTTATTGAAGAATTCTTTATTAATAGCTTTTTATTTTTGTATTGAAGGAATAAACGAATACTAAAGATTGAAAAAAATTATTATGCTTGAAATGTTTCATCATTGAAAGTTTTCAGAACTTTGTAAGAAAAAGTATACACTCTCCACCTGAAACTAGACTTTGCTCGACCGGGGCTGCTGAAATCAGGTGGAGAGTGTATATCGAGACGATTATATCAAAATGCGGTAAACAAAATTCTTTTAAATAAGAAAAAATTATAATAACACATTAAATACACTTTAATTTCAGATTAAGTGTAGATGGTTTGTTAGTTTACTTCCCATACGAGTATATTTACCCGGAACAGTATGCATATATGCTGGAACTCAAACGAACACTTGATGCAAAAGTAAATTATTCATTTTTGTGAAATTCTGGACATAAACAATAATTGTTTAATTTCTCAGGGTCATTGTTTGTTGGAAATGCCTTCAGGTACAGGCAAGACGGCAACACTTTTGTCACTCATTGTTGCCTATATGATCGAGAATCCTCACATTATTCGTAAATTGATCTATTGTTCTCGTACCGTACCTGAGATTGAAAAAGTCATCGCTGAGTTACAAAATCTTATGGAATATTATAAAAAGAATGCACCTGAAATGCCAGACATTACAGGAGTAGTCTTGAGTTCACGTAAGAATATGTGCATTCATCCTGAAGTTAGTCGTGAGAAAGATGGAAAAGTTGTCGATGCGAAATGTTATGGATTGACAGCAAGTTACGTTCGTGAACGACAACAGTATGATGAGAATCAAGAAGCCTGCCAATATTTTGAAGGATTCAATGCAGAAGGAAAGGAATCACATTTACCAGCAGGAGTTTATAGTCTCGATGACTTAAAAGAGTACGGAAGACAACGAAATTGGTGTCCTTACTTCTTATCACGTTTTGCCATCGTTCATGCTCAAGTTGTTGTTTACAGTTATTATTACTTACTTGATCCCAAAGTAGCTGACGTTGTTTCGAAGGAATTGGCAAAAGAATCTGTCGTTGTATGTGATGAAGCTCACAACATTGGTAAGATGAAAGTTAAGATAAAAGTGAAGAATTTTTTAACTAAATTAAGTTTTCTTATCACAGATAATGTTTGTGTGGATTCAATGAGTGTGAAGATTAACAAGCGAGTTATTGAACGAGGCTCACAATCATTGACACATTTAGAGAAACTCGTAAGTGAGATGAAGGAAGATGACCAGAAACGTCTTCAAGATGAATACGCTCGAATGGTTCAAGGATTACGCGATACATATCAAGCTCGTGAAACTGATCGAATGTTAGCAAATCCCGTTCTTCCCGATGACATTCTCCGTGAGGTTGTTCCTGGAAATATTCGTCATGCCGATCATTTCCTAGGCTTTCTTAGTCGCTTCATTGCTTATCTCAAAACACGATTGAGAGTTCAACACGTCGTGCAAGAAAGTCCAGCAGGTTTCCTTAAAGATATTCATACAAAAGTTTTAATCGATCGAAAACCGCTTCGCTTTTGTGCTGAGAGATTGCAATCTTTGTTGAGAACATTGGAAATCACAGATTTGACTGACTATGGTGGACTTACAGTCATCACTTACTTCGCTACTCTTGTATCAACCTACACGCAAGGATTTACAATCATTATCGAACCATTTGATGATAAAACGCCGACAGTTTCAAATCCAATTCTTCACTTTAGTTGTCTCGACTCATCAATTGCAATGCGACCAATTTTCCGTCGCTTCCAATCAGTTGTCATCACATCAGGAACTTTAAGTCCAATGGACATGTACCCAAAGATTCTTGATTTCGATCCCGTTGTCATGAGTAGCTTCACAATGACACTTGCACGTCCTTGTCTATTGCCGATGATCATTACAAAAGGAAACGATCAAGTTGCAATCAGTTCAAAATTTGAATCAAGAGACGACACAGCAGTGATTAGAAATTACGGTCAATTGTTGGTGGAAACAGCAAAGATCGTTCCCGATGGCATTGTTTGCTTCTTCACATCTTACATGTATTTGGAGTCTGTTGTTGCTTCATGGTATGACCAAGGAATCATCGACACATTGCTTCGCTACAAACTTTTATTTATTGAAACTCAAGACGCAGCTGAAACTTCTTATGCTTTGATGAATTACGTGAAGGCTTGTGATTGTGGTCGTGGCGCGGTGTTGTTAGCTGTTGCAAGAGGAAAAGTGTCGGAAGGTGTTGACTTTGATCATCATCTTGGTCGAGCTGTTCTGATGTTTGGCATTCCATACGTCTACACACAATCAAGAATTCTTAAAGCGCGATTGGAATATCTTCGCGATCAATTTCAAATCAAGGAAAATGATTTCTTGACTTTTGATGCACTTCGACATGCAGCGCAATGTGTCGGACGAGCAATTCGTGGTAAAACTGATTACGGCATCATGATTTTCGCTGATAAACGTTTTGTACGACAAGATAAGCGTGGAAAGCTTCCGAAATGGATTCAAGAGTATCTGACTGATAATTATGTTAATCTAAGCACTGAAGAAGGAATGCAATTAGCAAAGATTTGGCTGCGACAAATGGCACAACCATTCACTCGTGAAGATCAACTTGGATTGTCACTATTGACACTTGAACAACTGAAAAGCACTGAAAAGGAAATTCTTGAAAAGCAAGCCATTGGAAAGTCAGCAAATCGTTAATTAGTTAAATAAACTTTCTTTTTAATATTCCACACAAAAATAGAACTTTTTAAATGACAAATTCGATTATTTAATTTCTCTCTTTCAGTTGATTAAATAAAATTGTTTTAAATGGAAGTAAGGAAATTGTTAATATTTAATTAAATTACATTTTTCTGCTTCACTTTCTTCTCTTTAGTTCAATCAGTCTTAAAAATTAATGAAATGAAAGCACAACAGTTTCTAACTTATTAAATGAATTGTGACGAATATCAAACTGATGCCAGTCCATGAGAAGATCATCAAAAGCCATAAATTGCTTTGAAACTTTGATTTGTAATCGTTGACAATTCCTTCACCGATGATATTTGCGCAGGTTTTTCTTGAATAATAAACGAGCGCAGCTGGGATTAAATACTGAATGCATGCACCAGCATAACAGCCAGTGAAGCTGACAAGAGTTTGCACATTTTCAGTGTTAAAAGTGATGATAAAAGGAGGAATAATTGCCATCAATGGAAATGCCATGTTCCGAACGAAATATCCTTGCGAGTGTATCTGATGTTTGTTGATGAAAAGCGTTTGCAAATTATTTCTCAATGTGATTGCAATGATTGGAAAACTTGTGGTTAAAGTAAGAACTGGGAAGAGTGCGAGAAAGTATTCAACAGTTTTAAGGATAATTGATTGCTGGTCACTCGTGGGAATGAAATTTAAAGTGTAAAGATCTTTAAGATCATCAAAAGCGAAAATTCCAGTGAGTGCAAGAACAATGTAAAGAATTGCGATGACAAAATAATCTTTCGAGACAATTTCTGATATTCTGTGCTTCTCTTTGATTGGCACTAAGAGTGATGGAAGAGAGTGTTGACTCATGAAGGAATAAATGCAAGTTCCAATAAGAAAAGGAATTGCACTGAAGTTTGCAGTTGGTGGATCAGGAATCACGGAGTCATCAGGTGGAGAGGCGATTCTGTAACACGCGATACTTATCATGATTAAAAACGATAAAAGACGGAACGAAAGCGTCAGAAATTGCAAATATTTCGTCTTTGATACGTTGAAGAAGACCCAAGGACTGATGAAAGTTGAAAAGAATATCAAACAAATGCGATAAACATCGAAACGAGTCGCAAAATGTCCAGCCCAGCACGGTTCTTCCATTATCACCGACGCATTAACAATCGTATTATTAATTGTTGTGTTTCTATCACAAATCACATCACGAAGTGTTGTACTAACGGCTGCTGAATAAATTGAGAGATCACCGTAAAGATAAACAGCGATGCAAACGTAAAACAACAAAGATCCAACTGATGGAAAGAAGATTGTCGACATCTCACCAAGTTCAACTTTTTCATCAAGTGTGTAGAAATCATTGTTTTGTATTGTTAGCGGTGTATTCTCTATTGCACTGTTATGTGGATCGATTTGTGCAATTAAAGTATTTCGTTCATCATCGCTCGATTCATCGCTGCTTTCCTCGAAAGCTTCTTCGACACGAGTTCGTTGAACTGGCTGTTGATAAATAATTATGAATCATCTGCAATAACTGCTAGTTTCAACTTACTTTCTCACGCTTTAAAAACTGAAGACGTCGCCATTTCAGAATTGCATTTGAACAACTTAAAGCTTCGATAACAAAAGTTACGGTGAGATATGATGAAAAAGCGAGAAAGATTATAAGACCAGTTGATAAAAGCCAGCCTGTTTTTGCAAAAGCTGATGGAAGTAAAAGGGATCCTGTTCCAACAATTAAATTAAACACGAAAATAAAGCCAACCTAAAGGAAGATGACACCGAAATGATAAAAGTCATGGCAACAAAGGAAAAAAATTCATGTTATTTACCCAAGTCGGATATTCATCCATTTTAAGAAAAGAAAGAAAACAACTAATAACTATTAATCATCACACGCAGTATAATCATCAGTTTGAAACTGTTTTGTTATGCAAAATGCTTTAAAATTTCAAACTTTTATCTTATTACACGACGAAAAACAATTTATTCAGGGTGTTAAACTACTACAATCTTTACTGTTTCAGGGTGTCAAACTACATCAATCGTTCTGCAAGTTTGTTTTGATTCGAAATTTTGATTGAAAATAAATTTTGTTTTGATATTAAAGAGTTAAAAAATGGCACCACCGCCACTTGTTACAGGAATATCACCCAAAGAAGGACCACGTAAGTATTTGAATCTGCAAAAGATGAGAAATCAATAGAAAAGTTTGGAAATTCATGAAAATTCTAATCATTTTAAAAGCTGGAACAAAAATAACAATTCGTGGAGAGAATTTGGGCGTAAAAGCAAACGATTTAATAGGAGTACAGATTTGTGGTGGTGATTGCTCTTTTGAATGGCAATCACGTAATAAAATTATCGCTAGAACTGGAATAAATGGAACAAAAGGAAAAGGTGATGTCATTGTTACAAGTTTGAGTGGTGGAGCTGGAACTTCAACAGTTCAATTTAGAACTTACACAGAAATGATAGGACCATTGAAAGGTAAGAAAGATTTCTCATTAATTGTTTCATTTTTATACATTGATTTAAAATTATTTCAGAGTCGGCTGTGTGGGTTGAAGAATCGCCGGTTCAATCACTTGCTTGGGGACGTAGAACAATGGCACCATCTGGATATTCGCAGGAGGATCCATTGGGCTTATCTATTGAAGGAAATGAAAAGAAATTCCCAGACGATCTTCGTGAAATCTTTCCTGAACACTCTGGCGATTTATCTCGTGAAAATTTCTCGCCTTGTTGGTTTCTTCTTGAAAATCATCACGCGACGTCGTTTGACGATCTCAAAGCTGGTTACTCTTTTTTGAAAAGGAAAGTTGAAGGACAGAAGGAAGGACAATTAAGCTTTCTTAAGACACATGTGTCAGCTGTCATCGATCAACTCGACACGCTGATGAATCTTAAAACAAAGATGGAAATTGAAGGTGAAATTGATTTAGCAAAACGAGTTAACAATCTTCAAGGAACAATTGAAAGTAAGTTCCACATTTAAGCTTCCTAAAATAGCTTGATGATATTTTAATTCATTAGAATCAATTGAATCGTCGCACGAATTGTTTGATGACGTTTTAAGCCGCAGAGAAAAAGCTGATAAAGCGAGAGCAGCACTTTCAGTCTTGAATCGCTACAAATTTCTTTTCTGTCTACCGACAAACATCGAGAAGAATGCGTCGAAGAATGAATTTGATATAATCGTTAATGATTATGCTCGTGCTAAGAATTTATATGGAAAGTCAGAAATTCCATTAATTCAGAAAGTTCTGGCGGAAGTTGACGAAATAATTCTGGAAATTCGTCGTAAGCTTCATCAGAAGATTCAAGAAATGCCACAAGGTGTAGAACAACAAAAAAGATTTGTCAAATCTTTGATAAATTTAGAAATTCAACAAGTTGGAACGATTCAATCTGAAAAGTTGAAGATTGTCGATCCAGCTTGGGGTGCGATCGAAAGTCGAGCTCGTTACATCGAACAAACATTCAAGAACACTTACGAAGAGTTTCAAGAACGAGAAAATTCAATGAAAGATAATTCGAAGAGAGATTTAAATGCGCCGCCAATTCGTGTCTTATTTTGCGAAGAAATTACTGAAATTGCGACTGGACAATTTCCTGATTTATGGCGTTTAGGCCAATCTTACTTCACTGGTGAATTGCGAGGAATTAACGAACCGAAACCAGGAAACTTCAAACAAATCATTTTGAATGCAATCGAAAGATTTTGCAGTTACGTTCGAGCAGCAATTTTACCACAAAATCAAAAGTTTCAAGCAGTCGCTTCATGGGCATTCACATCGTCATCACAACTTCAACAATTCAGCACTTGGTTGCCAACATGTTTGAGATATTTGCGTGTTTCTTATGCTTCATTGATTCGTTTGGATTTGCCTGGTGAAGCACTCGACATTGTGTTGAAATTGATTGATGAATTGCGACTTTTCTGCTTGACGACGATTCTTAAACGAGCGATTGACAAAGTTAAGAAACTCCACGAAAAGGAAACGTGGGAATTGACTGTGCCAGAATTTCCTGGTGCAACAGCGTTGCCTTCAAAACTTGAAGAAATTCTTGTTGAAGTGCTAGACGAAGGTCAACAAATTTGCTTAATGATGGAAGTTCGAGAAAATCCGCTTTTCGACACACCAAATTCTGAAGGTCATCGAGAAGTGGCTAAGATTGTTGAAACAATTCTCAGCTGCTTCAGCAACGTCGTCGAAGAACTTGCAACAGAAAGATCTGATGATGAAGTTCAGCACATGCCGAAACAGTTGATTGGATTCCCGACAAATTCGAGTTTACTTCCACATTCGATTAATTTGACTGAAGCAAAGTCGACGATAAGTTCAACAATCACAATAACTTGGGAACATCGTTTGCTTTGTTGCCTTGCGAACTCAGCGTATTGCAATAAAACGTTCATCAACAGTCTTGGGAATCTTTTCGTCAAATTCGGTTATCCAATTCCAAAGTTGGCGCTTGAGAATTCTCGAACAATCGTCAACAATGTTTTCTCGAATCTTCTTGAGATTTACGTTGAACACAAGTCAGATCCTCTTGTATCGACGATTGAACCGAGCATGTACATCGTCTCACATTTCAAATGGAATCGCGTTGAAAAATTCGATAACTTAAGTCCATACACACACGAATGTCTCGACAATGTCGTGTCGGTTTATTCTGAAATTTTCGCCGTTTCACCATTTTTATTGCGACCAATTCTCGAGCAAATTATTCAAACAATTGCAGAGGAATTGGCGAGATTAATGTCGTGTGTTGAAGAGTTCAATGTGATTGGAAAGAAACAAGCAACACTCGACATTCGAATGATTCGAGACGTGTTGAGAGTTTACAGCAATGAGAGGGCGAAAGCTTCGTTCAATGAAGCACTCGAATCGATTCCAAAATTAGCAAATGATGAAAATCGGTGAGTTAAACTTTAAATTCTTCAATTCATCTTCCTATTTTAAATGTTTCCATTTCATTTGATTTCAGAGAGGTTGAAAATCTCTTGGCAATAATCAAACAACAAATGAAACTTCAACTGATGTGCTTGACGGTTTTAAATCCTTAAAAAACTTTCCTTGAATATTTAAATCCACTCCATTTATTATTTAGAGTATTCCTTACATGTTAATTATGTTATTATCATTCAGTTTGTTATAAATAAATAAATATGCTTACGATAATGAATAAAAAAGTTGAATGAAGAAAATTTGAATTGAAAAATATTTGAAGAGTTTTGGATGAAGCTTTGAATGGAACTAACTTCAAATCAACAACGACAAGAAATGTTGAGAAATAAGCCACAAAATATCATCCAGCGTCTCTTTTAAAGGCATCTAACAAAAATATTTAACTTTGGTTTCATCAGCGTCAACCGTTACGTTGAGCAGTTCAGCAATTCGAGACATTGCCAGTTTTGAGCCATCGTGAGCTTCTTTCGAAAGCTGAAAAGAAAGAAAATGAATTGAAAGGTTGTTAAGAAGTTAATTTGCTTACTCTTGAGAAGTTTAAAAAACCGTGTGGAAGACCATCGAGAATGTCAAGCGTCAATTCAACTTTCAATTCCCTTAATTTCTTAGCAAACATGACACTGTCGTCAAGACACGGATCCAATGTTAGTGTAACGATCTTAATTGGAGGGAATTGACGAAGTGCTTCATCACTAGCAAACAATGGAGACAAAAATGGATCTTTAGGCACATTGAAGATGAAGTCAGATGACGGTGACGTCGGAACACTTTCATTCTCCAACGATCGAACGTCATCAGAATCATCAAGTGAATAATTTCTTATGATTGGACGATTTGTTGTAGTGATTTGTGTGAATGTTGATGAAACTGAATCGACAAGTGATGAAGCAACTCGTTGAACTTTCTCTTGAAGACTTTGCACGCTGATTGTGTCACGTGAAATGTCAAACACGATATTTTCCTCGCTTTTCGTGTGTGAAGCCTTTCGAAGAACTGGTTGGATCGATCCATCGTCACACTGCTTCGCATCCAGCACATACTTCTCGATAAAGTCGTCGACATATTTCTTCTGATGACAAGTTGTGTCGTCGCTATGACGTGAAGATGTTGTCGCTGGTAAATCGACATTCGTAAACTCGCCACTGACGTCACCAGCAACTGACGATCGTTTCTCATTCTTTTGAATTGTTATTGGCAACGAGTCTTCTTCAAGTGATGTCGCTGAGCGAATGCTGTCAATTGGGCTTATGATTTCAATTGTGTCGTTCATTTTATTGTCAGTTCCAGTAAGGAATGAAGCACCAGCAAGTGTGTGATTGGAAGCAACGTCACTAACAGGCGAAATGTGAGCTTGCAGATTCGAATCTGTTTGATGCCGTTCAAAACATGAAATCTCTTCAAATGAATCTGATTTCTCATCTTCACTTTGCATCATTTCTTGATCTTGTTCTGGATTTATTGAAGATTTTCTTTTCAGTTCTTCATTTCGATCTGCTTTTGCACGTTTCAATTCTTCGAGGTCTTTAAAGCATTCCTTCGACGATGGATTGCTGTAAGCTTTCATGCATCTCATCATGAATCCAAAAGGCAGAAGTGGATCCATCAAACATAAAAGACGAGACGGCGAAGGATTGAAGGCGACAAGAATTGGACAATACGCTATGAAAATTCCATCAGGCTTTCGAACTTTCAAGTCAATGCACTTGAGTGAAGTTGCAAGAGCCAGATTAGCACCTGCTGAGTCACCAGCAAGAATCACAGTTTCACATGTTGATCCCAAAAGTTCGCGATTCTTCAAAGCCCAACAATAACCATAAAAGACTTCATTAAGTGCTTTTGGGTAAGGTGATTGCGGCGCCAGACTGTAATCAAGCGAAAGAATTGGAACATTCAATTGATCTGCCCATTCACTCAAATAAACCAAATGAGATTTTGAACTTTGTGATACAAAACCACCACCATGAATATGAACGATTAAAGCTTTTGATTTTGGTAGAATTCCTTCACTTTTTCTCTTCTTGCTTTCATTTTTATTGTCACTCATCATTCCATCACGAAAATGTGAACTCACAAGACGAATTTGGATCTGACCAACACTTGGAATTTCAATCTCATCACCAGAAGTTGTTTCAACTTTCAATGCTTCAGTTGTGACTTTCATTAGTTTATTAACTTTGACATTATAATTAACTAATGTTATCTTGTTCATAATTTCATTGTCAGCTAAAAACCAAAACGACTGAAAATAATTCAAAAGAAAGTTTTAAAGTTTCTTGATAACATTTTTAAAGATTTCTCTGTCATTACCTTACAAAAATCGACTGAAGCGTTTTGTGAAAGATTCACAATTCGTTTTGATCTAAGTTCGGGATCGAGTAAATATTTTCCACTGTTAAACATCGAGTTGGTTGCTTTAATGAATGTTCCGTTGTTGCTGTAATATGATTCTGAATAGCTTGCCATTGAAATTGCAATGAATTTTAACACAGGCTTGATGGAGTCACAAAATTGAAATCCAAGACATCGTCCATAGAAGGCGAATTGATTGACAGTCTTTGCACGATCGAGAATGTCTTCTGGTGGACGTTCTTCAACCGGAAAAAGATTTCCAACTTCACTCCATGAATGAAGTGTGAGCAAATGATTTAAGAATGTTATTAAAGCAGCCAACATATGATTGCATGCTTCAACTTCCCTAAAGTGAATAAATAAATAGAAATGTCAAATGAGTTTTTGTGCTTAACTCGATAGGCGACAACGACGACATGAAATTTTAATAAAATCAAACAAGTGTCTCATTTTAATTCGATTTTCTTTGTCGTCATGATGTCGCACCAGTATCAAGGACAAAGAAAGAAGAAAAGAGACAGAGCAGGGTCACAAGAATTCACAAATTATCGTTGACGATGAATGATGAATTAAAACACGTCGCAGTACACGAGTTTGAACTTACTTTGTGTATGTACTTTTACGGAATAATAAACTTGATCGGCTTTCTGTGACATATTTGACAATCTTTAAAGTGTGATTGATGGCACAATCAAAGACTTTTAAGAAACTACGATGTCCATTCCCGGGAGTTTTTTCATCGAAATCGTAAAGCTTGCAAAACGATTCAACTTCTTCGATCAAAGGTCGCGCTTCGTCTAAATTGTCGAGAATTCCTAGAAACGCTCCGTGCAATTTTATGCCATTTGTCGTATCGTCACTTTTATAAAAATCGATGTTATTATAGATGATTGACTTTAAGGCTTCCCATACAATAAATTTGTCAGGCGTTTTCACTTCATCGCGTTTTTCCATTATGTTTAACAATTAAGGGTGTCGGTTATGTTAATTGCTACTTTTATTATAATTGTTGACTATTCTCATAAGTAATGATTGATAATTTATGTGTTATTTCTATTAAGCATTGGTATTTAATTATACGCACAGTGGGTTATTAAATAAATAATTTTTCCACCCTTTCTATCCAGTTAATTCACTTTCAATCTTTTTTGCTTTAAAACTTCATTACTCGTTCAATTCTTTTATTTTTATGCTTCTCCAGAAGAAGTAGAAACGAAAGTGAGATTTTTTATCACAGATCATATGCTTTTAAGCCAGTTAAAGGAATAATATTTATCGAGTATTTCCTTGTATGTTTTTCCATCTTAATCGAGTTACTAAAGAATTGATGAATGATTTTCAAAAGAAGCTTTTTATATTCTTAATGCTAAATGTGACTTGACTTTAAAGGTGAAAATTGCTTTCAAGTAGCAAAAGAAATATTTTGAACTTCTCGTTATAATACATTTAAACAATTTTATTAATGGAAATTAACAACGAATAAGATGAATTTATTTACTGTTGCATAAAAACTTTCTGTATTATTTCATAATTTATCAAAATATTGAGCAATCAACTTAGACACAATTGCGAAGCATTGTAACCCCAACGTTTTAGCATTTCAATTTACGCGTATCTTACGCGTAACGCTACGCTTTTAAAAAAATAAACATTGGAAAATATTCTGAGAATATGTTTTTTAAATTTATTAAATAATTTCAGACTTAAAATGATAAATCTTTAGTGGAAAGTTTAATTTGTGTTTATTTTATGCCATATTAGTGAAGGCAACTTTATATTACAATAATTCCACTTGCAAAATTTTGACTGAATAAATTTTATATCAAATTTCAATCAAATTATCACCAACTCATCAAATTTACAATGCTTCGATACATCAAAAAAACACTTCACACATGGCTGGAAATTTTAGTTAGAATTGGACTTATTTTTTCATTTATTAAGCTGGAATCAGTCGAGCCATTCAAGAGAAAGATCTTACCTGACGAAATTTGGATTTATCGGTAAATTCTTCTTCTTATTATTATAAATTGATTTTCTTACAAATAATTGAAATTCTCAGATATCCAATAAAACCTTCCTACGTTCCTGTTACAATTCTATGGCCCTTAGTAACCGTGGTAAGATTAAAAACTTCAATGGACTTATCAATTTGCCAACGCTCTTGATTTATATTTATGTACTCATTAATTTTACAACAGCTCCCGACCTTTGTGTTCATTTTATTCAATATTTGTACCAAGCAATCAAAAGACTTGAAAGCAGCAGTACTAGGCCATACTCTCAGTTTTGGACTGAATGGTGTACTTGTAGGTAGGCAGAACAAAAAAAAATGTTTTTTCTTTTGAATGTCTACTTTAATATAATGAGCATTAATATAAAAAAGCCCCAATTTAAATTTGAATGATTTCAGATATCATTAAAATAACTGTTGGACGACCTCGACCAGATTTCTTTTATCGATGTTTTCCTGATGGTATTATGAACTCGGAAATGATATGTACAGGGGAATATTGGACGGTTCAGGATGGCAGAAAAAGTTTTCCTTCGGGTCACAGCTCATTTTCATTTGCCACAATGGGATTTCTTAGCTTCTACTTAATGGGAAAACTCAAGATTTTCTCTGAGGAAGGTCGCGGAAAGAGTTATCGACTTATATTTTGCTTTCTTCCGATGATTTTAGCAATGTTGATAGGTGAGATAAGTTGGGGGATTAAAGAAGAAAGGTTGACAATTTATAATTTCCTTTTCATTCTCAGCTATATCACGAACAATGGATTATCATCATTGGAAAGAAGATGTCGGTATTGGATCACTTATTGGTCTACTCATTGCTTACATGTGCTATCGTCAATATTACCCACCACTTACCTGTAAAAAATCAAATTTGTCTTATGAAATACTTCAACAAATGAGTGGAAGTAACGAAGATCTGATTGAGAAAGAAATAAAATGGATTTAATTAAATAAATTTTCTTTCTTTTTGTTTTGATTCGAAAAAATGTAGAATTTGTCATTAAAAACTTTACCGGTAAAGCTACTCATATGACGTAAAATTTGTTAATGTTTTCGAATTGTCACAGTTCACGAGTTAAAGGTAATAATCTTATCTATCATGAATCATCAGTACAACAATTTACTCCCATTCAGAAATATTCTAAATGTATTATACAAATGTTTCTTTCCAGTGAGTGAATTACTGTCACTGACTAAATTGAACAATAATAATTCATAAACCGACGGCATGTCACTCTAGAGATGTGACTGTAAATAATTGGATATGAAAGGCCAGAATGTGCGAACAAAGCAAAACGAAGTTCTTTTGATATTTACGTAAATGTTTCTACGTATTCTCTCAGTTTGTCGCAATCTTTTGACCTGTTCAGATCATTTTTGAATTAAGGCAATTTGTGGGAATAAAATTATCAAAAAATTATTAAAAATGAAATATTTAACTGGTGTCATTGGTCTTATCATCTGTCTATCAGTTGTTGTTGAAAGTGTCGTATTTACTGATTGCGGTGAGTCGTCGTCGTTCGTTCGTTTTAAATGTTTGCAACACATTTAGACGAACGGAAATTGTATTATTTTGTGATTCATTTAATAGCCTGCCTAATACATTTCAGGTTCAATAAAGGGAAAATTTACTAAAGTATCTGTAAGTAATTGTGATGAGACTAAACCGAAATGTGTTCTAAAGCGTGGAACCAATGCCACCGTCAATATTGACTTTCAATTGAGTAAGTAAGGCATCAATTTGTCAATTTTCTATTATCTCAAATATTTTTTCCTTCCTTTTATTGCGGTATCCCTTAATTAATGACAATTGATTGAATTAACCGTTTTCATTCGGTTTTAGACAACGAAATTGAAAAAGAGATAAAAGTGATTTGTCACGGAAAGGTTTCGGGTGAGTTAATTAAATTGTTTCTGTGAATTTTTCTTTCCTTGACCATCATTAAAGATGACATCTAATTAAAATTTATCTTAAACAAGGTCTCGATGTTCCATTTAAACTTCCTAATCCCGATGCCTGCGTTAACTCTGGCTTATCATGTCCTTTAAAAAAGGGAATCGTCTATCAGTACACTGCATCATTTCCAATTTTGAAAATCTATCCAAAGCTTGACGTTGAAGTGAGATTTGAATTGAGAAACAGTGAAGGGAAAGATATTATTTGTGTTGTGATTCCTTCAAAAATACAATGAATGCAGCAATAAAACATACTCTGTGTGTATGTTTGTGAAATAATGTCAGAAATAAAGTGATTTGAATTTAATTTGAAAATTGTTGACATAATTTATTTCAAAAATTTTCCATGGATATTTATTAGGTAATGAAAATGAAATAATTTGTTTATTTTCTTCTTGAACTTCCTAGTATAGATATAGCACCACGCTGAGTTGTTATTAAAATTCTCTAGCATGTCACAACAATTGAAATTTGTCTAAAGTGATTTCATTTCATTCATGCAAAACAAAACATTTAAAAATAGAGAAAACAATTTTAAATTCATGCTTCTTATTTATGTAATAAAATTGAAAATTTCCAAGGCTTCTTCAATAATGAAAGACATTCCCGGTGAAATCTTATAAAGCTTTTCATGAATTATCGGTATTTATAAATCAAATTGCTCTACTTATGTACAAACGTGAATGAATGAAAAAGAGAAGAATTTATAACTTCGTAGACATGCCATTGTTACATATCTACTAAACAGTATTGTGGAAAAAGGAATCAAATCAATTGATAGCTTAATAGTTATAATATAAACGAACGTGCTTAAGCTGAAGGTGAAAAGATTAAGAAAGTCTATTCAATAATTTCTGACGTCTGTCGAATCAAATTGCAATAAAGACTGTTAAGATTAGGTAACTTGAATTGAGTTTGAATCACGTAACTTTATCATTCCGACAGGTACGTTTGATTGTTATTATTATTAGGTTTTTACTTCCAATGCAGCTTATTTCGAAGAAAACAGAATGCAAATCTCTTGACATTCTCATAAATAATAATGAATGCAAATTTATGCAAAAAGGAAAGGCTACAAGTTGCTTTTGCAGCACCAGATCATAAAATTATTGTTAACAAATTCAAAGTTTCATCATGGATTATCCCTTCACAATAGAACTGTTTCTTTTTTCTTTTGTCAATGAATATTTAAATTCTCAGAATTGATTTATACAATAAAATTCAATCCGAAGATAATCTCCAAGGGTCATAGAAAACTTGTTCAATCTGGGATGGAAGAAAAAGGAAACTTCTGTTGATTCTTGGAAACTTCTCTTTTATTTCAAGTTGAATTAAGAGTTTGCTATTTTAATCAGCTTCAGATTAATGACAAGAATTTTTTGCAGGAAATATGCTTCTAAAAATAATGATTAGCAAAACTCCAGGTTTTATTTAGGTAATTTTCTTTCGTAGCGTTGATATTGATTCCAATGTTCAATTCTGGAACATAACAAATATGAATCATTCTATAATCTTGTCATTATCTTATCAACGACTTTATTTCCATGCCAATAATTTAGTAATAGTATCTATTACTAAAAATCAAAACTTTCTGCAAGTGATATTGAATATTTCCTTAGGAACGATATTTGGATTATTTCTTCAGTAAAATTAATTTCTTTGATATCACAAGTTTGGTATCTATAAATAATATTTAATTCAGGATGATAACTGACATATTTTTTAAAGATACTAAAACTTGATCCATACTTCCTTTTAATTTCGTTATCAAAGTTGTTATCAATTGATGAATGACACATTAAAAAAACCTTTCAATAATCTTTGAAGCTTTACATGGTGCTTTGTTTTTTCCTACATTTCAGGCATTCCCCATTTTCATTGATTTTTCTTTTTTTAGTTTCACGATTCTCGTAGAAGGATGAAAGTTCATGTAAATGATGACACGAACATTTTACGCAGAGGGAATTTCAATAAAATTTTATTCTTCGTTTCACGTTGATTCAGGCAGAACAATTCATGAGTAGAAGCAATTCATTATCAACATTTAATCTAATGATAAGGCTTGGAAATTGGGAGTGTTGGGTATAAATTCGACTACAATTTCATTAAACCACCAGTTTTATTTAAGCTGTCATTGAAGTGTTACTCAAGTATATAAATAAAATGCAGAAAACGTTATTGATAAGTCTTGTTGTAATTCTGACTGCAGCGAGTATAACTAACACAGAAATTAATAAAAGTGACAATGTTAATTATGAAGAATCAAATTTAATTGATCAATTTAATATAACAAACACTCAAACACCCTCAACTAATTGGACAACTCCTTCATTCAACTTCACAACTCCGTCGTGGAATGTGACAAACACTCAGACGCCCCCAACCAATTGGACAACTCCTTCATGGAATGGAACAACTCCATCGTGGAATGTGACAAATACTGAAACGCTCCCAACTAATTGGACAACTCCTTCATGGAATGGAACAACTCCGTCGTGGAATGTGACAAACACTCAGACACCCCCAACTAATTGGACAACTCCATCATGGAATGTGACAAATACTGAAACGCTCCCAACTAACTGGACAACTCCTTCATGGAATGCAACAATCTTAACTCGTTGATTGTAATTGTTTTTATAGATAATCAAACATGAAATTGTATCTATTATTAAAAAAACGCAATTCTGCTACTTAGTATCAATCGTTAAATTAATTGTTATATCTAAATATATTTTTCGTGTAAATGTATCAATGTAATTCTTAGCTTCTATTTATAGATTTCGTTATTGCTTTATTTTATCACTGAAATTTGAAGCCAACACAAATACTTGTTACGGATAACAAGCAGAAAAATAACTGTAGGTTTTTAATTTAATAAAGATAACAGAGAATAAGTTTAAATCCAAACCCTCCTTGCTTTTTCTATTGTTTCTAATCAAGCATATCATCAGTTCGTTAATATATACAGAACATGAAAGCATGGAGATATTAATATGAGTTTTTGAAAGTTCAGAGATTAAAATTTGATATCTAAATTAAATTGAACAAACAAAAATTTTCCTTCTGCCCACAATTTTCTTTGAGAGACGATAAATCGATAAGAAGATTTCCTTATAAAAAGTATTTAAATAGCCATTTTCCATTGAAGTACTTTATACCTGACTACATTGACTTCTTTATATAAAAATAATAACTGTGACGGTAACGGTAACGTTCCGCCACATGACATTTTGGTAAAATCCTTGGAATTTTACTTTATGCTTAACAGCGAACGGTTCATTTTTGAAAGCATCAAGAAGCTATAATTCGAAACAGTTTTCACCATTGAAAGTGACTTTTTTCGATGGTTCAATGGACTTTTAAGTAGAAAAGGTCTACGAAAATCCGTTGAAATAATATTTTGGTATTCACATGAATGTCATTTTTATCAAGGTGTTTATTTGAAAGCACTGATAGGAGGCGACACATTCTGCAAGGTATTTTATTTTAATTTTTCGTGTACATTTGATATTGAATAGTTGTTGTGTTTGGTCATGAAAAAGTTTTCAACTTTAATACAAAAACTTCAATCACTTTAGAATGAAGTTTTGCGCAATATTATTCTTTTCATTATTTTCATTCATTCAAGATGCTTTGACAGTATCTAAAAGCTGTGATTATTTCCAATCGATGAAACCAAATGTTCTTTACACAATTCAAGTTTCAAGATCAAATCAGAGAAATCTTGATTGCCGTTGGGCAGCGGAAGCACCAGCTGGTCATAAAATTTCCCTGACATGTGATAAAGTTCGTCTGCCGACATCATTTTTCTGCTTGAATGATAGAATAACAGTTTCAACAACAGGGAGAACTGATTTACGGGATGGGAAATCATATTGTGGGAGAAGACAATTCGAAGCTTTATCAGTAAGCACAAAGATGACGGTTGCTTTGAAAACTGGAGCTATAACATTAGGAGCAAAGTTTAAATGTTCCATGAAAACTGTAATTGATGGATGTAGATGTGGACAAGTTAACAGAGGGAAAATTGGTGAGTTCCATGAATTTGAATAAAGAAAGATAAGAAATAATTTATGTGTGTGACATAAGTTGGTGGTATGGAAACTTATGTAAATGAATATCCTAGTATGGCTGGTTTAATTGATGCTAATGAGAAGCGAGTCTTTTGTGGTGCTACTATAAGTATGTAAATTTACAATTTATATTATAATGAAATTAATTATTTTCTATAACTCTTAGTTTCAAGCACACATGCATTATCAGCTGCTCATTGTTCAATTGGAAGAGAAATCTCTTCACTTGGATTGCTTGTCGGAGAACATGATACAACAAAGGGAAGTGAAACTCCTTTTACAAAACTTTTGAAAATTGCTTCTTTCACAAATCATCCCACTTTCAGTCAAGAAACAAATGCTGACGACATTGCTTTGATAAGAATTCAAAACTCAATGACATTTACTTATGGCGTTCAACCAGCTTGTCTGCCTTTCAAATTCAGAAAGAGAACTTTTGTCAACACATCGGTTGAGGCTCTTGGATGGTATGTATTGTTGACTTATTGTTGGAAGTTTGACATTTCATGAGTGGAAAGTTGTTCCTTCTTTTACTTGATAGGGGAGCAACAGAATTTTCCGGGCCCCAATCGAATGTTTTGAAGCACGTTCGCCTGTCAATCGTAAACAGCGAAAGTTGCACATCAAAACAGATTTGCTCGTTTGCTAAAAATAAGGATACCTGTCAAAGTGATTCCGGTAAACAACAAAATTGATTGAAAAGTAAGATTATTAAAAATGTTTTTGTGGGCATAGGTGGACCTTTATTTTATTTTGAAAACAACATAATTTACCATGTGGGGATTGTTAGCTATGGCATAAGCTGTGCTTCCAATCAACCATCGGTAAACACACGAATCACTGCATATCTTGATTGGATTCAACGAAATACGAGATCAACAGTTTATTGTGTGAGATAAACACGAACGATTTTCAGTGAAAAGTTTAATTAATTGCTTTTTGGAACTTGAAGCTTAATTGGAGAATAAAGTTTCAAACAATAAATTAATAATTTGTTGTTGCTTATTCAATCAAACTATTTTAATCACAAATTCTTTTTTTCTTATTTCAAAAGCAATTAAAGTATTTAATGGCGGAGAAAAAACATAAACAAATTGTAAAAATACTTTTGTTCGTCAAAACATTCGTCACCAACGTCATAACAGAAGCGTGTAAAGTGCAATACGAATCAACATGTTCATGTAAAAACAGAAATTCTGTTTGATCAATACAGAAACTTTCTTTGGAAGTGCGCCAACAACATCTGACGCGTATTTTTTTTTCTCTCAAGCCTCAAGCGTAATGAGAAAATTTTTCCGAAGAAAATCTTCCTCAGTTTTTCATAAGATTTTCTTGAGCAATCAACAAGTCTTGTTTCGTGGTGTAAATTGTATTTTTTTGCGTTTTGGATTTGGGTCAATTGGATAAGAAAATTGGAAGCAGTGACCTTTTTATTTATTTTCCCTAAAATTACTTACTACAAGTATGGAATGTGTGCAATCGTTCAAAGCTGGTTGGAAAATCAATCAAAACGACGAAGGTATTGTGTGTGAAAAGATTTATTTTTGGATTAAGTGAAAAGCCGAATATTTTCAACGTATAATTAACAATTGATGTGTGGTGCTTCTTACTTAATGAAATATTTTTATGCTTTCATAAGCGACACGCATGGAAAACATTCTTGACAAATTCTTCCCAGAAAATTGAGCAAAAGAGAAAATGAAACGAAATTGTTTTGCCAACTAATTTTCCGGTATTCTCTTCTAGCTTGTTACATTGAGATTGATGAAGATGACGACGAAGGCTGTGTTGTTGATGAAAATGAAATGATGTCCAAATGGAGTGACCTTCCAGATTTGCTACTTGAAGAAATCTTCTCCTACTTGAGTATAAGTGAACGTTATTACGCCAGCTTGGCATGTAAAAATTGGTATCGTGCCTTCTATTTGAAAAGAGTTTGGTCGAACTTCCTGATTGAAGATGAAACACTTTGTCGGAGAAAATTTAATTATTACAGTGGCTGGAATCATGTTTTAGATCATATAAGAACGCAAACATGTTTATCAAGAGTTGGGCAGTATTTTAAGCAACTTGAATTTGTTCCAACGCACAATTTTAATAACATGTATCAGTTCATGACGCTTCTTACTTTCAACATTCAACAAAGCAGAAGAACAAATTGCGATTTAGAATATAGCGGAGTTGGTAAACACATCACATCATTGAAATATATTTTTCCCTGTAACATGGCAATGAGATCAACAGATGACGTTAAGCTTTTTGGGACCGGAGGGCAACTTTTGAAGACTCTCAAAGGATTGCTTTATGAACTGAATAAATTGAAAACCTTGAAACTTGTTGATTTAATGCTTGAACGATACGAAGCCAAACATTTATTGGATGAGGTGTTGGAATCTTGTAATATGGTTTTAAAGGAATTGGTGTTGATTAATGTTACAAACACTCATTGCCCAATCATGCATGTTGGTCTCTTCTTCAATCTCCAAATTCTTACAATTTCCCCTCAAAACTTGGACGATGATGTCCTTCAATTACTCGCATCGACAGCTTTAAAACATTTACACATTTTCCAAAACAATTATTGCCCAACGACGCCAGCTGCTTGTTCTCCGAAAGCATGGAAGCAACTTAGAACAGAGAATCCTAAAATCAAAGTTCATTTGCGGGTTGAATCAACAACGAATGCTGATTTAACTTTTCAACCGAACGCTCCTGTTTACTCTGTAACCTACCGCACTCCAAGGAATCAAATTACATCGGAAAAAATCATTAGAATCGTTGATTTATACAAATATACCCTCACCACTTATGGCCACGAGCTTCTGCCAAAATATTCTTGTCCCAAGTCATTTCATAATCGAATTGACAGCTTATTGGTTCTAATGGCACGTCAATGTCCTGATCTAACAAGCTTAACAATCAGAGAAAAAGTGTCAACATCGACTTTACTGTTGCTAGCCAAAACCGCAATAAATTTAAGATTCTTTCATGTTCGATTGCACGGAGTCATCCAGAAATGTGATTGGCCGAAGAATCCTGACTGGTCTGAAGAATTCTATGAATGGCTTCGAATATCGTCACGTACATATGAGTCGACTGAAAGGGAAATTTCTCAAATTCTTGGATACAAATGGACAATGCTATGTGATAAAAGCTTTAAAAAAGTAAAAATTCATTTGTCAGGTTTCACAATTTGAAGTTTTGTGAAATTTAACAAAAAATAAATTTAATAAAAAGAATTTTCTTTTCTCAAATTAATTTCTTCTTTCTTTTCAAAGAATTAAATTTATTTGCTTTGATGTATTTATAGCAAGAAGAAATTCAAGAAAATTAATTGAAAGACAATAAATAAGAAAGCTTTAAACTTTGATTGATTCTCGTTCAAGTGACATCAGTGAAGAGCTTAAAAAGCTTTCAAAAGACTCATAAATCATGAAATTTAATTGTAAAAATAAATTGCGTAGAAAACGTTGTAGAACGGAAAGTTCAATGATTCTGAAAATAAATTTATACAGACAATCAAAAACACAAGTTTTCAGCTCGTTTGAAATGTTTCTTTACTAATTGAAATATTTTTCATCCTTTCTCATCATCAAATGGCTACAAGTTACATTCCTGGTGTGTGTTTATTGTCATATTTTTTTTTAATTTTTATATTTTCTTTAAATATCGTTTCTGAGAATTCTACTTTATTTAACAATTAATTAAGTTTCTATGTTTTCTTTCTCTGCGAAAATATGTAGCTGCCGTCTGAGGAAAACCTTTGTTCTGTTATTGATTATTATTGTTTTTTGTCTTTGGATTCGTTAAATCTTTTAATCGTTCTGAGAATATCTTTGAGAATATCTCTTAAACTTCAAAAATTCTTGTTTTCTTTGCTACAAATCCTTTTTTTTTCTTTTCTCTAAAATAGTGTCCACATTAATTACATAATTTTAAAGTTGAGAAACTTTTTACCTTTGTATATATATATATTTATATATATATGTTTGTTATTAATCTTAGGTTTAGCTGCCATAAATTTATTTTTAAATTTTTCTTCAAAACACGTTTCTAAGCGCTTTAATCAAAGTCTTTTTTAAGTAAAGCGCCAAATATTTTAATATTATTATGAGCTGTTTATTGTCATAAGCGATTATCTCAACTTGATATTGTTATTAAGTTCTTTTATGAAAGATGATGTCCAATCGATCAATCGATTGACCATTCGATTAGTATTCAATTTCATTCATGTTGATAACAATTTCAAATTTTGTAATCACTAATTTTTCCATGCCATGATGACAATTTTAAAGAGTCTTCCGTTGTCAATATCTTTGAGTCATACACCATGACTTGTAAGTTTCTTTTTTTTAATGCATAAACATAATGAGGCAACATTTTACAAAAACCACCATGTAAGAATAATAAATAAAATTAAAGAAAATTTTATCCTCTTTTTCCCTTAAATATCGATATCATTAATTAGTTTTGTAAAACTCTCAATTAAAATAAGCTAGTCTATATTTTATGTTTTTAAAAATTAATACAACATTACATCTTCGTTCGAAGGATTATCTTGTTGAATAAAGTTTTGTATTTAAAATAAGCTACGACATCACCGAAAGCTTTTCCCACAGCATTATTGAGACATTAATCTTTATTGAGTTTCTAAACTTAGTTTTATTTCCCTTTAATGGGATGTTGTACAATATCTAATCGTTCAAAAGGGGCTTAAAATGATTTGTCATTTCCAATGCTTTTCATTCTTTTTAAAAAGCTGAAAAAAATCTTGAATTCTTGTCGTGCTCTCTTTCATCGATTGTGAAATAAAAACAACAACTTGAAGTTTTCATTATTTTAATTGACAATGGAATAATTTTCCAAAAAACTTTCATTTTATGTTTATCATAATTTCTTCGTTACTAAACGCATGTACACGTAGATGTTGACAATGATTGAAAGTTTCATTAATAATTAATTACAAAACAACTTACGTCGTTGAAACATTTACATTTATTAAACAAAGCATCGTTTCGAAAAATCGAATTGAAATTTGATCAGCGAATTGGAAAAGCAAGTTTGAACAGCTGCTGTGAAGTCTCATTATAAGTGATTAGATATTTCCTTAGGTGGACTTCTTTTTGTTACAAGTGAAGTAGCAATATCAGCATTGTTTTGATAAAGAACGAATGTTCACTGTGCAATGTGGTGAAAAAGCTTTCAGTTGAGCATATTTTATTGTTCGTAAAGAAAAGCAAAAGCAAAAAAGTATACATTTAATAAACGAAAGAAAGCTTTTATAGATGTTGTATCAACGTTTATATTTCTATGTTCCATTGATGGAAAAAGCTTTAAAAAGTGTTTCTTTGTTATTAAAGCTGATTGAATTCGTAGTACTTATAGATGTAAAATATAATGAATATGTTTTTATATCCGCAATATATATTGATATGCTTTCAACCTACACTGCCAATGTTGAGCTGTGAATCATAAGGAGATGCTAAGTGATTCTCTTCACGGGCGATAAATCAAGCACTTCCGGGCAATAATACGAAGCTATACATTACGATGATAAAGGAGGGCGCGAGAGGAAAATGTCTTGAATACAGTCTCATTAATAAACATTTTCCTATGTTGTATCTGTGTTTCGCTCGCGCCATTTATTGTCAAAATATAAATCACCTATACAGCTATCAAATGATTTATTCTCGGCTTTATCTACACCAAGAAGTTTTGTTTTTTTTTTTACTTTTCTTTCTTTTTTTTGTGCTTATTCCGTCATCGGTTTATCCGTCGTTAAGGATTTTGGGAGATATCTAAAGAAGTTTATTATCTTTATAAGTGATAAAAGTTTTCTTTAAATCTTCTAAAGTATTGTCATCAATTTGTTTTATTTTAATAAACTTTTTCAATTACTTTTATAATGACCATTAAAACTCGTTCATTCAGTTCAGATTGAATTATTGTCAGTTTCATTTCTAAATTTTTAGAGAAGTTTTTCTTTTTGTTGTTAAAACATAATTATCTCAATGGATATCCAATAATGAAGTATTAATAGAAAAACATGCTAAAAATATATTTATCAAACCATCTTTATACAAACATTTTCCATGTATTATTTAATTTAATATATCTTCTTCTTAAGTGCTTACACAATTTTCTTTTAATAAACAATTATGATGGTTGTCTTTATTATGCCATGATTTCATCATCAAACTTGCGCAATATTTATGCTCAATATAGCCTTACCGAAGAGTGAAAGTGTAACAACTTTTAAGTACTCATAACTCAAGGAAAAAGATTATCAAAAACATACACGTCTGTTGGGAAAAAGTTTCATCATCCATAAGCCCCAAGTGTTAACAATTATTTATGTACGCTTCACGAAAAGGAAGATATAACTTTCGACATAACAAAAATGTTTTTACATTGATGGTTTAGCATTGTAATGACAACATACATATTTGTATGTGGTAATAAATGTGCTTGAAGTTCTCTTTGAGAGGAACTTTGTTGGAAAGGGGGAGCCCTGATGGGTGAACAAATCACGGATTACGATTACACAATAAAAAATCACCGACAGATGGAAATTTCACAAAAATTCTAAATTCTGTCGTAAAAATGAAAAACATTATGTTTCTTTTACGTGATTGAGGTGATTTGAAAATACCCAACGATGGAACAATACGTAATTTTCCACTTGAATACATCAAATAAACAAAGAATTTATGACTTTATTCTTGACGTTTCCCTTGACAAAACAAGAAGAAAATTTATGGAAAACTTCCCTAAGCAAGTCATGCGAATTTATCGCGAATGTAGCTTACGAAAAACGAAAAAATCTTTTTTACAAAACCGTAAGTAGCTATGGCAATGAAATTTCAAGCAGCAAAGGTTAAGCGAATGAGATTAATGTCAAATTGAAAGCAAAATGAAGGATGTAAGGAAGACATGTCAATCTTAAAATCGATTTGTTTCTTGTTTCTTTGAGGGTCTACAGTGTTTGAATTTCACGTTTCAAGTGTTTGAAAACAGCAAAATATCAGAGCAGAAAAGAATGTGAATGAGAATGGCAATTCAAAGAATTTCACGATTTCATTGTTAGAATTTTGAGAAAATTTACTTTCCTTTATTCTTGATCATATTTATCAATGCTACTTGTTCCACAAGAAATGTCAAAAGAAAATTCTTCCACATGTAACACCCACACAGAAAATTCTTCATTACTTTTTTTTCATTCTTTTTTCCTTTGTTCAAATTGAAATGCAAAATGGAACGAACAAATTCTTTTCGCACAAATTATAATTCAATTTAAATTATTAAGAAAAGTTGCGAAGCATAAAGACTTTGTTACATAAATACATGCTTGAAGACAGATTTGGGAAATGATCAAAAGCGTGTAAAAAGTTGTACACAAAATTTAATAATTTTGTTAATTTCAAAAGAAAAATGAAATAGAATTACGAAAGTGATTCAAACTGACATGGGTAGATTAATATTGACATTGACATTGTCAATTCATCTTTCCTCATACTGTTCACATCGCTGCTTGAAAGAAAAACGTGAATGTCGAAGTTAATATAAAAGAAAGAATGACAAAATTGTTCCAAAATATAAATTGTTTTTAATCATCATTCTCTTTCCATCAATTCAAACGTTCTCACCCTTTACTTCATCATTTAATTATCAACATATTTCATTACATGCTTGAGAAGTCATTGCTGAAATTAAACGAAGCATGAAACTGATGACGCTAATTATTTTTCCGCTAAAAAAGCGAATATTTGAACAGCGCAAGTTGATGATATCCGTTTATGGATATTTATATGTAAATTATGCAAATATGTTCATACAATTCTATAAACTTCTAAGTAAGTAAGTAAGCTTCATACTTGAATGTGAGGGTTGGATGAAAAGTTATCAATTTTTCGTTCAATATGTATGCGCTCAAATTTGGTGTGTAGGCTTGATTTATCTCATCGTACATGTTCATAAATAGAAAGTTTTCCTTTTTCTTATATCCTAATTTAAATATTCAAAATGGTATATTTGTAAGTGATTCTGTGTTAATATAATAAATATTGAGCTCAAAAATTGTATTTATAATTATTGTCGTATCATAACTATTGTCATTTGCCCTTTAAATTTGTTCCTTTGTTCTTGTTCTTTTTATTCTCTTTTTTGTTTCCTTAAAACTTTATTTTCAATCGTTTTGTAAAGCTTCACTTTCTATGTAGTGTTGATTATTCATTATAGCAGAAGTGTAAGTAAGTAAAATGGGTTTGTCATCTCTATTAAGAGATAAGAGCAGGAAGAGATGGGTGAGATATGTGTTGACAAGAGTAAAGAGTCGTCGACAGAGAAAAGATAGATATGAAAGTGTTTTGAAATGCATTAAGTTGAGAATAAGAGGAAAGACTTTCTGTCATTTTTATCCTGACTTTAGAAAATATTTTTCTATTCTTCTCTCACCACAAGAAAGAACGTTTGGATTAGAAAAAGAAACTCTTCATTTTACTTCTTAGATACAGTAAACACTTGATATAACATACTATCGATACAACAATTTACTCGATGTTACATTGCATCTGGTTCGAAATTTGGAAGAAAATTCCCTTGATACAACATTTCCCCTCTATGCAACAGATTTTTCACCGGTCCCTTCATCTATTCTTATATCAAGAGTTCACTGTATTTGATATGATTTCTTTTTATCATTCTTCTTCTTTTTCGTCTGGATAAAAAAATTTCCACCATAAATAAATAAATATTTATGATATCCGTGAGTTTTCATCTTCAATTCAGTTTTTCTTTTTGTTTGTACGGCTTGCTTTTATCTTTTTTGATATGGAAAAGACGTTTTTCATATTATTTCCATAGAAATGAATTTGTTTTTCTTCAGACATTGTTTACTTGTGATTCAAGAACTTTAAAGCTTAAATTTGTTTCTGATTAGGTTTTTCACTTAGCAGTTGATTAATGTAATAGTAAAAGTCATTGATATTGTCTTGATTAACACTATTGAAGTAACCATTTATGTCATAATCTACTAAATCATCATCATCGTCGAAATATGTAACCTCGTCAAGTGCATTTGGAGCTGCATCAGCTAAATAATCTCTGATACTCACATCTGAACTGTAAACACTGTTCTCATTCATGTCGCCATTTGATGGTTGACGATACGATCGCTTCACATTGTCGTTTGTCGTCCAATATTGATTTGATATCAATTGCATGTCATCTTTATTGTCAAAGCCTTTATTTTCATTTCTCAGCAGTTTATTTTTATTACTGCTATGTCCATTCTTACCCCGTCGTGATGATTGTGATGACAGCGATGTTTTATAACTAAATTAGAAGAAGAAATGATTGATTGCATCGAATGAAATAAAAACAATAAAAATAAGTTTAAGCAAGAGAAACATCATTGAATGATGACAATAAAACTAAACTCACTGTTGACCATTTGTGATGTCTTTCAAAATAGCAGCCCTTGCAGCAATCGCTTCATTCTTTCTCTGTTCTTCAAGTTCTCGAGCTCTTTCGGTCCAAACTAGCTGCTTTAAACGTTGAAAACTTCCGCGTTGTGGTGCAATTTGATTGGCACCGAGCCCTGTTGTTGATCCGAAAATCGCATGCTGTGCTACGTTAGGAGATCCCGATATACTGTTGCCACTTCCACCGTTACCAAATCGAACTTTCGGACGATTGCGTCGGTTCTGCTGTGCTTGCTGTTGCTGATTACCAAGCAATCCATTTTCGAAAGGGCGAATGTCATCGTAAGACGGGCGAGCACGATCAAGAGAAGGTGGAATGTCATAATACCGTCCTCCTATCGGCAGTGACTGTAGTTGTGGTGGTTGTTTATGCACAACACGACCATAAACTGGACGTGGTGTACCATCACGGTATCGAGAGCTTATTCTTCGTCTATAAGAACGTACAAGAGAAGAATTAAATATAATTGATGGCTTTTTAGTTCATTCGTGCATTAAGGATAAAGTCATTGAATCTTTTTCATGAGAGTTTTCAATTTAAAACTCTCAGTAGATGATAAAAGAGGTAAAACAATGGAAAATGATTTATTCACTTGAATTCGTAGCAATGCTTCTTTGGCGATAACTTCAACACAACTTCGTTAAATGAACTTCAAATCTTTTCTAATATTCTTTCAATATTTAAAACCCTTGTTGTAGAAAAATGTTCGTCTCTTTATTCCCCTTTTTCCGGATTATATGTAAGCTTTTTTCTTTTCTTTTTTCAAGTAGCTTTTACTCGTAGTTAAAACTTTGTCATTGTTTTTCTTTATTCTGACTTCATAAAACAGAAAGACACAGAAGAAGAAGAAGAGAATAAATTGAATGAAGAAGGTTTTTGTAACGCTAAGTGGCTGATATTTATCATGATAACAAAAGGAAGCAACAGAAGTTAGATTAACTTACCCGCCCATGCTGCGTGTTGTCGTTGGAAAGAACGGTGGATCCCACACATTATATGTAAACGGATCGTGATATGTTGGAATTTCATTTGTAATTTCTGATGCACGTGATTGTCGTTTTGAGAATTGCCACATCGCTCGAAGCTCTTCACAACTGGGCTCATGAAGATTCATTGCTGATGTTTTCATGATTTCACCGCCACCGCCACCACCTCCGCCACCAGTTGAAACACTCCCAGATTTTTTACTGCTGAGTGCAGATAAATCATTGGAGCCGGTATGCGCACCATTATATTCTTGTGGGCGAACAAGTGCACCCTGACCATTTATCAACACTTTGTCATTAAGAAGTATTAGCAGCAGAACTGACGGTAAAAAATCAATTAATTTTTTCTGTTTCAAATGAGAAGAGCAGACAAGCAAAAGTAAATCATTATTAACATTACTTATAACGACTCATTAATTAACGAACGAACGATGTGAAGGACTCTTAGTTGGAGAAAACCTACAATTAATGGATTTAGTGAGAAGGTTTGAAACATTTTGATCTTTATTTAATAAGTACAAATGCTTCTCTTGAATGAAATTTGAAAGGTCAAAAAGGACTGAAAGCATAAATTAAGAAATTATGATGAGAAGCCTTTTGAAATTACGTATAATCGGCTTTTCTCTGAAAATGTTGTGGGTGGTAATAGCCACACATTACATAACCCTTGCAAATTACTTGTAAGCAGAAGATAAATGACATTTTGAACTGAGCAAAAAGCTTTTAACGTTGCTTAAGGAGGAAAATTCTTTCAGGGTGACATAATGACATTCCTTCTTTATATGATACGATGACATGCAACTTACCTTTGACAAATAAAACATTTTTACTGACTTATGTAGAGATTGGAAATTCTTTTTTTTTACTATGAGTTGTTATAATTTTTATTTTACTTATTTTTTCTTAAGCAGTAAATGTGATTTTACGAACTAAATTCATTGCTTAGTGACACTGAATGGAACATTTAATATTTGATTTTTTCATATCATGGTGCATTTCTTGCTTCATATCGCTGTGTGTGTGGGTGCTCTTATATATATTTTTAACACAAACAATTTACTTCACTTTTGTAGGTGCTGTTGTGGATAAAAAAATATGTGAAAAGAAAAAAGATTTTAAACGTGCTTCGAACAATTTTAGATTAAAATTTTTTTTTCTGCTAAGAATAGAAAAATAATCAAAAAATTTCTAATTTTAATTCATTTTTTCACTTAGGAATTTTATGATTTGATTTATTTAGGAGATACAAAATAAAATCTTCTAAACAACTACAGCAAAAAAACTGAGCAAGGTCGTTCTAAATTATCTACGTGCATAAATATATTTAATTGAAATTTTTGTTGATGTTTTATATCCGTAAAACAGAAGAATGTATCTAACATTAAATGGTGTATAACTTTAGTGCGAGAAAAATTGTACAGGAAATTATAAGTCGACGTGCTTACAATCAAAAAGTTTTCAGTTCTTAGAACAAACAACGCTTACATAAATGCTTAAAGAATTTCAGTGATTTTATCCTTTTTTCTGACATTATAAATATTCAAAGGTACTTGTTATTGGAACCCGAGAGTTTTCGACAAAAATTATAATTTCAAGCATTCAAGTTTATTGAGATAGGAGAAAATATTTTGAATTCTTGTGACTTGCGTATCAAATAATTTTTAGGATAGAAAAAAAATGTTTTGGATTCTCTTTTGTTGTTTTCTTTGAAGTGAGGAGGAAAAAGTTTAAAGCAATAAATAATTCTACAACATCAACCGAAGCCAGGCATCAACTTGTTAGCGAAAGATGTGAAAAAAAATCTCATTAACCATCCTCTCGAGTTTGACGGATTTGTATTATAATAGCTTTGCATTTGGTAGACTTCCCTCATAAAGGATCAACAGTATTAAATGTTTGAGCTTGAAGTGAAGATAACGAGAATGGGAAGACATTGAAAATCTTGAACGTTAGGGGAAAAGAAAAGCTTTAGACTGTTACACATCAACAGCTTAGTATCTACCACAATATAATATAGATAATGAATAGAAAAGGCGCGTGAACAACAGATTTGATGACGTAAAAAATACTCTTAAAGCGCAAATTGTTTCCCTTGAGACTGTCGACTGTTTATATTAAGCAGTGCATAGTTAGCAATAGCTTCCATTATATTATATTCTTTCATTCATGTGTAAGGAAGAAAAAAAGAGAAATTTAACGATGAGAATAAAAGAAGCGATCCTTCTTTCTAATTTCCATAGAAATTGGTCAATTTGCGAATGAATGAACCAGCTTTTATGTGCTTTTAGCTTAAGCTATTTCGTTGAAAGAAGATGACTTTGCCTTTTTTTACGAAATTAGCAGTTTCATCAAAAGCTTCAGTGTAGTGGAAATCCTTTGGGGTTGAACTCGCCATTGATGGCATCAACTCTTATAATTCATTTTAATGACACTGTTGCTTTCGCTATAACAAGATAATTTTCTAACTTTTAGTTTATGTTTATTCACTGACCTTCCCTTCCCCCTTTTCAACATCTTTTCCAGTTTGTAAGCTTTTCATCTCTTTTTTGTTTTAATTTCTATAAATATTTAAATGTGACTAAGCAAATATTTTTAATTAAATTAAACCATACATTTTCCTTTTTCTCTTCATCCCACTAATCGCATGAGCAGAGACGTAAATGTGAATTTGTTTTAATGGAGAAGGAACGAGCGGCATCTCGTTTTGTGAATCAAGTTATAGCATGAAAAAGGAAATTTATGATGATATCATCATTTAAAGAAATGCTCACTGAAGCTTTTAAAATTCTAATTCAACATAAAAAATTGAGCAATAAAATGTAGAAAGCAGTTTTCATTTTATATGAAAAGAAATTTAATAAATTTGGGCAGCAAACGTTTCATTTATTTTGACATCGACTTCGGTAGTTAAACTTTTGTCAATAAGATGTCAAGTTAAGTAGCAAAGTGTAACAAACAAAGCTTTTATTGTCAGAAATTTTCAGATGCTTAACACTGTTGAAGATTCTGGCAACTATGCTAATTTCTTCGGAAACATTGCGTAAAAGAAATTCGCGAGAAAACAAAAACGATCAACTTTTTTTTCCTATTCATTCCTTTGGAAAGCGTGTTAAAACAATTTTCATTAAACTTTTCACCCTCCAAGTAAAAAGTTTTTAACTGCGTTGAATATCAAGAAAAAAAGAAAGGAAAAAAAAGAAAAGTTTTTAAGCTCATTTTTTTCTATTGAACGTCGAAATTAAAAAAGAAAGAAAAATGTAAACTTTTTTTTGCAATATTTATACCGATCCATCGAGGGAGGGACTGGGTTGAAAAGTTTTTTAGAAAAAAATAAAATAAAAAACGTCAGAAAGACAACTGTGAGTAAAACGGAAAAAGTTGAAAGAAACTCGCACAACAAGCAGCCCTCAAAGAATTTTTACTTCACTTTTATCTTTTTTTTCGGGACCGCTTGATGGGAGGGACGGAGTAAAAGGAAACGGCAAATGGAAACTGTTGGGTAAATTAAATTTAATGAAAAGCCATCATTTCAACGAGAAATGAGAGAAAATTAGAATTTCCGTTTCGCAATTTTTCACTTGACTGCGACAAACTCGGGTTACGAAGAGAAATCCATTGGAAGAAAAATTACTGGGGGATGAATTTACACTTCTCTCGCTACTTGAAAGCTCATTTTTGCAAATTTTAAACAGTGAATGTGCAAGAGTTTCTAGTTTAATAAGAATAGGAATAAAACAATTCTTCACTACTTGTAAGATATTTTAAAAATTCTTTTTTCTTCTATCTTCTACAATCCACTCACTTGAACAATCAATAAATCTCGGAAGGCTAAAAACTTTTTCACAAATTGCAATTCTTTTTCCACATTGAATCTTTATTATTTTTTTCTTTCTCTTTTTTTCCACTTTTTTCTTCCTTTTCCCACTCAAATGATTTAATAGAAAAGCTCATTCACAAAGTGAAAGAAATTTTTTTTTCCAACTGTTTCTCTCGAGACTTCAATGAATTCTGAGATCGGGCTATGAAGTGTTTTTATTCATAAGCAGAAAAGCACGAGCCTGACGTTTGATGATGTTAGTGGTGAGAGGAAAATGAAAAAGCTTAGAGGGGAAATTCGAGAGAGAATCACGAAAAGTTTTTTCTCAATGAAATGTTCAACAATCCGGGATTCGTGGTTTTTGCTGCTGATAACCCTGCTGATAACGACATAATACATTACGATATCTTTTATTTTTCTTTTTTCTTCACATTTGCCTGCGCTCTTTTGTAGACTCAGAGAGCCTGTTGAATGGAATGAGTGAATGTGGAATTGAATGGTTGATTCATTACAAACCTGCATGTCATCATCATATATACAACGAATATTCTTCGACAATAATGAAAAGGGATGAAGGAAAAACTGAAATCGGTATCGGTGCTGAATTCATTCAGAAGATGACAAGTTTTTTCAATACGTTTTCTTTAGAATGTATAAAAATAGACAGGATATTAAAATATATTTATATAATATTAATATATTCATCGAATCACAATTTCCTATACAAAATTGAAGGACAAAATTCGGCAAAATATTTGCTCAGGGGAGTTATAAATATGTATAGATAGAGATCTTGGTCTGAACAAATTTAACCCCTTTTTCTGCTTTTCACCGAAGAAAATTAAATTAATATATTTCCCTAGATACCTTTGAGACAATTTTAAATCTTAATCTAATAATGTTCAATAGCAAATGAAATGTCTTAATAACAAAAATAGATTTAAAACATAGAAAATTCAGATAAGCATCAATCAATAAAATCTTAAATTATGTGTACGATACTATAATGAATTAAATATCTAACTCAGATTAAAATTCTCAAACATTATAATTAATAATTTATAATTTTCAAAGTTTTACACATTTTATTTGCGTCTTAATTTATTAAATTGTGAATAATTTTATCTGCAAAGATGAAATAATTTCCCAGGAAAAGGAAATATGAAAACATGGAAAATCTAGATTTTGTTTTAGATTATTTACTTCTAAGTAGAATTTCTTTACTTCAATGTCTTCTTTTCAGTCATAGTAATAAATATATCATTATAGCTTATAATTTTCAGTATTAAATCTTCTGTCAACATTAAATTTAGAAAGTGTCAGCTGTTGTTGTAAGTAAACAGCGTCAATTGTGAATTAATTTAAATATATAAATTATATCACTCTTTTGACAACCAACCAACCAACCATTGAAGAAAAAGGCAATGGAAGATAATTTTCATTCATAAAAAAAACTACGACGGAGAATTTTCCCATTCCAAATGTTTTAATACTCGACACATTTACTTATTTAAGCATGTGAAGCTTTCGATAGGAGAAAAAGTAAAGACGAATATTCTCCGACAGTCTTAAATGTGATGCTAAAAGAAAAGCTCAAGTGCATTGGTGTGTGTATTCAATTTTCCGATTGAAGGAATAAACTTTTCATTACACATTTCAACAAAAAAACTTTTTTCTTCCGTTTACTTAAAGTTTGTAAAGGAAAACTTTGAAATTTACCTTCACTGTTGAAAAATTGATTTGAAATTATGAGAAATAAGAAGAATAGAAGAAAGGATCGTTCAGATGCTTGTTGAGAAGAAAATTTATTTCATTCCTTGAGGCAGCTTTGAAATGAACAAATACTCATGCATCGACGTGTTTCATTCATCCAAAGCATGAATGAAAATTTATTTTGTAACGTTATTGGAGGGGAAAGAAGGAAAGAATATTATATTCTAGCTCTCTTCCACCACCCACGCATTCTGTTTTGAAGAGACGTTTCGTATCAAGTAGAACACCAAACTTTCCTCAGTGTAGGAGGGTTCAGAATATATTTTTCCTCGGTTCTAGAGCTCGTATCATTTATAATGTAATGATGACGTATAACGAAGAACTGAAAGTGGTTGGTTGGATGTGCTAATAAAGAAAATATTTCCCGGGAAGAGAAAACAAATTTTTATTGTTATCATTTCAAGTTAAAATCTTTCTAAAATAACCTAACAGAGCTTTATGATTTTTAAATGATTTTCAGAAGAAAAAAAGAATTCAAATGAAATACTTTGAATGTTTAAATTAATTTTTATTTTTATGTTCAACGTAAGCGACAGAGACACCTGAAAAGACATTTTTTAATATACTCAAAGACTCAATGACTATTCATTTAATTGACAACAGTATGATGCTGTCTTCGAGTCAATCATGATAAGAATGCGAGCAATGTTAAAATAGCCAAGAAATTCTCATCAACTTTTATTGAGGCATAAAAGGGAAAACAAATTCGTAAAACTTTCCTAGAATAACGTCGTTGAATGAAAGATTGTGAGCAGAAAAAGAAAAACGAGAGGAATTTTTCATGAAAGTGATGGTGAGTCGGTGATAAAGCTCTTAAAGGTCTCAAAAGAATGTTTCACAGCTCTTCATGCGACATCTCATCCGTTTGTGTTTTTGGTTTCTCTATAAAAAGCAAAACGTAGAAATAAAAAGAAATATTCGAGAAGTTTTTGTCTTCGTGACATCTTCGAGAGATAAAAATGTTTCTTATTGTTGTTCTTACCATTTGCACTTTTGCTATTAGTCGTTTGCTCCATCTGTTCTTCGTCAAGCCAACGAGCCATTAAACTTTTGATTTCATTATCGTAATCTTTCCACTCGGGCACAATTCTTTGTGCGGCAGTTAATTTTGCTTCTTTTGTTAATGGATTATTACATAAATCGATAGTCTTCGCTCGCTTTAACCCATCATCGGAACACCATGTTTCACACCAAAGCCACTCTTGTGGAAGTGATTTGATTGCAACTTGATGTATCATGTTGTTGGGTAAATCTTGATCGAGGTTCGACAAAGAGTTTGGATCTTGACTGAGTGCTTGATATTGTCCACGTAAGCGATCTCCAGCAGCAACTTTTCTAAATCGCTTCAAGTCAACGACGTAAAGTGCTGAGATGTGATATTTACGTCCTTGAAGATGATTCCGCCAATAACCCGAATTCCAGAATCTAAATCCATCCATTTCCTTTCGAGAATCACAAAAAGGCGTGTAAGCGTATGGCGCACCACCCAAATCCATATCGTAAAGTTCTTTCATATCAGCACGAACAATTTGATCAGCATCAACAAAAATGATTTTCTTCACATTCAAAGGAAAGAGAACGTCGAGGAAAAGAATTTTGTAGCCCCAAATCGTCCTTTGCTTCTCTGTTTGTTGATGCAACCATCGTGGCCATTTATATTGAACAAGTTCGTAATCAAAGTTATATTCGCGACTCATCGCTGGCAAGAAATCTTTGAATTGTGGCGATAAATAATTCTTCAAAAACCAAAACTTTACTGGTTGTTTTGTATGTTTAAGCAATGACAACATCATGATGCGAAGTAATCGTTCATACAAATGACCAGAAGCAACTGAGAAAATGTTTATCGTCTCAGCAGTTGTCTCAGTTCCAGATCCACTAAATGTACTTGTGATTGAATCCCAAATTCCTCCACTTTGCTCTTCATCACCCAACAAATCAGCGTTTAATTTCTCAGGTTTTTTAGTGACACGAACTTTCAACACATGAGAACGGAAACTATTTATGACGACAGACACGAGGCCATCGTTGACTGAATGAATTGTGTTCAGTCCTTCAACGTTCGTCACATCATAAATTTCAGCACTCTTTCCATGACGAAGTTTGAGAGTCCACGCTCCAGGGTTTGCTTTCAATTGAAAATATCCTAAATTAGCCATGACAATCGTGTCAACAACGACTTCCTGTTCTTTTGTTCCTAAGGTGAATTGAAGACCACGAGGCGGTGATCCGGTCGTTGTATCGAAGCAATGTCCTTCAAGTAGCAAATATTCAAGCTCGTATTCACTATGAACTGGTCCGCCAATGTCAGACAAACGAATGTTGTCGAGATCATAAACAGATCGCATTAAATCCGCCATCCAATTCTCAGGAATTGCCAGATTTTGTGTCAGCAAAGGATTTGCTGGCATTCCAACGAATTTCGCAACGGGACCGTTTGCTAAACGACCTTCGGGTGTAAATTGAAGTTCTGGCTCGACCACATAACGATAGAAATTCTTTACTGGCATATCTGAATGCTTATCGACGGAACAAAGGAAAATTTTTAACTCACAATTAACAACTTGACGTAAAAGAATCAAAAGCGGCGCCAATTTTTGCGCCCCACGCGATGCTGGGTCAAGCACAGCAATAATATTAAAGTTTGGTTCATCTTTGACTTTCGGTGGAAGTTTAACAACAGTGAAATCTTCTCTTAATTCTGTTGGAATGTTAAAGCGATTTTTTGATGACGTTCGTGGCATCAGCAACGACAACAAACGAACCATCACATCAGACGACAGTTCAAGATCAAAATCTTCTATTTTGATTGTTTTTAAAGCTTCTTTCACTTTCGAAATGTATTGTTGTTGGTTTATTTTATCTAAAAGATTAAAATCATCTATCGTGAAAAGTTCATCGTTGTCAAGTGGCCCGAAGATTCTTCCATTTGTGATGACACTTGTCTGACTGCTTTTAAACTTCAAAACACGTTGACAATAAATTCGAAGCATTTTAAGATGAAGTTCGGCAGTTGGAAGAAATCCTTTAACGTTATCTGTCATTGATTGTTTGTCGTCTTCTTCGAGATATTTGAGAACTTTCTCGGTTGCTTCTTTTCCATCGAAAGTGTTCAACATACTCCAAATAATTGCATTGTAATCCCTTCCAACACTCATCGCCGCATCTTTATCAGCATTCGGAATGAATGTCAGTCGAACTCCGCTATTTGATTTTATATATTTTAATCCGTTTATCAATAATTCCCGATCACGTTTCTCATTCAAATTTCCAACAATCCAAACCGTCAAGAAGTGAAGTTTGTTCTTCATAAATTTTTCCTGCGAGTACTTTGCATCGAAATATTTAATATGCTTCATCACTGTTGCTGTTAAATCTTCATTGTTAAGTGTTGCCAGAAGTTTCACATCTTCGATATCTTTTGCAGCTTCTCCCGAATGCATGTCCAAGCTTTGACTTTCATCATTCGAAAGAATTCTTTGATTTAATCTAGAAAAAAAGGAAATTTTAGTGAAACTTTTAGAAATTGTGAATAAAATCAACTCACCTAAGCATGACATGAGGTTGTTGCATTAAATAGTCGATGACATTTTCGCCGTCACTTAGATCGCCTCTGTAAATTGATTTCTGAAGTGTTGGTGTTTGTTGCATGATTTCTGTTAGAATTAATTCTTCAAACTCATCACGATTCAAAGACTTTTCCGATAAAAGAACGCCATTTAAAAGCGCTTGTGGAACTTTCTTCACTCCCAACCTTTCAATGAATTCCTCTGATAATTGACGTCCATAATCGAAATCGGAATCTTCACCAAGTGCATCGTCAACTTCATCAATTGTAAGCTTTGAATTTGTTCTCTTGAAAATCTTTTTGATCGCAGCCAAAGTCAAATCTTCAGTCTTTTCAATTGCAGAGAAAATGTCGAGTAGAAAGCTCAAAGCTTCTCTCGATCCTTTCTTTTGTTGCATGTAATTGAAGGCACAATTAAGTGTGCGATAAAGTGAATCGAGATTGCCAATTCCTGCTCGTGTATCTAAAACAATTCCTAATCGAATTGGTGCTAAATTGACAACAAAACTTTCAGCCATTCGAATGAGATCACGAGCGTCTGGCTTGATGGGATCAAACACCAGCACAAGATTAAAGAAATTCTTGCGAACACTTCTCATCATGCCAGGAAATGTTGGTCTCAGCATGTCCATTACACTCCCACCCCATCTTCGATATTCTTTATCAACTTCCAAGTCGTTTACCCAAATAACTGCCGAGTCTCGAATATCCATCGCAAATTCTTTCGCTTGTGATGCAAAGTCAAGTGCAAGAAGTGGACTTGATGCGGTTCCATGAAGTCCAATCTTGTTGAGACCATCGAGAGTCAGCGATTCTTTCTTGAGAGTGTCAAGTAATGTCTCAAGATCCAAAGTTTCAGCATCAAAATACATTCCGTTAAGAAACAAAGCAGCATCGGGTGGTTGAAGGTTGAGATTACGACCAAACACTTCAATGTTGTTTTTCATTTCAATTTTAAAATCTTCACTGACTTGAGTGTGGACTAAAGTTTTAGCTTGTGTTGGGAAGTTTTGTGCTGTAAATTGAAGAATTGTTAAAGCTTCTTCACCTTGAATGGAAGCAACTCGTTCAGCAGCTTGAAGTCCCAATTCTTGGAATTCCCAAGCTTTCAATGGTGCGACTTCTTCGTTTTTCTCCAATAAACTTCCGCGAAGTTTGTCCAAGGAATGTGATAAGTGTGGGAATCGAATTCGAAGTGTTGCAAAGTTAAAACCTTCAACTTCATTCTCAACAGAATCACCGTCAATGTTCTCATCTTTATCTTTTCGTGGTGAATCATCTTGAGCTTTGTATTCAGTTGACTTGAGATGAAGTTCAACTCCGTATCCAGATAGGCGAACTTTTGTCTCTGATCGATGTCTGATAAAATGACGAGCTACATATTTGATCACTCCATTTAATGCTTCGTTCTTTATCACATGATGGAACTCATTAAAACTTGCACTTCCAACTTCTCCATAAAGTGTCGTTGTCAATAAATTATTTTCAGTTCCAGGAAAGATGTGATCAAAACTATACAACTCCGAATTGTTATCAGAATCAATTTTTGATTGCTTCAATTTAGCTTTCAACTCGTTGACAGTGCAAACAAGATCGCTCCCAATAATCACAAATGCTCTGGATCCTTCTCTGCAATCTTTATGCTTCAAAATGTCATCAGCAATCATAAAATTCGACTGAATGCGTGGCGTAAGCGAATGAAGCGATAACGACAACTTCAACAATTTTAATTGTGCACCAGTTAGAAGATTACTAGCAACATCTATTGAAGCTTTATAGCGTTGATGATCATTTTCCAGATCATCAAGATTAATTTTTAAATTTGCTAACTCATCGAGGAAGATCCAAAATTTCTGATTTGAACTGTCAGATAAATATTCAGCAATTTCCAACTGAATGGGTGTTATGCTCCATTTTGCATTAATTAATGTTGTGATTGGGTGACTTTTAGCTGCGTGTGTTAAATTTATACTACATATAAGTATCACGAGACTACAAATTGAATTATAATTTTTCCTAAAAATTAAAAATATTCTTGGTTAAAAGAACTTTATACATAAATGAATAAAATCCAATAAAAATTGATCAACTCACATATTTACTACAATCTATTGCCTCATTTAATTACAAAAATTTACTTTTAACTATTTAATTATTTCTAAAACGTTGAAAATTTTTATGAAATCGATGAATTTATAAAACACTGAGCTGTCCCTTTTGCTTTTGTTTTGTTGTCGGAGACAAGGGCGCCGGTAAAAGTTCTTAGCTTGAAAGAATTTTTCAAAAATGTAAAACTATTTGAATTCTTAGCAATATGGCTTCACATGGAAGTTAATTCACATACAAAAACATATTTTCTGGTTGCTTTAAGCTGATTTTAAGTCACAATTATGAATTTTCTTGAATACAAGTAGCATACTACTTTTTATGTAACTTTTGAGAACGAATTTTTTTACAAGGGAAACAAAGTTGAAAGTGAAATGAGCGGTTAGTGTTTTTGGTAAACAAACCGGAAAATTTCAATTACAAATTATGAAGTCTATTGATTAAAAATAAAATAAACAATTAATAATTTATGTTGTTTCCTTCCGTCACTTTTAACTGTTCAATTGAAATAACGCGAGAAATTGTAAAAACATAATGTCAGTTGATGATCCAGCATGTCAACAAAAAAAAGTTCTCAAAAACATTTTTACTCTCTTGAGCTCTCGAATGCAAGTTTTGAAGTGTTTCAAATTCAACAAAGAATTCAAGCAATTGTCTCTTTAAAAATTGAGTAAACTTACAGACGTGTTTAGACCATTGCAGACAACGGTTGTGTTTCTTCAACGATCGGTTTAAAAAATTCATTTTAAATTAAAGTTCTAATGGATTCTGAATAATTGATGTGTCGTAATTCTCGTCAAATATCGGCGTTTATCGGATCAATTTTATAAAGTGGTGAATAAGTTAAAAAGTTTCAAAGTTGCATAAAAAATTCTGAATAAATTCTAAGGAAGGAAAAAATAAAATTAATATTATCGGATCTGCATATTTAGGTTTATTATTGTGAATTGATAAGAAAAAGTTTGGTTTCTGATTTGACAGTTGATATTAATGTGTATAACGAGTCGATAAGATAATTCTTTTATTGAAAAATAATCCTACGATCATAATGTTGGGCATATCACAGAAAAATTGTGTTAATATGAAAGTTTTCAATGGTTTGAGTTACTGCCTCATTTTGATTGTTCTCTTGAACAATTGTCAATTTTCAACATCTACGTTATCAACAACTCTTCCTTCTATGCTTTCATCAACTAACAGCAGTCATGAACCAATATGCTCCAATGTTATGAATTTATTTTCACAACGAGGAATCGCTGAAAAGGATTTACCTGCGAAATTTCCAATCAAAGGTAAGGATTTGTCAAAGCAATAGCTTTGATGAACTTAGTGAAGTCATTTTCTGATTTTCCTTTCCTCTCCACAATGTTTTCACCCTTTTTATGAAGAAAATTTGTTGACGTTTAGCATTAGACCGTCTTTACATCAAACATTTATTCTTAAAAAAGTGTATTCCTTTGAACGGAGGCGAAAAAAAAATCAATTAATATCAAAACGACGAGTGTCAGAAGTCTCAAGCTTCTTACTTCGTCGGCATTGTCGAGGGAAGTTTCCTTTCTCAGTTTTCTAACCCACCGACATCGATTTTCTTTCCCTAACGCTATTCCGGCTTTTCCTGGCTTTCGTTTGGAAATAATGTAATAAGTATGGGCCATATTTATTCTTATTAAACTCAAAACATTACATTAAATTCTAATGCGTAATGGGTGGAAGTGACAAGAGAAAATCGGAGGGTTGTTAGGTGAACACACGACAGCGATATATTTGCGATACGTTTATGCGAGAAAGTTGACAGTAGTAAGCAAGAGAACCCAAATGTGTTTTAAAGTATACGTTGAAAAACAAAAAGGATTTGTCGATACGTAATGTGATGTGAAAGACGAAGAGACGAACAGGGCGACATTTCACAGATGCTGACATTTTCAAAATAAAAAGTTTTTTCTTGTTTCTGCTTTGACTCAGGTTGTCAGATGTTTGATTATGCTAATTGCTTCCCTTTTTCGCTTCATCTCTCTTTTGCCTATGATTTTAATCCAATTTGCGTCGGAAATAAATATTTAATATATTAACTTGAAATCAACAAAATCCGATATCCCACACGATCGACCTACTCGGTTGAAATGAGTAAAAAAAAAATCATCATCTGTAATCTGAGTAACGATAAGATAACGAAAAATGAACAGAGATAATCGCTACGTCGCGTGTTATGGATTGGAAGAAAACTCCGAAAATGTGTGAATATTTCATTATCAAAACATACTTAGAAGAACGAAGAAGAAAGACAAAAGAGAAAATGTAATTTGTGCCGTAACGTAAGAAGAGATTCTCGTCCAATATCTCGTTGACCTGAGCAAAATGATATTTAATGGTTTCACAACACCAATTTACTTCTTCATCTCCATTTGATTTTTAAGCTTAGCGCAGCCAGGGTCCATAATGTGTGTAATATGTGTAATTTTAATGGTGTTTGATGGTTGTGCAGAGGCATCATTTGGATCTTTCGTTGTTTTTATCGGTTTTCTCGCTTCTTATGTTTGGCGAAAATTTAACCGAAAGGTATCAAGTCGGTAATGGGAGGGAAAGAAAGGAAGATGAAGAAATAAAATCTTCAACCAGTCCAAGAGAAATAAATTCTTCATTCTTCTCACCCGAAAGGACTCAAAGAAACTCTTCGTTCTGATTTCATTTTTATTATTCTTTCTCTCTTTTGCGAAGCGATCGTCAAGGCGCCAAACAAGTAAAATGACTGTCTGAGAAATCTCTTTCAATCCTCGAGAATTTCTTTCGATTCTTTTTGCCCTTTTTTTCGTATATTTATGCTTTGAAATTCTTCAATGTTTTTTTATTTATTTTCGTGTTCTTGCTTGATTTTTTTTTTCGGGTAATAATGAAGAATTTTTATTGAAGATCATCACATCACCACTACATCGGACTCGAATGTGCATTCTTCATGCCTTTTTTTCTTTTCTTCCCATTCTTGTTCTCGCTCTCATTGCCGTTGTCCATTGTCGAATGCACAACATGAAAGAACAAGAAAAAACATTCAGAAATATTCATTCTTTAATTTCCTCAACGTTCGGTCTTTTTTTGCGCCATCTCACTCTCACACTTGGACGGAACAGAAACGATCATGCAGTCGGAAAACATTAGAAGAAAAAAAGGTGAAATATACAGAAGAGAAGTGGGAATGAGAATTTAAAGAAAAAAAAGTGAAGAATTGTATCCTTCTTTATTCACTTACATACATAGATATAAAATTTCATAGAAAATCAGATGAAAACAAACGCAACAATAAAAAGATGAAAAAGAAGAGATTGCAGCTATCATTGCATAAATTGCAACATTTATCGAAAGTTTGGCATTCCACAGGTAGATTTTTATACTGCAAGCGTTAACGATGCAACATGTTAAATCATGAGGTGTAAAAATTCTTCGGAATTCTTCAAGACTCAATGAATGATGTTGTGAGAAAGCGAAAACGAATGGCAAATATTAAAAGTTGTCTGCAATCATATTTACCTAACATAAAATAATGACGATTGAAGGCAAAACATGATGGAAATGTTTGAATTGTTACTTCATCAGCTGATGTTTTGATCATGAATACTTGAATTGTTTGTAAAAAGGTGCTGAGACTCTCGTAAATTTAGTTCTTAAATGCATCAATTACTTTAGTAATTTAATTTATGTAATCAATTTAGAAGGGAAAGAAATTTCGTTCAATGCTCTTTTTTTGGAATAATCAAATTGGATGAGAAAAATTTACAATACAGTCTCGTTATCAGCACTCTCGACACGTTTTACGATGTTCTAAAACGAGTTTTCTTGCGTTTCTAGTCTTTAAGAGGCAATTTGTTACCTTTTATTTATGTTTATTTTATGTCGTTCAAATAAACATTTTTTGGGGGGCGATGGAGGGAAAAAAGGAATCATAGAAAATTATGAGCCAAGTCAGAAGAAAGAAGTTATTGTCAATAGTTGATCCTCCCCAAGAAGCTCATGATTTGAATTAATAGTGGATCGTCACAGCAGTCAATGGTAGTTGGTTTGTTATTTTCACAGCAGAGTTCATTTCTCAGGCTTAAGACGTGTTTAATGCCGGTGCAACCGTGTATGAGTTTCTCATTTAATAGCACTATTAACATAAATTTATTACACTATTTATGCTGCATTATGTGATGGCTGCTTTTATGCTCTTTCTCATTTCCATTTCCATTTTCATCTCTCTTCTCAACTTCATGCAATATACTTAGAACTAAATATTGTAGAATCTTTTCTTATATCAACATTCGAAGAAGAAGATAAATGAAATTTAAGATTCTCTTCTGTGTACACTTCATCATCAACAGCAACAATCAAAAGACTAAGAAAGAGTAAGAGGGAAAGAGAAAGAAATATCTACAGAGGCCACCTAGTCAAAAAACCGATCATAAATAATAAAGAAGGAATGTAAGGTATAGAAAAATAAATAAATAGCATAATAGGTAGACGAAGAATGGACATGAATCCCTTCGGCAAATGAGAAGAGTGGTTTTACAAGACTCTCAAATGAATATCGCTTTGATGGATGTTTTAGGATTATTCTTCCTTTCTTTATTTATATGTCGACAAATTTCGTCTCGAAACAAAATATTTTGGGTAAGAAATTGTTGTGTAAAAAGCATTAGTTAACTATTTGAATGTATACACAGAGGCGGGCAGGTGCAAAAAAGTCGATTAATTGACGGTATCTTTTCTTTTCTTAGCATTTAATGTTGAGACGGTAATCTTTATACTCTAAACGCCCATAAATTAATTAACATTACCTTACTCTCTGATAAATGATAATTTTCAATTTACCCATTGCGCATTTTTTCCACTTTCATATCATAAACCTGCAGTTATTGTATCTACAACTAGTAGATTGTCAAATACTTTTCTTTTCATGTGCAATAAAAGCGTAATAAAACTGATACCTCCAATAAATTCATTCCCGCACTCAAATGCTTTCTGTTTACACCTAATAAAGTTGTCATTGTCATGGTGAACGCTTTTTCTTTCTAAGATGATCTTACGGGGTTGAAAGAGAATGTTTTATGACATTTTATGATGTCTTTCCCTCTATACTCTTTATAGCATTTATTTCATTTTATGTCCGAAAAGAGAAAAAAGATTTTTTAGCAACTGTGAACAGACATGAACAATAACAACAACAGAAGCATGTTGAACTGATGGCATCAAATGTTTGACATCAGAATTGCTTCTTTCATTTAAGCCCATTAAGCCCATAAATTGTAAAAGTGAATTTAATTTGTTTCCAATACAATCTTTAAAGAATTGAAAGAAAAAAATAAGCGGTCGGGTGGAAAGTCATCGAGACGAGACTATGAGTAATTCAGATGAGAATAAAACCACAGAAAAAAAATGACCATCGCCGTCGAGTCGTGAAGCGAGATCGTATGAGTGGAATTTAGCACGTTATAAAATATTTTCTGAATTTAATTACATACATCATCCATAGCAAGAGTCCGCGATCAGAAGTTAAGGCCAAAAAAAAGTAACGTCGAGAGATGAACAGACATTTTTATTCTGCGCTTTAACTCAGCTATCGGATTTCATTGTTGACTCTTGTTGATGTGTTTTATATCCTCAGATCTTTCAACCCGACCGGCCGAAAACAAAAAGGAATTTTAAGAGCTTTTTATAACTTTATCCCAGTGGCTTAGACGTAAAGAAGCCACCTAACTGCGACCTAAGACTTATCATAAACATACAAATCAGTGACTTTCAATTTTCCATTTGACTGAAGAGAAATCATAAAGAAAAAAAGAACCGAATTTATTCGATGTTATCGGGAGATGGGTTCACTCGTTTTTCATCCACCGGAATGAAACCATAACTCATTTCAACATTAAATGGTCGGCGCGGGGAGATAAAAGTCCATGTTCCGAAAAAAATTTCGGTTCTCCTTTGTTTGGAGATGGAAACAAGAAGAAAAAGAGAAGTTTTTCTTCTTTTTGTTAGAAACATATCGAAAACGTATCCGATTACAACAAAATATAAGTTTACCGAAGTCATGAAAGAAATGGACGCGAACATGCAAGAGTAACAGCAATCAGGGGTTAAGCTATCAGACATACAGGTGTTGAACCTTTTTTTTCTTCGTTCTTTTTCTTGAACTGCCTTTGAATGAAATTCACGTTTAATAACATCATTAGCATCCATAATTTCTCCCATCGTAGTGGCGGCAATTCCACACATTTCGCCTTTTGTTTTACTGCTCATTCCACTCACTTTCGTCTAATTTAATATGAATTTTATTACGATAATTGTATTATGCCCATCGCCCATGATGATGTTGTCGTTTTTCTATTCTTTCTCATTCTTTTTCATCTATGTACATCAACAATAGTGAAGTGAGTCAATCTTTTAAAGGCTCGCACTCGACTACGGTGTGTATTCTTATCTAAAATCGTAAATCTCCGGTGCGTTGGAAGTTGGAAGTGATATGCGATGGTTAATGGTCAGAAACAACTTGACTCCACTTTATTCTCTCGTCATAAGATGATGATGAATATTTTTTTATTGCTTGACATCCCTGAGCATTTCCTTTTGTCTTAAGTGCATTAGAAAATTCCATTCTGCTTGGCTGCGTCGGAGCATTTATCGTCGTCTCCACTGCTATCGCTCATATCAACATTATGGTCAGTTTAAGATTCAACAGCTTTTTTCATTTCTTCTTGTGAGTCGCGCTTGAGTGAACAGACGTTGAAGAAGAACTTTTCTTTCGAGCGAAGCATGGAATTGGAAATAATTGATGTATAAACACTGATCAAATGATCAAGCGTAATGTCGAGAAGACAGTTGAGAATGTAATTTAACTGCGAGAAATCAATTTCCTCAAAAAGCGATTTTAATTATCACGGAAATACTTCCACCGATCAAACACATTAAATGCCTCGATTTTCCACAATCAGATCGTCTGAATAACAAAGAAGACAACTTTATTAAAAAAATCTTCCTTTTCAGTCGGAGAAAAAAATGATGATGAGAAGAATGAAGACAAAATAAAAATAATGAAAAGATGGCAAGCGCCTAAGGAAGTCATTCAAATGCATAGCGGGTAATTGAAAGAACTTTCGGCATGAATATACACGGATTTTGTTTTTCGCCTCTTGTTCAAGATACGCTAATGAAGTCTCAGTTTCTTTTTCCTTCTCTCTCCCTCTGACTACATTTTCTGTTTCTTTCTCATTCTTTTGTATCACAAACATGAAAGCCAAACGGTCAATGAAAGAGTTTGCTTTAAGTTGTTCCCATGAAATAAATAATCGAGCGGCATTGCGATTTTGAGGTCATTAATTATAATGAATGGACTAAGGATCGCTTTCTTTGGTCAAACAAATTTATTTCAGTCTTTTATTTGAAGTGTGACTTTGAGAAATTTTCTTACGCACTTTTCGAAGCCAACAGGAAGCTTAAAATGAGGGAAAATTAATTTTCAGAAGCGCGTTTAATGAATGTGAAAATAAGTCTAATGATTTATTCTTTTTCTTCGAATTGTTCGTCTTTCCAACCCTTTCATTAGAGGTGCGATTTTGAGTTGAGGGGGTGAACATTGTTCTATCGCATGAATGATTATTATTAATTGCTTTTTGAAATAAAAAGAAAAAGAAAAAAAATGTAATTTTACCTATCCGTCATAAATTGATTATAGAGAGTAAGAAAAATAATAAAAAATGTTATTCAATGAATAATTCGTCACTTGTACAAATCAAATTATGAAGTTGATGAAAGGCGTAGTTTATTTACGATACGAATGGAAGTGACTTGACTACAACTAACCAAGTTAATTTATATTCAGTGATAAAGCGTTAATCTCATTTATGGATTGAATAAGAATGGCATTGGTCACTCAACCTACATTTATATTCTTCATGTTGGCCGAAAACTTATGAACTGCCAACATAAATGAATGTGAGAAAGACGGAAAACAGCATAATTTCTGTTTTAGTGAAACGAGCTGTGAGGTAAATTCCAAAAAGGTTCACAAATTTTTTTTTCCTTTCCTCTGTCGGCCCAATTTTTCCTTTTGTTACTCACCGATTCGCTTTTGAACTGGAAACATAATAAATTGGATCAAAATGTCCTGATTAAAGGTTCACGAATGATTTCATGACCAGGACATTTATAAGGCACAATTTTATAAATTTGACTATCAAACCGCTTCTTTATCCATAAGTTTTGATCTCGAAATATTTTCTTGCTTCTTCTCACAGTTCCCTTTCTTTTCCATGAAAAGCAAGAAGAAAAATCCAAAGATTTATTTCTCGATTTGATTGTTTGCCTTGTTTTCTTCTTAAGTTGAACGAGATTTCTTTGCTCTCGCCCCCTAAAGACCTGAGAATCGTTCCGAACAACACAAGAAATTGATACAAATTCCATTGAATTAAAATAAAAAAGAAGGAGAAAAAGATATAAAGAAGAAAAATACTTGAAATCGAAATTGTTTGTGCTCGTGAAGTCGGAGAGTTTGGGAAAAAATTCAATTAAATTTTGTCGAAATGAAATTTTTCGCTGGAAATTCTCTTCTACCATATTTACTTGTTTTAAGAATTTCTTAGTATGATTGTGTTTGCCAGATGAAGTCAAATCTAAATCACGATGCAGTTAAAACTCTTCATGAGTTATGAAGAAATGCTAGAAGCACATTCCATCATTCCACACCAACATTCATGTTATTGACATAAAACGAAGTTCAACAATCGAGTGCTGCTCAATAATTTTAAGTGTCACAAATTCGGATAAGATTGAAAACCTTCATTTTGTCACTTGAAGTGTGAAAATTCTGTTCTCGAAAGCGTATGAAAGTAGTTAAGGGTCAGTTGTACCTTTCAGAAAATTTCGTTGAATAAAAGATTAGATTTTGTAAGGTGAAACTAATAAATAATTGATTGGAAGAAATTGAAAGTTTCACCCTCAAAGTTAGGTCAAACATTACTTTTTGTTCTTGAATTTCCACTCTCCGCTCAACCTGAACGAACAAGTTAAATTATTAATTTCATTCTTATCTTAATACAAAAAGCTTGTTTTCAATTAAATAATTAAGCCATAAATTTGTATTCGACCTTCTCTTCCTTTGAATGAGTTTCTTGCCTTTCAGATTAACGAAAAATATTTTTATCGTTATTATCATCATCCATCGCACCCCAGCATCTTTTCGATCCTTTTACAAACATGAGAAATTCCTTTGAATACATGAAAGAAAAGATATTTAAATGTTTAAAAGAGAACGAATAGCATAAGCAAAGGATTTCAAAGACAACCAAAGTTCGACAAAAACTTGTTTAACATGATCATAAAAGTATATTTCATAAAGGGCGAAAATGCCTCATGAATAGCATAAAGGAGAACATGAAGAAGGCCATAAAACTCTATAACAACTTATTCCTCCCTGTTCTGGTTCTCCTTTTTCGGGGCCAACAGCACATGAATAAAAATACCTTCAAGCAGAATACACAAATATCTCTCATTCGTTTCTTCGGTCATCCCAGGAGATTTCTCTACTTTTGCTTCTTTTTCGCTTAGTGCTATTAATCTTTTTCCTTCACTTCTTTCCCAGCTTACTTTTTTATTTTTTATATATTCATGTGAAAAATCTTTCTTTTTCTCTTTACAGGTAAAACTAAAGTCACAAATTGAGTTAACTTCTTCGTCTTCTTGTCTTAGCTGCACTCACACACACGCACACATATCTGATGAATTTTTCGGTTATGTAATAAAATCAACCTGTTCGTTCATGAAGGATCTTGTATCGTTTCTTATTTCATGGTAAAACTTTTGCAAACAACTTTTGAGGATAAAATAACAGCAGAGAAGTCAAGTGCAAGTTTTGTTTATCTTTAAAACAATTTTTTTTGTTTCTTTGTTGATGCTAACGTCGTTATCTTAAAAGCTGCAGTAAGAAAATCATGAAGATTGTTTGTCAAATATCTCATTGTTCAAAAACCGCTTAAAAAGTGTTGAGCGAAGCGAAATTCATTTTAAATTCCTTTGTTTATTCTCGAAATGAAAAATTATTTTAAAATTGGTTGTTCTAAAATTTTCATTTTCTGTAAAAGCGCATGGAAAATATTTTCTCATCCACTTCAGAAAATGACTTTAGGAGGGAAAAGATAAACTCAAGAAATAATTAATTCGTTTCCATCACCAGATGTTTCCCTTACCGCAGTTCGCTTAGAAATCCTATTAATAAGCCATAAATTAAGTGGTTCAAAACTGTTATCAGAGTGTTTGATGAAATTTCATCTTCTAAGCAACAATTTGAATTTTCAATTAGTTCAAAAGCTTGCCTAATGTGCACGTTTACTTTCTCAATGAATAATTAATGAATTTTATTACAAAATTCCTAATTGTTTTAGCGATTATAACGAATTAAAGAGAATTAAAGTTCAAAGACTATTCATAGGATTTTGAAAAGACAAAAACTTTGTTCATTAATTCATTTAAGACACAATTCGGAGACATTATCAAAGGCCATAACTATGAATGACTATTAAAAGCTTCTAAACAACAGCAATTCGATCATCGAAAGTTTAATCGAATTACAAATGACTGGAGTGAAAGAGACGCTTCAATTTTAAATTAATTTCCATCAGGCGACTACTTGAAAGTCGTGGCGTCTTGTAAGAAGACTTAGAGAAAGAGAAAGAAAATTGCGATCGATTTTTAAATGAAAAGACATAAAGACAAAAAAAAAGATGAAAAGAAAAATTAAACTCAATTAATTTACATTTTATATGAGCGCGTATGGTAACGGTTAATAATGCTTCGTATTCAAAAGCGTTTTCCTTATATTATCTACATCAGAAATAGATTGAAACAAAAGCCGGCACCATTCAAAGCGTTGAAGATGTTTCAATTTAAAGTCTTTTAATATTCTCTCTTTTTGGTTGTGAAAGAAATTTGGTCGTCAACGAATTTCGCTTTCATATAAAAATGACTTTAAGTAGTTTAATGGAATTAAAATTGTGTTAAGTCGTTAGCAATGAAATGAAATCTTTTTTATTATTTGAAGTTTAGTGTGAATTGTGAAAGGGGATTAAAACGAGAAAACAAATTAATTAATGTGAAATAGAAGACAAATGATTGCAATGAGCGGGTGTAGAGAGAAATTGATTCAACTCTCGTTGACAATTCAGATTAACAACACAATGAAGATTGACATTGTCGGACTTGAAGTTCAGATGTCGAAATTTCCGAATATTTATTAAGTGACTCTAGTGATATTTCTTCAAATCAAAAACTAAGTATTATTGTGTGTAAACTTTAGGATTGCTGACTAAATAAGTAATCACACACATGAAATCATCGCTATCCGGCTTACAGACTCGAATATTTAGCAAGTAATTCATTCACAACAAGATTTTATGATGAATGAACTCACACCGTATGACAGCTAATTAATAAATAAAACATCAATGTTCATTTCAATTAAATGGTCGGTTATAAACTATTTTCAATTAACTCCAAACCGAAAGAGGTAAAAATTAGCACAAAGCTTTTAATTGTATTTTTTTTCACTCATCATAATTATGAATTAAATGATAGAAATGTAAATTTTACATCTTTCAACCACAATCATTAATTTGTTTGCGGTTTAACACCTCAATGAATATCAAATAGTTTCATGGAATCAATTAAATATTAAATCAGTTTGTAAAGCTTGTTCAGTCATGTTTTTCGGAGGCGTTGAATGATATCATTGAAGAATAAAAGGTTCTTCAGCGCTGCAATTAATGTTCCATCGTAGTGAAGACAAGCGCGAGAAAACACGTTGATTCTTGATCATTCTGATTCTCCTATTCCCGTCCTTCAAGACACATTCTTAAGATGATGATTCGGCACGATTATTTGTGTTTTGTAACCAATGATTTTCAGGATTCATTTTCGACTTTTTTTTAATTTCAATTTCTTCTTCTTTTGCTGCATTCCTTTGCTTTTCTTCATGTTGAAACGAACTGACGAAGTCTTCAAGAAGTGATTCTTGGCTAATAAACCTAAAGAGTGAATAAGAAACTGCTACGAAGCGAAGGTGAAATGAAAGCACAAAAGCTATAATTTCAACTCTGTTCATTTTATGGCTCTCAGAACTTAAGAAACACAAAAAAGTTATTTAAATAAAATATTAAATTTTCATTAGAAAACAAAATTTGCCGGCTAAAATCTAACAAGCTGCCGACATGAGCTCCTTCTTCTTCCGATTACGAAATGTCTTGCTGTTCTTCTTTTTAAATAAACGAGTGAAAAAAATCTTTTACAAGCTTAGATAAAATTTTATTCAGTAAATTTATGGCAGAATCTTCTCTTCTGTTTTCTTATTTGTTTAATATTTAAAAAGATTTGTGAGCGTCTGATGAAGCTCATTCGTTACGATGTTGATTCATAATCAATAAAATATTTCCGCTGTTAATTTTAAATGCTCACTTTAATAACAAAATGTTTCGCAAGTTGTGTGATAACTGTCGAGTAAGTAAGTATGTAAGAATGAACTCATGATCAACACTGTACCTTAAAGGAATTTTTATAATTGACCATAACAACTTTTGCTTATTTTCGTAGTTGCTTTTTCGCGAGTGCCGAGAATACTTATTCATGCTATCGCAATAAAATGCTGAATTTTATGTACTTTTGCGGCTGGATTCTCAGGTTGAAAAGAACTGAATGCTCTAGAGCAACTGGAGCCATAAACAGTCGAAACAACTGCGCAAGAATGAAATGCTTCCAGTTCTTTTTGTTCGCTTGTCCTTCCTTTAATTTAACATGAAGATAAATTTTGTAGCAATTAACAAGAAAAAAGTTAAAAAATATCATTTTTAATGACATTTTGCGTTTATGTAATGAGAGAAATTAGCAAGAATGCGATTTTGATCGTAAATAATTTCCTGGGGTCAATTATTGATGATGTCATTAAGTAAAATTTGTTATTTGATGATTAAAATGCAAAATTTCAATTCAATATCGAATGATTCCTTAAATTGTTGTACTGAAAAGAGATAAAAACCAAATTCATACTAAAATCGCAAACATCAATTAAATATTTTAAAAGAACCGTGTCCGAGACCGCGACAGAATTTACTTCCATTCTTGAATCACGAAAAAGGAAAACGAATTTGAGAAATTCTTTCGCCCACAGATTCTGCTGAGACTGTGAGAAAGTTGAAATGTTCAGAAACATTTAAATGCATGCGAATTCTTGTTTTTGCAAGACTTTCCTGTTTATGGATTTTTGGGTTCATTAGATGCTTTTAAGACAGGTATTAAAGAATGATGATGAGGATGAGGAAATGTTTCTTTTTTTCCTTTTACTCGATGCCTCAATGGCTTCTGTAAAAACCTCACATAAGCTGATCTCAATGGCATTAAGAGGGATTTGCTTCTCAACATTTCAGGATAGAATTTAGCAAACCTTTTTGTAGTTCTTTGGAATTAATCAACCGAAAAACGTTTCAATTAAAGCCTTAAAGTTTGCTCACATAGTTGGGATGAGATGTAAACGAGATTTAAATTTTATCCTTGCCCTTGTTGGGGTTTTGAGTGCTTTCAAAATAAACTTAAAAAAAAAATAAGGACTTGGAAGGAAAAGGTAAATTAGAACTCGAGCAGAAGAAGTGGGCTGACAAAAGTAAATATTAATTTAACAACGACTTGAAAGGTTTTCCTACAGATGAAATGTTTACTGATCCGTACTGAGCCTTCTCCTTACACGACGATAAAACATTTCTCATTCCATAAATAGTTCCCTAAAATGCCAAATTAAACATTTTGTATCCATTCATTGAATATCGTTCTTCTCTTTTTGCTCTGTATGAAAGATTTCAGTCCATCCCAGATTTTTGTAGTGCGATTAAAATTCTGAAAGGGATTTGGGTGTACCATTCATCATATTTGCATGTCTCGACGTCACTTTTCAGAGAGATTAAAGTGATGATGCGAGCACAAATTAATTCCGTTAGGTACGAAAAGATACAAACAAAGCACGCTGTGTGGTGTTACAACCGACACATGCGATTGAAGAAAGACGAACCAGGAAAGCATTTTTCAATGAAAGGTTTCGGGGCTTTTGGAGATTGTCATAATTTTTTATAGCATGACAGGTGTTTCTGGGCATGTTTCAAGAGCAGATGAGAATTTTTTATGTTCTTTTGTGATCTTATTTCCACTACATTCCTTCACATGAGAAACAACAGATATTTAGTCGAAGTCGTTGTTCCCGTTAACATTGAATGAATGAAGCATCAAGCTAAAAATTGCAAATGATGGAGATTGTCGTATTCGCAAAGAACAAATGATATGCGGTGTCTTCAAAGGATTCAAAAGTCTTATATCATCTCTCACAATTCCAATAAAAAATCTCACACTTGAAACAGCCAAAAAAAAAATTAATATCAGCAGAATTATTTTAATTTTATGCAAAATGAATTTTGTTGATTGTTGGTTTGAAGACGCTCAGAGGAAAAGGAAAAATGAAGATTTAAAATTGTTTAATGTATCTAATTATCTTTATTTTAAAATAACTTAAATATTATATTTAAGTTGAAAATATTGGGAAAATGAAAATTGATTTTGCGAGTGTCATTATGCCAGTTTAGCAAGTAATATTAATAATAATAATTATTCTATTATTATCTGTCAAAACCCTGGTCGGTTAGTCAGCAAGTCAATTAACATATCAAACAGAGCAGCTTCATACATAATTTCCATCCAATCATCATAGTCAGCACAACAAATTAGAGAGATAACTGCAGAAAAACCAAATGGAATAATCGAGATGAATAAAATTTAAAACTGCACAACAACAAAAATCAATCATTTGATTAGAGCCGCGGTCGGCGTTGCCTTTGAGGACAAGTAAAGAATTCAAAAACAGGGAAAACAGTTTTGCTAAAAACCATTTAAGCTGATTATCGCCTAAAAATAAAATAAAATGTAAAACGTGCTATTGACAGAATGAAATGAGATTTAAATTGACTTCTCTTCGGACAGATTTAATTTTCATGTCAATCGAGAGAATGTTTTGATTTGCTTTAATTTCTTGGGGAATGATCCGACGTTAGTTTCTGTTAATTTTTCATTTTATCGTTGAGTTATCGCTTCTGAGTTAACTTCAACATAATCATGATGTGGTGTGCAAATTGTTTAAGGATAAGAAGTATCGTTTTACGTCCATGAACAATTCTCGTCACGTTTTTATGAAGTCGATGACACTTTACTTATCAGTGGATAACAGAAGACCATAAAATCATTACAAACTCGTTTCTGACATCCACTTTACCATTCTGCTTTTTAAAATGTCACATTGAAGCATCAAAGATTAATTTCAGAGTACAACACATTAACATTCTTATTTAATGAAGATTGTAACACAGAGAAATGAAAATTATTTAAATTACTCAAATTTTGTTTAGTTCATAAAAGGTTTTTGCCACATCAGCTTCAGTAATTAAGAGTAGGAAACTGTAATTAAACTTTCATGCCTTTTATCACAAAATTTATGGTTCTATTAAGTAACATCAATCAGAAGTGCAAAGCTTTATGTTTTCCTAAATTTTTCTAAAAGATGGAAAATTTAAGCACATCAAAACAAATTTTCATTCTGCCACATTCCATATTTCACTCATGAGATTTTCTACACCTGACGAGACATTGAAGCTCAACATATTTTCAATGTTTTATATAATTAATTAAAAAGTTTACGAAACTAAAAATTTGACAAATAAGATTAACCAACGTCGAAATCTTCCACATCCTTAAATGTTTAAAGTTTCTTGCTGTGGAAAATAATTTTCATTGCATTTTATCTTCAAGATGTGAGATGGAAATCATTCAAGAGAAATCTGCGATGATGGATTCGTTGAATGTTTGTTTGCCGAGCGGAAATTAAATATTTCTCGCTCTTCCGAAGAAGAAATGAAAAGTAATGTGTTGCTGCAAAGAGGGAAGAAGATGTGAGATGGCATCTCTTAGTTAATTCGCAATATGGATGTTCTCGCTTGCTCGAGCAGGTGTAAACAATTTTTAAAGCACTTCTCGAGGCACTTCCATCCGTCTCCGATTAGAATTATTGTAACATGAATTCCCTTTTGATTATTATGCAGAAAAGTGTGTCGTAAGCTGAATCTTTCGGAAAGTTCTTAATGTAATTTGATGACAAGGCACAATGTGTGAGTGTGTGTGGGTGTAAATGAAAATTCGGAATTGATTTTCAATGTCCCGTTCTCCACCTCTTTTCCTAAAAAACTCGTTGACACCATGTGTCGGAAGATGGTAAATATGCGGCTGAGCAAACACAAATCTACTGAGTTCAATTTATCATCTGAATAAACGAATGCCTTGAGGTTCCGTTTTCCAAATTCCTTGCACGGAAATAAGTGCTTAAATTTCACAAGCCTAAAAAGTATAAATAATCGAGGGGATCAGAGGTTTACGCCTCCAATCACAAAACAGCAAAATCAGGGATTCTTTTGAGAATTGTTTCGAGTAAAAGACTTTCCTTCTTTCCATTCTTTACTTATTTCTGCTTTTTTTGGGGATTCCTTTAAAAAGCAACATGATGAAAAATGAAAAAGTGCAAGCCATTAAGTTTTTTTATTCTCAGAATTAATCGTCAGTGGAAGTTTTATTCCCGTAACAATGATGTTTATGAAATTAGAGATTTCTCGCTTTTATGTTATACAATAAATATTTAAATGGCTCCTTCATACCTTGAATCTTAAACATCAGTTGCAACTAAACATTTACAATTGAAAGAAAACAGAAAACAAGAAAAAAATATAAAATTGAAATGTAATCCTTTGAGCCATTCTCATTTCTCATCACCGATTGCTGAAGCTCATTTTCCATCACATTAATGTCATGGGAAAAAATATTCAATGACGTAACAGTGATTTTTGCTTTCTTATAATAATTTCCTTTCTAAAACATCCAGCAATAGACGACGTAACATTAGTTCATTTCCTTCCGCTTCTCTTCGATTAATTTTCATGCTCAAGGAACTTAACAGCAAAACACAATGGTAAAAGAAGAATAGGATAGGAGAGCATAAGAAACAAAATGTAATAACGATTATTGATCAATGAGTAAGATTGTGAATTCTTATGAGCGCGAGTGAGTCAAGGAAGAACAAGAAGAGAAAAGAAAAAGAATTTTTTTGTGGTTAATGGAATGAGAAAACAGAATGTAATATGCAATTAATTTGGCTTTCGGGTTTCCGTTTCATGCAGCACACAATGTTTTCATCCAACTAAAAGAACCGTCGAAAGATGGAATGTGTAGCAAACCGCATGTTCTAAACGAGAATCCGAATATAATTAAAATTGAATTAAATCATAAGCATTAGCGTTGCGACGGTTGATTAAATATAAGATTTCTCCTTGAAGGCAAAATGTGTCTTAATGAAGGCGTCAAAGAAATCATTTTCGACGTTTTAATCATTTTGTCACATCCTCAAATGAATGTCAGACACACATGTTGACGGGACGGGACTGAAATGAACGGAGAAAGGTCATAAAAATTTCAATCTTAATATCATCATCAGTATTTTGAATCTCATCGCATCTCAAAAAATATAAAATTAATTAACTTTTATTAGATATTGGTTAAAGTGTTTTGACTTTTGTTTCCCTGTTTGCTTTAACTCGACTCATGAGTCTTTGGGGACACAAAACGAGACCTATTGAAGTAGAAGAAAGATTTTTATGGAGAGAAAGACATAATAGAGTTGTTTTCTCAAGAAATTGTAATATGAAGCTTAAGCAATTCGTTGACGACAAAAAGATGGTTCAAAGACGCCGTAAGAGATCCGAAGAAATTGATATTCGCTTTGGACATGATGGCGTGGGTTGTGTGTTAATAAACGAGCCACCATTATTATCTTGACGATGTTGAATAAATAATTTCCAGACACTTGACACTGTCGACAATTGCGTGGTTGAGCAAGTTACTGCAGGTAAATTCTTTAAGTTTCTTCAACAAAATTATACACACGAGATGAAAATACTGTTTGATGACCTTTTCTTAGCTTCTGCTTTTATAAAGAATTGCTTTGAAGAAATTTACATTAACAAATGGACATAAAATCAATACAAAAGACATGAATAAGTTTTCTCGTCGTGACCAGAATGTGACCAAAGAAGAGTAAATAAATTTAAGTTGAGCCCTTTAATGTCAATTCTTACACAAAGTGTAGCAGTTTTTCAAAGTGTTGTGAAGAATTCATAATGAAGTTGTCTCTTAAAGAATCTCAAGAGTCGTCATCAGGTGGAAATAACAACAAAAAAATTAAGTAAAGTGCGAGACAATGGAGCGAGTCACGATTAAATTTTATGAATGATTTTTGATTGTTGAATAATAAAATAAAAATGCGCATTACAATCACGACTGAGACAATCAAATATCAATGAAAAGTTTTATGTTTTCATATGCGTGGGATGACAAAAATAAATAAATAAAAATATGTTCAACGGAAGACGAAGAACTGCGGAATTTCGTATCGAAATAAAAAGTTGAATGAAAAGAAACAAAAACGGAAGAGTTGACGACGGCTCGAGCTCTTTAATTAAATGAGGCCAAGGATGTGCTTGAAATAATGGCTTTGTTAGTAATTTGATCCCATTGTCGATTTAATTAGATCACGACAGCAAGATTATTTGTGTGCACCGCACCGTTTGAGATGGAATTTCAAAAGGCAAGCAAAGAAATTTTCTTTTTTCAATTCATTCTTCTTGCCACTTCTTAGTCATCGAGATTGCACCAATACGCTCGATGGTGAGCTGTGGAACGAAAAAAATATGAACTGATACGATCTCACATAAGGACCGGTCATTCAAGTTTTCTCTCGTCGTTTGTGTGAGGCCTTTGTCGTGTATATTCCAAGATTATTTCATCGGCTATCTCAGATATTTCTTTATTTTTTGCTGAAGATTTAAGCACTGGCAGTGTTTAGAAACTTTTTAAATATTTAAGTGAAAGGACTTGAATTTTATACCTCAATGACTCAATGAAATTTCCTTTCTAATGACTTTACAATAAACTTTTTATTGCTTTCAATAAATTTCAACCTAGGAAATAATTTCGAAGGGCGAGGAATAAAATTTTGATACGCAAATAATAAATTTTGTCAGAATTAAAGTTCGAATTGATAAGAACGTAAATATTCAAATATAACTAAGGATGAAATGAATTCTACAAGGGTCGAGGTTGATGTTGAAAACAACTTGAATAATCAGCTGATTTCAGACATAAATGCGATTAATGTTAATACACAAAAATGAAATTATATTTCAAATTATTCACATGGGTCTTAAAATTACATTTTTCTGCCTACAAACTCATTATTTGCTGTCCAATATCTCTTTTTTTTAATTTAATCTTAAAGTTTTCTTTATTCTTCACCACATTCATTTATACAATTGCGAAATGCATCAAACTTCAATGATCGCTCCATGTAAGAACAAACCGAAGAAATTTTCTCACAAAGCATCTTCGCATGAAGAATAAGAAAATCTCTGCTTTAAGCATTCTTTAAGTTTCTTTGTGGTTTCTTACTTGGATTCCTTAAGTTGCATTTCAAGAAAGAGAATGAAGTGAAAAAGCAAATCTTCGAAATTAAAAAGAATTTAACATGTTTGTTCAATTAAGTGAAATTTTTCTGCTTTTTCTTTATCTCTATTCGTTTGACCGCAAGTCTTCTTCATGTTTCACGGATTCTTTCATTCGACGTGCTTTTATACAAAGAAATAAAATTTTTCTTTCCTTTTTTAGTCTTGATCGAAGGACTAAGAAGTTTCGCCTTCCGATTCTGTGCTTGCTAATTTTACCTAAAGCTACGATTGGAATGCAGTTTGACTGCTTCTATTTCGTGAAATTTTTCCCAGCTGCCCAAGCAAACGAAAAAGGAAAATCTTTAAACTTTTATTCAAATTAAATTAAATTCATTTAAAAGCGACGATTCCGTTTTTGTAAAGTTTGAAAATTATACTGTTGATGTTTATAAAGATAAGCTGGCGTTAAATAAATTTTATTTCGGTGACCAATAAGAAGAAAAATGATTGAAAGCGTGACAATGAATGATTAAGCAAGGCTGGTAATTAAATTACTTTTCTCGCACATAGTGATTTAATTAATTTTATAGCAACATTAAAAAGTTTTCTTTGGGCCGTCTTCGCAAGCCTAGATAAAGTTATGACTTTTTTACATCTTCTACCACCCCCGTTCATTTGCTTATCTTGTGATTTCTCTCATCTCCAGCATTTGCTTTTGTCTCATCAAATAAACTGTCAGAGACAAAATTTTGAAGACATTTTTTTCTTTTGAATCTTCCCATTTGCGACTGATGGCATCTCATTAAAGCAGCAAATCGACAGCGATTAACTTGGGCGGAATTGAAAGATGAAATTGTGATTGAGAATGGAGATTTATTACAAGAACAGAAATTACTTTTAAACTGAACAAAAGGAAACAACCGGAATGAAAGCAAATTGCATTTATTTTATTTATCAATTTAAAGTTTGAACTTGTTTTCCAGACTTTGTTGCTTTCAAATAAACGCTTAATTTTGATTTGTGCGTCTGAATGTCTGACAAACCACAAAAAACATTTTTCGTCGTGATCGGGTTTTGTATGGCATAAAAAAAGTGCACAACTTCAAACGATGCATGAGAAGGCAGGCATGCTACTAGAGACGACAAAGCAGACGACTATGGCAATAAATAAAAGCAAAAAAAAAGTTCCGCTCCCTTCGCGTTACCCACAATATTTGCACAATCAACAGAGCAAAGAATTCTTTTTCATATTTTTATTTTGATGTAATTTGAGATTTCATTATTATGATGAACGTTATGTGGCTTACCATGAACTAAAGAGAACATTCACCGATGTGTTATTTCATTAGCTGCAGTCCAAGAAAGACATTTTGAATTATTTGCGAACATTAGAGGCCTAATGACAGAAATAAGAGTAGAAGGAAATCCAATGCTGTAGAAAAATATCAAATTACGAGCAACTTCCGTTTTCTTTGTTTATTGTCAGAAATGTCTGGCAGTGGTTGAAACCATTTTATTTTTCATTACTCAGATAGAAAAGGGGAAGATATAACAAATTGAGAATGTTTCTTGTTGATCTTTGACAATATTCTGAGTCATATTAACGCCATCAAACCACTGAAATTTTACTCAATCATCAAATGACCAATAATCTGAAATCAATTTATTTACGATGTTTACCCATCGGCATTTTCAACCGTCCAACACGAAAGAAAATAAAAATCATACTTATTCCCATGAAATTTAATACACCCTTCATTTAATATCGACTGCAGTCAACATTTCAACATAACAGCAACTCAGCGTTTTCATGATCAATTAGCCAAAACAACTGAAAGTATAAAAGTTTGGCAAAAAACCAACGTGGGGCTCAGTTTCTTGATGGAAAGGAAGGAAGCTTCGAGGCATTAAATTGATTGTCTAAAATTAGAATTTATGGCTTGTACACTTAGTGAAGCTAAATTTCATGCGATTTGATGATGATTTCAAAGAGGTTAGAAGCGATTCATCAGACACATGCAACGTAATTACCTATTCATAGTCTTTCCCATCTACTTGTTCCCTTCTCTTACATATAGACTTCTATTCTAGATTCGCTTTTAAGGTTTTCTTCTTGACTTAGTCGTACAGAATATTTATTACATAAAGCATAAAGATTCGTAATTCCTTCTTACATATTTTCTCTGCTTCTTGAATGAAACATTGAGAGTGGATTTCTGTTAGTGTTCAATCGTTTTTGTGAATACTTTAGAATGTCTTAAAAAGAAAGCTATTATGGAGCTTGCTGTTCTTTTCATTGTATCATGGGGAAAAACATCATAAATAGCAATAAATTCAGTTGTATCACGCCACACTCAAATCTTGACTAAGAATAAACTGAATTAAACAGAAGAATTCTCAAGTGATCTCAACTTGAAGGGTATCAGAAAACATGCAAAGAATTATTTCGAGTAATGAGTTTTCTTATTTTCTGCATGATTCTTAAGTGAAGATTGACAATACTTTCAAACAGCTCCTAAAATATTCCATCTTAATAAAAAATTTCGTCTTGAACCTCAAAGCAACTTTACAACTCAAACTTTTTTCATCGTAAAATTTAAAAAGTTGCTATCTATGACAAATTTTGAACAAAGAACTTTTTTTCTTTTCTTTCTTTCATTGCACATCTTTTAAAGACAGAAATGCTTTACAAGAAAACGTGGTTATTAAGACTTACAAATATTTAGTGTATTGATTCTTAACCGGTTAACCCTGAAATTTAATGACCGCCCAAAACCGCAGAGCGAAAACCTCATAAAATTCTTTTTTCCCCATCAATTGTTGAGTTCAGCTTAAAGTGATGTTCTTTCCATCTCTCGACTTATGCTCGCATTTCTCGCTGACTAAATACTTTTATATTAAGAAAAGATGTCGACATATGTTGATATTTACTTGTTCAACTCTCTAAGTCGTAAGATGTCGAAAATCAAGCAAGATGGACTGATCAATTTGAATAATCATAAAATGAGATTTTTACTGCGTTATTATGTAAATTAATTAATAAAAATAAAAATATTTTACCTATGAGACCTCTGAGCTAACGTCGCGATGATCAACAGACGATATGAGTGTTGATGACATTTTATGAGTGTTTTTTATTATTTTTCTTTTGATGGCGTGGGCTACTCGAAATGGACAAAAACAATAAAATATCCGAGCAAACTGGTAAAAGCAATGAAATGAGAAAAAATTCTTACGACTCACTTAATTCGTAGGAAACTGTCTGGCAAAGTGATGATGCTGAAGGTAACAATGCCTTCCAGAAATAAACAATTGTGTCATGTTGAATGAAGGAAGACAGAAGAAAAAGAAAAGCAAAACCTTCAACAAGAACTTTCTCAACCTTAGCCCATCCTCTTGACGTCCCCAAACAAGAAATCCCATTCACAATTTCATATTTTGTGTTTTTTGTTGAAGTGAAAATCATTTTGTTTTAACAATGGATGACTGGTGTGTCGTGTAAGAAAGAAAGAAAAGGACACAAAGAAAAACAATAATTCTCTTTAAGACGAAAAGCTGTTCGGTGTTCAGTGTTCAGTCCCTGAATCGTCGGCCGGTAAAGTCCCGAACAATAAATAAATTATTTGTGACGTTTCTCTTCCTTTTATTGTTGGCCCTGCTAAACTGTCTATTGTTCCCCGGGCTTTAAAGGTTCAACATTCCGTCGTTTATATTTCTTGTAGCAAATGAATTTATGCTCTGTGGAACGATAAAAGATTTTTCTTCTTTTATCGGGTGAAAGATCTTGATAACCATTCAAGAAGTTTCGCAAATATTTGAGAACATTTATTAAAAGGAAAAATGCTGATAACGATGATCATAAAAAGTATTTTTTTCAAATTTATGATGAAAAATGTTTAAGAATGTATCCGACATTTTATGTGAATTTCTTCCTACAAACCGCTTTTACGAGGGACGGCTGGTGTTATAATCGAGAAAAAGGTAGCCGAGAGAATAAAAGTATCGAGAAATAATGCATGTTTATTCAGTGTCATTATTCATCATCATCATCATAAACACCATGAACTGTTTCATTATGTTGCACTTTTTTTTCTTCTTCCATCCACTGTCTGATTCATCATAAAATTGTTCTCTTCCATTATTGCATCCCAGTATAAATTCCTTTGCAATAATGTTGTTTTTAACGCTTAATTTTCGTATTGAAGGATGATGTGCATGTCAAATTGAAGGGATACATAAGAGGAATTAGGATCCTTTTGTCAAGCATTTGCAACATGCTTTTGTTTGCTGAAAACAATGGCACTTCCTCGACTGTTGCTTCTCTTTTTTTATTCTCATTCCTTTGGGTGGTCTCATAAAAGATTGAAGGAAAAATGAAGTGGAGAAGTGAAAAAACGTCCATTAAAATATTCCTTCGATCATCCCATTGTTCTTCAATTAACCCGTGAAATATTGAGACCTGAAATTATCGAGAATCTCACCTATTTTGATGATTTATGACTTCCCTTAGTTTACCCAATTCAATGAACGATCGAATTATGAATAATTTTCTAGATCGAATACCAATTTCGATGAAAATTATCGTCTAAAACTGTCACATGAATCATCGAGCGTGGTGTGCGGCAGCACCGTTCACGGATTATTATTTACATTCCTAACAGGTTTACATGTCTGAGCCACTTTGGAAGTTGCCATGTGATGGTGTGAAAATTAAGTTAGCTAAAGAAAATTAATTTCACTCTCAAACTGAGCCGTATTTGTTTTCTTTTAATGGGATTTTAATACAAACACGCAACTTGAAACAGAGGAAAACATTTTCAAGGAATGTTTTTTTGTCTTGTGATTATAATGATGGTTTTTGATACACGCGATGTGGCTTTTCAAAAGAAATTTGTCAACTATGGTTGCCTGAGGCTTAAGGATTCTTGTCAGAATACAACATAAAATTATCAATGCTTTTCAAAATTCATGCTACGGTATTCTTCAAAAAAGTAAGGAGATGATGATGAATTGTGCCACTGAAATGATGTAGAAAACTTAAATTTGTCACAGATTAGAATTGGATTGAATTGAAGGAATTCTATTGAATGCCGCTTTTCCTTCTTGGAAATACTTTTATGAAAAATATTAATCATTGTCTTTAAAACACTTAAACACTAAACTTTTCATTTCGAAAATTCTTTTTGTTTGTAGATTCAACTGGCGGAGACTGATTTGAGATAAGTCACTGTTACTGTTGAAGAAAATTAATGATCTTTCAATCACGTTAATGTGTTTGTCGATCTATTGTGTTTGGCTGGAAAAAGAATGAAAATCAGTTTGTCAATTCGACAGCAGTGAAGAAAAGATGAAGTGTTATAGTTCTTAGTGGTTTTGCGGGTTACTGTTGAGCAACTGACGTGTTAACATGCTAAAGCTTCTTCTATAAATACGAAAAGGGTCAGAAATGCTTGTGAAGGTTAAATTGTCTTTGGAATTATTGTCTTTTCCTACCTGTTGAAAACCCTCAACACTTATTTATTTACCTCAAATTCAGACCTTTCTTTCTCCTTCATTTAATTTGTAGCTATTTTCAATCAAACGATTTACTGCATTCCACCATAATTCCACAGTCAGCCTTAGCAGAAAACGTTACTTCAAAGTGGACATGAACCAACACAATTCACGTCTTCTTTTCCTTCTTCTGCTTGTCCCGTGCATGACTTCATCAAAATGAAACAAAAAAAAATCTTATATCAAAATTGTTTACAACTCTCTTTCTCAAGTTTTATTCCCCTGATGTTTTCCAATCTTTCAATAAAATTTCATCGACTCACGATGGAATCCTCCGAATAAAAACTAGAAAAAAAAACTAGAAAAAAGCAAAATAACTCGAACGATGAATTTTAAAATCGATTTTGAGTTGAAGATAAATGCGTAATAGATAGAGACTCGATAGGCTATTAAAAAATTATAGAAATTATTTGTGTAATATATGTGATTAATAGATTTGGAAGAAAGAAAAAGATGATGAAGAAAGAAATGAAGAAGAAAATCGAATTAAATTATAACTTTCGTGAGTTGAGAAATGTTTTCGTTGCGATGAAATCGTCTGTGTGCGCTGTGTGATTGTATCAATTAAGTTGCATTCGGTATGGTCTCCCGACATGATGTCCATCAACAAAACTTCCATTCATAATTCTTAATGAGAATTTTTCGATGCTAAATTCAAATATTATTACAGTTCAAATTTATTAAACTGCGCATAAATCATAATTTGCTGATCGACAACCTCTTGTCTCTCGGACATCCATAAACTCTTTCAATTTAGTTCTGTTGTACCAGCACAGCTCTACAATAAATGTCCATTTCAGATCATTGATTACATCTTTATCCATCAATCATGTATCTTTCCTTCCTTTCGATTCATTACTTAGGTTAAATTCTGAAGGAATAAGAAGTCGAAAGACTTTAAGACTTTTAAATTCCATCCCGAAAATATTCTTCTTGTTTTCTTCTTCACTTATTTTTATTTCTCGCTTTTAACCAACAGACATTCTGCTGGGCCTTTCTCAGCACAATGGTATTAAACTTCAATTAAATGGCTTTAAAATCGATCTATTTATAACATATTTAACTGACTACATGAGTATCCTGGTTTCGCCTGTTTTGTGTTGAAATGTTAAGAATTGATGGTTGAAAGAGCGACACAATTAAAACGTCATTTTGTTAAGACATGAGTCACGCCTGTTGTCCATCAAATATTTAATACATGCCCAGATGTCGCGCAGGATGTGTTTTAAGTTTAACATTTCTCATAAATAAAACGAAAAAAACATTATTAAAAGCTCTTAGCGTTCATCAGCTGATGTTTCGTGTTCCCACGAACTTCTAGAGCGAGAAAGAAAGAGTAAAGAAGAAGATGAAATGAAAACTAATTCTTTGCAAACAGACACAATCCAGATTAATTGCCAATGAAACACAACAACAAGAAGAAAAAAAAAATTAAATAAAATTATGGAGTGTGTCTGTAAAGTGACCGGTTGAGAAGAATATTAAAAGAGCTAAGAATCATTAAGTGTAGATGATTTCCATTTCTGGTCGATTTGAAGATTCTTACGCGCGAGGTGGGGGACGAACGAAGCAATAGGATTATGATGAAGATGATCGTGCGGTTGAAGCTTTATGAAAAATCGATGAATAAAACTTTTTTTCTTCTTTCTCTCTCTCGTCGTCCACAATAAGAGATAACAATGACTCAGCATCGGATTACACAAAGACGATGTGAACGTGAGACGCAAATGGTGTAAATGGCTTCAAGAGCAATATCTTCATGGGATTCCATCCCGACAATTCACAATCAATGTTCACCGATTGTTTGCATGATTTTTTTTCTTTTCCTTTCTTTCCTCTTTACCTCTCGTCCCCCATCATTCCAGTCAACAATTTAATTCACGCTTTTTAATTGAACTTTGAAAATGAAACAAGAAAGGCAATTGATGTGGTGTAAGAGTTTCGTTTACCGAGCTAATATTTGGTTTTTTTATATGTTTTCTGAAGCTTCTTGGTAAATCTAATTTCAACCTTTCGTATCGAGTTCTTTGACGTCAGTGGCTTCATTCTATTTCAATATGTTGAGTATTTATAATTATTTATATTGCAAACGATGAGTTCAATTGAAAGTTAATTGAAATTTATTGACTTTTAATAGAATGGATTGTGTCCTTATTGTTCACCACAGCTTCCATCAATACTTGAATGTTTGCAATGCATTTTACATGTTTAAGTTCCAAATTCAATTTCCTTTCTTGAACGACTAGGGAAAAGTTCAGACGAGGGTTTGATGAAATACTCTTGGATTGTTGACAACACATTTAAGAAAAGAATTTGTCAATCAGACTTCAACTCACCCCATGAAGGTTTTAGTGATGGAAATTTAATTTCAAACTTTAATGGTCCGGCAAGAGAAATTTATTGAATTTTTGTGTTTCAAAAAAAATCTGAAACAACATTCGACATGACATTAAGTGCGTAATTCACCATAAATCGAGATGTATAGCTTCAACAAATGAACACTGAATTGTATCGTTTCCTCTCGTCGTACGCTCAAACTCCGTCAATTGCACCCTGCGGCGTCCAACAAACTAAAAAGCGATAACTTGTGTTAAATGTTCTTTGAAAATTTTCATTGAATTTGATTCACAGAAATTGATGAGTTTTTGCAATTACATGAAGAAAATTTCTATTAATAACTTTTTTGCATGGGAAAAGAAGAAATATTAATTAAGATTCTAAAATTAAAGATTTCCAACTTTTATTTACACTCAGCGGATGAGAATTTGTTTTATCATTGGCAAATCTGAGTTATGACCTGCAGAGCATTGCAAATTGGTGGTTAAATTTATTCGAGTTTTATTTGGATATTTAGACATATTGAAAAATGAATATTTCATAAATATCTGATTTGGATCATGAACAGTCCTTTCAGGTCATTGTGTTGAACACTCTCAAAAATGCTGGTGAAGAGAAAAGGGTAAAACAGAGAGTTCTTTAATATGTCAGTCATGTGGCAATAACAATTCTATTATCGATCATTTTCTAAAGTATTTTATTCTTTCGCTATTGTCATGCTCTGTCAGAGTCTTTACAATCTTCAAAGCACTCAACTGTGACACGTCCTTAAAGAGAAATCCTTTCGTCCTCGCTTTATCAACAGTGAGTAAAAAAACATTGATTGATTGCCTCTTGTCAAAGCTCTTGAAAAAGAAATTTTTTTGTGGATATTTTCTTCCATTCAATTAAATCTCGATGGAGAACTCTTGGTGGAATAATTAAGCAGAGTTTCAACGCCCGAATTTTTCTGTTTAATTCATAATAAATTATTTATCTGCTTCTTTTTTTGGGCATTCACGAATTTCAGCTTTAGTTTTGAATCGAGTAAAATCAACATTTATTTAGCATGAATTAAAAATTAAACCAAAATTTTAAATGCGTTATGAACGCATACAATTTTTCTTGTTCGTTGTGCTTAACATAAACATCGCAATTCATGAATTCTTCTAGACTACCAGTCAGTTAAAATAAACAAAGAATTACCATCAGATTGAATAGCACGCTAGTGATTGTTCTCCAATTTTCTACGGGACTGGAAATTTAATTCTAAAAATACTTTCACACTACAACACGCCAATTACAGACTCATTACACACCAATGAGAGATTCTATGTGTTCCGAGAAAATAAAGATTTTGAAATAACATCCCGTGAAATTTATGAATGGGTCGAGAGAATTGGAAAAGAAATCTCCTTGAGAGCTTAGCAAATTAATTGGTTTACCGTGCGAAAATTATTTCTATTTCTATCATTTTATGCTTCTTTATTTCATGACGGCAAATGTAAACAATGACTGTGATGTTCGGAAAGAAGAAAATATTTTTTTAAATAAGTTAAATAACTAAATAAGGAAATGTACAGAGAACAAAGGTCCTTGAACTCATCTCTTCGACCTCTAATTGCTTTCCATTCAGTTTTACTTTTGAACAGACATGTGGTTCGTAAAGAAAGGAAATCATGAGTTTATCATCTCGACGATTAATGATGATGATGATGATAGAGTAGACAAGATGAAAACTTCTTACGTGAAAACAACGAGAAATGCAATTGAAAATGTCAGAGTTGTGATCTATTTTTGTTCAAGAATTTTATTTCTGTCTGTAGGAATTGTCAAAGGAATTTCTCAAGTTGCAAGTTTTGTTCTTATTTTGACATGGGATGACATCACTATTGGATATTCGCAACTCGCTTTTCGCGGTGAATGAAAAGTTGGAAATTTTCTAAAGAAAGAAACGAATGATAAATCAAAAAAGTTTTCTTAGGAATTTTCTTATTCATTGGGCATACGTGTATTGGCACTTGGTAGGGAGCTTGAATGTTGAAGATATTGCTACAACTAATAAAAATATATATTTGCAAGTTTCTTTCAATTTCTTGTTCTCTACAAAGCTAAATGCAAATATCTTCGTTTCGTTCTCGAAGTCGGTAAAGGGAAAACTCAATTTTCATAGGTTTTATGACTCGTATAGAATGTGTTTACGCAATGTGGCAGCGAGCAAGAGTTTGAGAATTTTCTCGCAATTGCTTCGTTTTGCCTCATCGGCAAAATTTATGATTTATTTGAAATACTTTTCGTGCGAAAGCAAGGCAGAAATTTGCAAATTGAAATGAAACATTATTTGAAAAGCTGAAATTTCTTTTTCTTCTTCAACATGCAATAACTTGCTTGAAGCAAAAGTACTTGAAAGATGTTTAATATGAAACAAAATAAAGTAATGAAGAAGAGAAGAGAATCTATTAAAATTCTATTGAGTTATTGATTTATGTTAATGCTCTTAATACATAAAACATATGAATAAATATGAAGTTAATATGACGATGATTTCATCGAACAGAGATAGATAAATAAATAATTTTAACTCTCATCAATTCCAATTTCATTGAATTGTTTGTAAATATTGACTCATTTATTATCCTTTGGATGGAAAAAAATCGAAAATCGAGTTAATTATTGCGTGTTAAGTTCATTGGCTTTCAGTCTAGACTATTAATAAATAAAACGTCAAAGCAAAATTTTCACATTCGCTACATGTTGCGTGACCATTAAGCAAGTTAATTTCATTTTGAACACACAAACTTTAAATTAGAAAAACGAGCTTTGAAGATTTTAAACCTAATTTTATTATGTAATGAATTTAATTTATTAGATTTTCTAAAGCTTCCCCCTTTTGCTCTAAACATGAACAAAGGAAACTCTTATGAATTATGTGAATCCAACAAAGAAAAATTATTATTATTCAGCAGCTCGTGAGACATTCTCAACGCGTGTGTAAACGCGCTAGATGGTGAAGAAATCCGAAACTCTTTTTACGGCAGTAAAATTTATCATTCTTACGCGGTCTCCCCCAATTTATAACGACACGATACGAGAAGAAAAAAATAAATATTTAATGAATTATACGATGTCTTAGAAATAAAAAAACGGCAATCGAATAGGTGCGGAATGAATGCGAGAATACACAATCATAAATTGTTTTTCTTTAGGAAGAAGAAGCCGCGATTGTGTATGATCATTTGGTTTTGAAGTAGCTTTAATATTTGAGTATTTTCATGAGCAACTTAAGTCAACACCTTCTCTGGATTTGTATTTATAATAAAACGACATCATTGTCTCACGTTTCCGATGCAAAGATTCTTTGTCAAGCTCACAGATTTGTTATGGCTATAAATTACTTTCTGTACTTTGTTTATTGTCGCATGAAAAGTGTCATACAAGCTTCTAATCTGTTATCAAACGAATATTAATAAAAAAATTGAAGCGATATAAAAACTTTCTGACTTTTATATAGTCGGCAATGGATCAAAAGCCGAAAAACAAAAATAACAACAAGAAACAGAGCGAACTGATGCAAGCAGGGAAACGTTCAATTAGCACCCCGACATCATCATGAGTAATCATTGTTTACTGAATTCAATAAACATTCCACACATGCTTCTCTATTTCTTCACCTTATCTTCCATTGTGTGCAAGCCATTAACCATATCTTTTCTATGTGATGTGATGTGATGTGATAGTTTTCTCAGAAGATTTCATTCTGTTCTCAATCAAAGAAATCTCACGAGACAGCATGAATTCCCAATTGATTTAACACTTTGATGCGAAAAGCATTAGATTAATTTAATTGATCCATGAATGATATTTATTCCTTAAAATTTCTATTTACAGACATAAAACTTAGACATTGTGATGTGTCATCAGGTGGATCATGTTGCAGTGCAGTGATAGAACAAAAGATGGCCCTTCACGCTCGACAAGCTATGGATAAAACAACCCGTGATTCAATCAACAAAATGTCATCAACACTACAAACTCGAGCGCAGAAGTTTAACGGTGAGTGTGTTTGCTTATCATTTTTATCAGCGTTGTTTCGTTAACCACTTAAGTAGTCGATTGTTTGATTTATTGAGACTTAAATGATTCTCAGTCAATAATAAATCTACACTCCTCTAATTCCATTTAATTAATCAAGAGAATTAAGTTTCCATTCCATACAAATTTCCACTCCATTAAATCATGAACATGAATTCATGTTCTAATGTGCACCTTATAATTAACAAAATAAAAATAATTTTCTACTATCTCCACTCAACTTTTGTATCGAAAGAAAAGGGGAATAAGAAAAATAAATCTTTAAGAAATGAAAAATAGTCTAAATCACGATAATTAATTAATAGAAAAAAGAAATGAACGAAGAGATTTAATGAAAGGTGAAAAATATGCTTTAAGCTATTCACAAAAAAATATTTAAAAGCATTTTCATAACGCATTGCATCAAAAGATGAACTCGAGGAGAATGAGAAGCAGAGAAATAAACAGAAAGAACGATAAAAATCCCGAAAAAAGAAACAGAAAACACGAATTGAAAGATGGGAAATAAGAGAAAGAAAACTATTTATTAAAAGGAATGTCGAATGTTTTTTTTTCGTAGTGAAGTTAAGTCTTAAGGCGAGTTGTGTGTACATGAGACATTAAAATTAATTTCCGTTACACAATTAAGATCCATGGCGAATGTGAATACAACACAATGTGAAATGAAGGGAAAAATAAAGGCGAAAAATTTAATGAGAAACAAATTGATAAGCGGGACTGAAACAAGTTTCACATTGCGTTGCATTTCGATCGACATTAAATCGGTTGGTATCTACACGATCTCTTCACAAGTATATAAAGAAGTCGTCGCAAAATTCTTTAAACCTTAATTGGAAGCAGTTTTCTTTGCTCTCGTTTCGTTTGATGAATTTCACGAACACTGATCACGATTTCACGACATTCCTTATCAATTTCTAATTCGCTTCNTTTAATGAGAAACAAATTGATAAGCGGGACTGAAACAAGTTTCACATTGCGTTGCATTTCGATCGACATTAAATCGGTTGGTATCTACACGATCTCTTCACAAAAGGGCTCATTTGGCCTCATTGGCTCAGGGTGCTTGTGCCGGGAATCTGATTCGTAGGTCCCCGGTTCGAATCCCAGCCATGAGGTAAGGTGAAGTTTAGATACTTCGGCCCGAAAAAAGTGTGTTTCACTTAAGCAGCAACCCGGCCTTTAATCCCTTTGTATCAATTTGATATTCGTATCAAGGCGAACAATGAGAGAGCAAAGACTAGGAACACTGCCGAAAATGGAACGCATGCAATTGTTACCTGTTCAATTGATAAATAAAAACAGTGCAAGTCTAAAGCAAATCTAAGCAAGTTAAAATAAAAATACTAAGGGAATGTTACAATTTCAAGCGATTCATTGCAATATTAGCTGAAGTTTCCATCATCATGGAAACATCAGTAGGGTGTGGTACGAGTCTAGTCCTTAACTGAGACGAATAAAGACTCATCACGGGCAATGTTTGTTCTACAGACACACTTGCCGAGAACAGTTCGTTCTACACATTTCTGATGATGATCTCTTCACAAGTATATATAAAGAAGTCGTCGCAAAATTCTTTAAACCTTTTTTTTTGCTCTCGTTTCGTTTGATGAATTTCACGAACACTGATCACGATTTCACGACATTCCTTATCAATTTCTAATTCGCTTCTTGCATTAATTTACAATTTACAGTCGACAGTTTAGATTGTAAGAAAAACTAACATTTCCAAGTTATTTCTTGCATTGTATGCACACATGGCGCTAACAGTCATCGATTTATTTATTTTTTGATATTTGTTTTATGCATACAGTTTTATGGAAAACTGAAGGAAACACGTAACATGTCGTCGTATCACTCATACATTTTGAAATTTTCAATTTATTTTCCCCTGCAGACAAATACACAATCAATTCACAAAAAACGAATTTCACAACCAGTTGCGTCTTCGATTCTTCGTCTTTATTCAATAATTTTCTTATGAAAAGTAAATAGAATCAATTCCGGGATTTGTTTCAATGTTGGGTAATGTCACTTTAAATATCATAAACAATTCGTAAAAGAATTAAGCCCATTCTGAATAAACAACACACTGTATGGATTAAGTGAGCTTACATGCATTGCTACCTCGTCTAGTGCTAACAGTGTGATCTCAATTTCTAAAACGTGCCCTCACTTTAATACAATTCCATGGAAAATGAAACGAATGATGTCGGAAAATAAATGTGACACGTAATAAATCTTCTTATTTGATATGGAAATGTAAATAATCCGCTCAAATTACAGTCAACGTTAGAAGAAATTGATATTTTGGTGATGTCTGATGACTCTTTCTGTTTCCAAGTTACAGGTGATGTGATGAGAACAAATTTCATTTTAAGATTCAAGAAATTTCTCTTTTTGGCAGTTCTAAAAATCTGTAGCATAGAAATTACTTTTGAAGATCATAAGCCAGATTTTAAGACATTCAAATTGAAACGTGGAAGCGAAGACAAGCTAACAAGAGAAAGTCAACGTCTTTAATCCATTTCTTCTGTAAATGTTGCTGCCATGATTAGCTTCTGTTTCGTGCTCGCACTTTTATGTTCAATTTCAATCTTCACGAACTTCTTTCTCATCTCTTACAGCTTACCAATGACCAATGTTTGTTTTCTCTCATCTTTAACAAAAATTTGTTGGAATTCTTCTTGGACTTTTTTTTTTCATCTCACTCCGCTCGAAGCTTCTTCGTTTTTCGTCTTTCTCACTGATGATGGAAGAACCATTTAAAATTTTCTTCAAAAAAAAAACGAAAACATGTGTACGAGTTCATGTAAACAGAAGTCCCGTCGAAACAATGTTTACTTATAATTTTTAAACTTACATACACAATTTCTTCGTAGCATCTTTCACGAGTCGAATATTGAGAGAGAAAAAGAGTTTCTTTTTTTGCTAGGCCCCCGAGCGAGATTTTTGGGACGTACAGGCACAATTTTTCATCACATCGGTCGTTAAGAAGAGGAAATTTCATTGTTGCTCAGAATCTTTCATCACATTCTCAAGCAAAAAAAAAAAGGGATGTTAAGCAGCAATAAATAGGAAACATGTGAATCGCAAAACATTTTTAAGTGCTGTGAGAAAATCTGATTTCTTTCTTTTCCTGAAGGAAATTACTCTTAAATATGTTTCGAAGAACATTAAGTCGACTATGTCTGCACCGCACCGTTATCGTCGACTATAAAGAGTAAAAACTTTAACGCGACAGGAAAACTTACCTGTAACTTAATTGACCATAAAAGAGTCAACTAAATACCTTATAAAGTAGTTCGTTAGAAAGAAGTAAGAATTCATGTTTATTCGTTTTGATTACACGATGAAGTTAAAGAATATAAAAATGTTGTAAGCATCATCATCAGAATAATTTCCTTAAATAAACAATCGCAACTCGCACTTGCACAACTGCAGTCTGCAGTTAATTTAAGATGTTTAAGCATAAAAAACTTATTAAATTGTGAACGTAATTAGACCAACTTTGTTCTCGTAAATTTCTTATTTCCTATCTTTGAGAAAGAAAAAGAAAAAAAGCAGAAAAGTTAGAAACAAAAATTCTTTTCAACTTTCAAAATCAAACAAAACGAGAAATAATTTAAGTCAAATATTTACCAACGTCTTGAAGTGGATAGAAGTTTCATGTTCTTTTAATTTTTTTTTTGAGTTGTTCATCGTGGCGATGAAAGATGCACTGTTGAGCTGAATCGTTTAAGTAAAAGCTGTGATGAACTCATAATTGGTCATCAAATGTCTTCAAGTTTCTCGAATGATGCTCAATTATTCAAAAGATATGATCAGCAGACAACTCGTAAATAATCTAAATTCACAACATAGAAATAAGTTAAATAAGCAAAAAAGGAGAAACGCATTTATGTAATTAAAATTCAAAGGCTTTAGATAATCTTACTTAGAATCATGACTCGTTTTCACATTCTTACTTCTTTCAGTTCTTCTTTTAATTTTTGCTTCACTTCTTTTCATGGTGGAATTCAAATATGCGATTTCAATTTACATTTTTCGTAGATAGAAATCTTGAAACTCTCTCACTTCAATCTATGAATAGAATGTCGTCGAGAATTCATTGAATTCCTCCCTTCAACCTTTTGCTTCGTCTTTAACTCTTTTACGGCTCAATGCTTGATAGAGATCTCATCCAAGTGTAATCCGCAACGAATTCCCACAACCAGACTCGTCTCGTCACGCATGGACTTATCGAAAACAGTAACGCATAAGCGAACTGATTGGATTTATTTAATTCAATTTATTCTGGTCGCTGATTTTGTGTTGTTTTTTATATTCGTTGCTACTCTCATGATCAACAACGAGAACTCATTTAAAATTCATTAAGATTGAAAAGCATGAAACGAAAGCTTTAAACAAATATCAACGATGGAACGGAATAATAAAATAGAAAATTTAATTAAATAACATAACTATCAGAAGATCAGAAGATTGAAGGGCAATGCATATGAAACAAAGCTAAGAATAAGTCTAAAGTTAATCAACTGTTGTGGAACATTTCATGAATTATGAATTGAGATATTTATTTGTTGAATGTTTATGAAAACAGTATCGGATATGTAACAATAGATTGGTTGTTTATACTGGAGGTTAATTCCTTTGATCATCGAGAACTTAATTTAACTTTATTTCAAACAAAGTTCTGTATCAGCATCGAGAATATAAAGTTATAATTCGATCAGACGAGATGTTTCAATAACTGCAATCAGAAAGCATTGTGATTTAGATAATTATGCAAATGCTTGCATAAATTTCTGTAATCTCGTCATAAAATCTCATTGATTCCAAACTGAGTAAATATTTTCACATCAAAGTCATTCGACGATGAAATTAACTCATGAAAAGGAAAAAGAGAAGTCGATTAGCATTCAATCAAATGAACATTTTAAAGAGATGAAGAATTTTGTAATTCGATACCTTTTCCTTCTTCATTCTGTCATCTCCAATTCGAAGTTGTCGACATACAAAGATTGAGTGGAATAAATAAAGAGACGGCAGTCGGATCGAGCGCCAATTTAATTAACACTTTTCTTACCGTGTGTCCATTCACTTGGTCGAGAAGATAATTTATTTAAATTGACATAAAACGGCGCAACAACCGAAAAAAAAATAAAGAGATTGGTATCAGATTCTCGTTTTCTCGTCTGTCGAAGTTGTTGATAGCGGCCCATAGAGTCGCTGGCTTTATTTCTTTTCTGTGATTAATTTCTTCACTTTGCGATTTTGATTTGACTCTTTTTAATGTTGTCGGAATTCTTTCATTGTAAATTAGAAAACAGACAATAATTGATGATGATTGTTTGCTGATGGGCTGATTTTGGTTTTTCGGATATTTTTTATTCTTCTTCTCGTTGATTGTATCGATCGCAAACAACAAAAGTTTCGCTTAACATCAACCGTAAGCTAATGAACTTAAACAATAGTCAATCAAACTTGCAACACACTCCTTTGATTTATAAATATTTTCTTTTTATTGGTTCATATTGAATTTCACGTGGAGGCGTTGTCATTATTTCCAGCCTGCTTTTAGTAGCGCAAAAAAATTCTTTTCACAAACAAGAACGAGTTGAAATGAAATAAGAAATCATGATAAATACGATTGCGTGTGGGAAGTCAACGAGATGCAATTTATGAAATGCAATTAAGCCTTCGTATTAATAACGTCATGGATTATTGGCTTAATAAAGGAACAGAATGACCTGTGTAGGGTAATGTCAATTTAGTTAATGTAGATATTTTGAAAACAACGCGAATAGTCATCGTCTCGTAAGTTGAATGGCGATCTCAACATTCTGGTTTTTTTCTTTCCACAAACATTCGATTAATCAGCACTTAAAATGCAAATGATATTCTTCTCTTTTCCGCTGAATATTCTTACGCTGACATTCATTTAGCTAATTTATTGACGTTTAGGGTAGATGATCCTGTTTCGAAACGTGTTGGAACAGTGATAAATCACGCCTTTAACTTCACTGTTATTTTGTTTAATTACCTGTTTAAATGACATCGTTCCAAGGCTTGTTTCAGCTTCATTCATCGCTCGGAGCTGTAATCAATTTTTTGCAACATACAACGATTTAATTAAAATCCAGTTAATCAATTGATTTACATCGCGCTTTAGAAACATAAAAGTATGAAAAAAGAAACTTTTACAGCCTCATTTTATATCCCCTAAGGACTTATTTAAGGCTGC